AGCTGGCTGCTGTGGATGTTCACGCAATCATAATATGGTATTCTTGGATTTTGACCCATCACATATTTGAAACACCAGCCATCTCTTGATTTAGTTGTATAGGAAATCTATTTCCCAGCCTGATTGGCTTTTCGGCTTTTCCCACCAAGAGACTCTGCGAGAGCTGAGGATGCATAGACCAAGACCTGGGTCAAACACGTCCACCATTTGTAGATCAGTTTTCTAGAAAACCCTGTTTCTTATGTATGTATCTTAATTTACTCATCCCAAGAAACATCCCAAATATACATCCCAAATATGGTACTCTGGTACTACATGTAGTATGGCTTTTGAACGATACCCATCATCGAAAACGCACATTCTGAGAAATACATTTAACTCATCCGTCATTCACATAATCATCATATCCTTCCACCTAAGGCAAAGTCATAGGCATGGGTGATGGGAAACTTTGGGGTACATCTGAAGATATGGGTATGGCTAGTCACCACATTCCCCATTAAAACTTGTCATTTTGAGGTCAAAAAGATCCATTGTGATGAGCTAGTACATACTACTCCATAATTATTCAAACTTTGCTACCCACCCTGGACCCACGCAACTGCCACGGCACGTAGCCATAGCCGTTGCGTGGCGTCTCGGAGGGCACGAAGAGATCGGAATTGTAGTACGGCACTACGCCCAACTGTGAGCGACCTCAACGACCAAGGGCTTTGACTGAGCTGACCTGGAATATGGGGCCTCAGGATAAGATACAGCTTTCTTGGTTTATACCCTCTGGTAATTTAACATAGCTATGGAAAATCACCATTTTCAATGGGAAAATCCACTATAAATGGTCATTTTCAATAGCTATGTTACAGTTTACCAGAGGGTAACTACAGTATACATTCAGTATACTATTCTATTGAGAATGGTTTATGGTAGGGATACAAGTGGAAGGGACCTTATGACTGGGGCGTCCAACATTGAGGGGTCCTGAATGGGAGAGGTAAAACCAGGAAACAGGGTATACCATTAAACCAGTCAGTATAACAGTATAACACAAATACTAACCATCAAGCAAGCGTCGAGTCATCTGTGGGTTCTACCCCATGTTTGTAGCTTAATCCATTGTCTTTAATCGTTCACAGAAGCGGGAACCGTCACCCAAACCACATCGTAGCTTGGCCATCAACCAACCATACTATATATATATATATGTATATATTGTATATATATGTATATATAACACTTATAACATCTTATAATTTAACTGTAATTTATAATTATTATATGAAGTATATTATATTATATTAATATGTATATAGATATTATTCCCATGTTTGGTGAAACTTCATCCCATGTTCTCTTGATGGCTCAACCTCCCTGTGGCGCCTGTCCAAGGGAAATTGCCATTCTCTCCCAAGATCTTCGCTGGCTCAGGACTGTCGCCCAGGTAGATGTAGTATTCCGTGACCTGGCCATGCGTGGAAGGTGAAGGCAGGGAGCTTCGGTCTTATTTTGGAAGGTCATTGCTTAAAAAGAACAGGTCTATTGAGGATTCTATATTTCTTTTTTGTCTTCCAGATGTGGCTAAGTTCTTCGAAACAGAATGGATTGTTGCACCCAAGAATCAACATCAATGATCCACTCGACATACGCAGAATGATCTATCCTGCGCTCTCAAGTTCCATTTGGGATCTTTAAACTCCAGTTTCTAGTCCTTTGTTGGCTTCAAGACAAAACAACTCTTCCAGAATTTCCCAGATCCAGAAAAAATCAAGGTCCCTTCCCAGATTAGGTTCCCTTTGAAATATTCCCAATATATCACATGTATCATCCCCATGTTCATAAACATCATCATTTGGATCCCAAAAAAAAACATCCCATCTTCAGTTCCCGGCCACATGTGGCAGTGTGTCAAAACCTTGTACCCCTGTAGTTCACATCAAAATAGCTGGTAAATGGATGTTCATCCCACTAAAAATGGTATGTATAGGTATTGATCCATACCCACATGTTACCCTCACCTGTTGCGCTTCCACCGGGAAGAGCCAGGAGATGTTGCCGCCCAAATCTGTGTAGTCCAGGTCCAGGTCCTCGAAGACCTGATCCAGAAGGATGACCCAGGACATATCAAAACCAACTGGTTCTATGGGGATACTTATTGATCATGTAGTGACATATTGACATACATATGATATAATATAATATATATATTATATATATATTGTGAATAATATCAAGAGAGATTGTTGTGGATTGTTTTTGATGGTTGGATGGTCGATTGATTTTTCCGTCAAAGGTGGGAAGATGGGGGTTGCAATAGCAATGTAAATCAGGTTTTCATGGAGACATTATTCATGGGGTATAATTTTATCTGTTGTTGGATATATTCATGGTGCTATGCATAAAATATTGAAGTGTTTCAGATTTGTGGGTGTGCCTAAACATTTAGGATTTATCTTCAATTCAGCATGGAAGATCGGGTAGCCAAATTCATCTGCAACCATTTGTAGTTTCATTTAAGATCATGATGCCCATGAACTCATTGGCTGATTATTCCCTATAACACAATATCCAATGTCCCTATAACCCAATATCCAATGGTGTTTAGCATCATTGGTATCACAAAACACCATTTTTGCTGGCAAAACAATGTCTATTCCCTACCCAATATCCAATATCCAATGGTGTTTAACCACCATTGGTATCAACCAAAATGTCATGGTAAAACCATGGTAAAACCCATTGTTTTTTGGCAAAAAATCCACCATTTCTTCACCCAAGGCACGATGTCTGAAGCGATGGAGTGCGTGTCCGACAGGGCGAAGAAAGCCGGAGTGGTCTGCTCCACCAGGAAGGAACGGGTGTAGATCCTGAAACGAAAGAAGGGTGGTATCATTGATATCATCCCACCATTCGGAAATTGCGTGTTTTACCGTGATTTATTATGGTTTAACGGTATATAACCATCAAAAAATGGTGGTGTTAGCATGTTATTGGCATTTTAAGAAACCATTCGAAACATTAAACATGATGGTTTTGCAGTGGAACATGGTGATCCAACTGGGAAAACAATTGGAAACCAAGTTTTATATAAACCAGTGAGTGTAAGCGCCCATAACCATCAAGTAACTATGCATAAAAGTGGTCGTGATTGTTCAATCTCTTTGATGAAGGGATTAAATTTCACTCCACCACTCGCACCCGCCATAGCAAGTCTTGATATTTTGACATCCTTATCCAGGAGACCAAAGGGTAAGAGATGACAAACAAAAATAATCATCAAACTCTTGCTTGATATTGGGCGAACAAAACATGACATCAAACTGTGGAAAAGCTGAGTTCGAATCAATTGCAGGATACTTCCCCCCGTTCTTTGCTGATAGCGATGTGGTATCTTGTTTGCCAATCCCATGTTCAATACGTCTGAATAAATTGATGTATCATAACATCCATCATCTAAACCCATCCACTCTCCCACTTGTGTCCCAACATCCCCATTATAGAGATACATATTAGAGATATATAAACACATCTCTCTCTCTTACATTATAGTACTTCGACCGATTGTATATATAATTGTATATATATAATATATAATACCCGTACACAAAGATACACACACACACTGTCTACATTCATATATGCATACATAAATATCATTAAATATCTATGTGTATACTCCAGTAGATGTCTATATCTACCATGAACCATCTGCCATCCTAGCCATAAATCCACATCTCCAGCTGAAAAGGACTTCTGGAAGTCGCCAAGTGACACCAAGTGATCGTGCGCTTGCTGCTGAATATCTGCTGCTAGCAGGATGCGGTTCGTGCCTTGCGGAGGATCTTCTGTCAATGGATTGTTTTTTCAGGGAATATCAGGAGAAACCATTTTTACCATCACATATAGGCGGTTATATACCATAGTTTTTTACCATCACATATAGGGGGTTCCCGTAAATGTTCCCCTAAACCAATCCTATGAGTCTGAGGAGGTGTTTGTTGAGAGTACCACGTTAAGCAGAATGACACAGCAGTTTTTACTATTGCGTTTACCACACTGCTGTAGATCATTGTATGTTGATTAGCTGCTTTTTCTGATGACAGTTTTATATAGTTTTATAACATATTTATAGCAACCTAAAAAAATAGGAACATGGAATCCTACTAAAATAACAATACAGTCATTGAACACTACTTGTCTATCCTTCTCAGACTTCTTGCAAAATCATCACAAACACCACTGGAACTCCCCGACGCCGCCTACTGGGACAATGCTTCCCACGCTGCTTCGGTTGGCGCCGGCAGCATCTTCTGCAAAGTAAAGGAGGTAGTCCTGCACTGGGATGATAGGATGGTATACCATGGGACGAAACCATTAAAAGGGTGAAATTAGATCCCATAAAACCATGGGATTCTATAATAAGCTTTTAAACCGAACCATAATTGTGTTGGGGTGTTCTTATAACCCTAGGTTCGTGGTTGAGCCATTCAAAACATCCGGCCCGGACCCCAGAACTCACCAAGCAACCGAGTTCCCAATTGCTGATTTGAGTATTGATATGTATTGATGTATGATGATGTATGCTCCGTTTTGACTCAATACTTAGTAACAGTATCACCATATTTTGTTCACTTCGATCCAATCCTCCTTGCTACCGTTGGTTTCCGTTGGTTTCCACACGTCCTGCACGCGGCTGGCATCCAGCGGTTCCTGCCACGTGACATTGCCGCCGAACTCGAAAGGATCCAAGTCCTTGGGGCCATGTAAGCGAAGCCTGGGAAGAGTAGGCAATGTCTGTGTTACATATATATTATATTATATTATATTATATTATATTATATTAAATACATATGTATTATATGATATTATATTATATTATATTAAATCATATTATATTATATTTTAAAAATATATTATATACATATGTATTATATTAAATTGTATTATATTATATTTAATATTATATATTATATATTAAATATTATATATTTTTTTATTATATACATATGTATTCTAATATTATATTATATTTTATGTTATATATTAAATATTTATTATATAATATAATAATCAATACATATGTATTATATTATATTATATACATATGTATTATATTATATTGTATTATATAATTTTACATTATATATTATATATAAAAAAAAATATTATATTATATTATATTAAATACATATGTATTATATTATATTATATTATATACATATGTATTACATTAAATTGTATTATATTATTTTAATTTATATATTAATATCATATTATATCATAATATATTATATCATAATATATTAAATTATATTATATTATATTATATTCAATACATATGTATTATATTATATTCTATTATATATTAAATATTAAATAAAAATATATTGTATTATATTATATTAAAATATATTATATTAAAATATATTATATTATATTATATTATAGTGTATTGTATTGTTTTATATCATATTATATTATATTAAATTATTAATATATATTATATTATAGTGTATTGTATGATATTATATTATATTATATTATATTATATATATATATATATATAAATCATATTATGTATGAATATATATACATATACAATATATTATGTTTATTATATATATATATATATACCATATTATAAATATAATATTTTGTTTATTATGTCTATTAAGAAATGATAATCTACGCATTCTCGGAATTCGAAGGAATCATCAGCATGATTCTACCTGTGACCCCATTGCAAGTGGCTAATCCGAATTCGAGAACCTCTTAACCGTCTCAACCATTTATCTACTACTCCCAGCAACAGTGGATGATCCGATCTATGGAACCTCCGTTCTGGTGGCCTTCCTGAACCTCTCATGGTGGAAGTTCCATTCTTGTATGGAAAGTGTATGAGTCCATGACCCGTCAGTGCCCCTTGGTCCTTACCCAAACATATCTGGGATCGTTCATGTGACGTATTGTGTGCCAACGATTTACCACAATTTTTGGATGAGGATTACATAACCAAATTATGTTTGTGGGATCTGAGGATCCAAGCACCAGAAACAATCAACCAGGAATGGAATGTGGATATGGATGATTTCGACAGAAAAGGACTTATCCATGAACAGAAATAAACAAATAATTATAAGACTGAGTGTGCTCACATGGCAACAGTCATTATATGTGAACCCTCGATTGATAGCCCTTTTGGCTCTTTATTGAATTGCAGCTACTGTTTTAGTTGCACACAATCCCTTTTTGGGTCAACCAACCAGGGTTGAAAGTAAGTGGAACCCCGCTGTAGCTGTAGAGCCTATGGTAGTGCGACTATGGCATATACCAGCTTGCCTCCTCTATTCTCTAGTTGGCTCAAATACAAGCAGCTCCAAAAATATCCAAAAATGGTGGGTACATGATGGTATATGATGTTCCAGGTATATTCATCTTTTTATCTCAAATAAAATGATAAATTCCGATAATGTTGGGAATATCAAACCATCTTCATCTTCCATCTCTGAAACCATCTACCAGGGAATCAGGGCAACATGATCCATCGCCGCCAAGAAACATCATCAATGAAGCCGATGCCTGAAGGCGTGTGATGCTATTGATGGAGGTATGGCCACTTCCCTTGCTATTTCCATATTGTCCACGAATCGGGCAGTCAGGAGTGTCATGAAACACAATTATTGTCTACGTATGATATATAATAATATATATATGTGTGTGTGTGTGTTATAGGGATATGCTGTTTGTCAATATACCAACCATATAGCATAAAATAATAGAACAAATTGCTACATGATACCAAGCAGAATGCGGCAGAATTATGAGCAAAACTGGTGACAAACAAAACGGGAAAAGAAGGCCAACCGTTGCTTACAAGAGACGTGGTGTTACACACTATGTCTCTGGTCACTGCTATCGTTCACATCTATCCTTCTCTTTCTTTCTTTCTCTACCTGGGCAACTTACACTTTATTAAACAACATAAATCCACATCCAGCACTAGCAAATTACATCACATTACTGTCATCGTCATATTATTCTTCCTCCTCGTCCTCCTTGTCCTGGCTGGTACAGCCCTGGTTAAACCACTGAGCAGGCTCCGGAGGTCTTTGCTTTCTTTGTTCCATCTTCAACGGATTCTCTTCCCTTCAGCCAACTGCTGATTGGCACAATACAGCTCTGATTGGAGCTTCTGATTGTTGCTGAGTGATCTCTGCATGCAGGAGGGCATTGACAAGGTCACGGTCTTCCTGGGATATCGCGTTGCCTTGCGGCCTTGCGTTGCCACCCATTGTTGGAGGCACCAGGAAACGTACCAACAAAACGTTCAACATCTAAACACTAACAATGTAGGCAATTTAGATTCAAAACAAACACCAGTAAAGCATAGTAAAACCTTGAAGAACGGACCATCCCCTATTTATAAATTTCATGAAACTTCAATGGGACAATAATCGAACTAAATTGACTAAATTGGTGGCTTTCCATTGCTATTGCATATTATGTTTGATTACCTCACAATCTTCACGTCTACCATCACCATGGGCAAGTTGCCACCCACCGTGGCGGTGGCATCGAAGATCAGGTGCTCCACGGGAGTGGATTGTTCCACCAAGGTTGATGCTGTGTAGATGACCTCAACAACGAAGCGAAACCGACATGGGAACTTCTGCTAAATCATGGGTTTTCCAGGGTTTTCTGGCAATGTATTCCCCTATATGTGAAAGAATTTCTGGACATCCACAAAAATCTGAAACTTATGAGATAGAATGGGAAGGGATGAGATGTACAGCACAACTGAAAACCCACGGGAAAATCACCCAACCAGTGGTTGGTGTTGGGATTCTAAGTTCATGACCACAAACCAGCCCCAAAGGAGGACTGCCCATGGGATCCACTCAAAGAGTATAGCAGAATCAAAGAACGACTTGGGAACAACGTTACAAAAAAAGGCCTGACCACATGTGTATGCAGTATATATATATACCCTCTGGTGAACTAACATAGCAATGGAAAATGGCTATTTATAGTGGATTTTCCCATTAAGAATGGTGATTTTCCATTGCTATGTTAGTTCACCAGAGGGTATACACATTATATACATAATAAATGTATTATATATATATATATACACTGTATATATATATATATATACACTGTATATATATATATATATGTACGAATATGCATATTTTACCTCTTGTACAAAAACAAACGGCTTCCCCAAAATTGCGGACATTGCTGGAAACATGCCTACATGAAGGGATAGAAATGGGTCGACCGGGTTGCAAGCAAGTTGGGGTCAATTAAGAATGATGGGGGCATAGCCAACAGTGCCCCTTTTGTTGGTAAAATCCATGCTGCTTTAAGGTTTGAACATGTTTGAACTATCCTTGGCCTCGCCGTATCAGGTGTGATAGCATACCCTCTTTTTTACAGGACATCAATCCTTCAAAGGAGGCCATGCCATGACCCTGGCTTCGACATGGCTCTGCATGGCCCCTCCCTCCCATCTTGGCTGGTGGCCGGCTGTCAGGCGTAAGCCAGCAAAAATCTATACAGACTCCATCTTAAGTAGGAGAACGGCCAATCGAATCCTGGCAACATCACTTGGATACTAATGGTGAAGGCGAAACTCAAGGTTGACACCTCGATAGTTGTGGGTCAGCACGTATTGGATTCGACACTGCATTTGCTAACAGGTCAATCCTGGACTGTTCAAAGTTCAAACTGTTTTGTCGAAGGGCGACCTTGCGGCAACACAGTTACACATATGCAAACTGGGGTGCGACCGCTGAGCTGTCACCACCCTCCAAACAGTCGCCCCAAGTCACGACTGACGCATCAGGCAGGATCGCAGCAAATGCACTGTCAGTTGCTTGAACCTGTTGGACACTTTTCAGCTGGTCTTGGACTTTAGAGCTATCACCACCAGAGTCTGGTTCGCCCCAAGTCACCACTGACCCATCAGTCAGGATCGCAGCAAATGCAGACTTTGTTGCTTGAACCTGCTGGACACCCTTGAGCTGATCTTGGACTTCAGAGCTGTCACCACCACAATTTGGCGCACCCCAAGTCACGACTGACCCACCAGCAGGATCGCAGCAAATGCATGGCGAGTTGCTTGAACCTGCTGGACACCCTTCAGCTGATCTTTGCCTCCAGAGCTGTCACCACCAAAAGCTGGTTTGCCCCAAGTCACGACTGACCCATCAGCCAGGATCGCAGCAAATGCACACTTTGTTGCTTGAACCTGCTGGACACCCTTCAGCTGATCTTGGACTTTAGAGCTGTCACCACCATGGCCTGGAGAGCCCCATGTCACGACTGAGCCATCAGCCAGGATTGCAGCAAATGCACACCAAGTTGCTTGAAGCTGCTGGACAGCCTTCAGCTGATCTTGGACTTCAGAGCTGTCACCACCAAAAGATGATTCGCCCCAAGTCACGACAGACCCATCAGCCAGGATCGCGGCAAATGCCCGCTTTGCTGCTTGAACCTGCTGGACACCCTTCAGCTGATCTTGGACCTCAGAGCTGTCACCACCAAAAGATGATTCGCCCCAAGTCACGACAGACCCATCAGCCAGGATCGCAGCAAATGCAGACTGTGTTGCTTGAACCTTGTAGACACCCTTGAGCTGATCTTGGACCTCAGAGCTGTCACCACCAGAGTCTGGTTCGCCCCAAGTCACGACTGACCCATCAGCCAGGATCGCAACGAATGCATCGCTCGTTGCTTGAAGCTGCTGGACACCCTTCAGCTGATCTTGGACCTCAGAGCTGTCACCACCATAGTCTGGTTTGCCCCAAGTGACCACTGACCCATCAGCCAGGATCGCAGCAAATGCACCATCTGTTGCTTCAACCTGCTGGACACCCTTCAGCTGATTTTGGACTTTAGAGCTGTCACCACCATAGTTTAGGAGGCCCCATGTGACAACTCGGTCACCTCCAGAGCAAAACAATGCAAAAGCTTCTGCTGCTGCCGCTAGCTTTGCCTCCAGGACAATAGCCGTCAAGTGGTCTCCGTCCTCGAGTCCCGCAGCTTGCAGAGACACTGTAGGATCCAACGCACGATGGTCTGCAGCCACAAGCCTCAAGAAACCACGTTGAAAGGATTTCTGTGCCAGAACTTTTAAGTCCCCTACTTTGGAGGACTGCGGAATCGAAAATTCCTCACAGCAACCGCTTGGCAAAGCTACAGAAACTTGAAGCATATCTTGACAAACTCCAAAGTCCGTCCGGACCAGTTTCTCCAATTGAGCCAAACTGCACCACTTTTCGAGCATTGGAGCAAACTCCCAAGACCAACTTGGCATTTAACCTTCCGGATCTTCCTGGCATTATGTTGACAAATTCTCTATCCAAGGGCTATAACAAGCAAAGCCCTATGATTCCCTTCTTGACTATTGCCGGTTCTAATTCTAGCCTTATAGCCTTGACCCAGCTCGGAATGTTGTAGGACCACCCCTTACCCGAATGTGCTAGTTCGCTCAGCTCAAACTTTGATATGTACATATTTGCCACATCTATATTATACTTTCATATCTGGGAAGCCGTACGCAACCATTTTTTTCGGGTCATATGCACGTATATTTGTTTTTCGGGTAACGGCAAATCCCCTTGTTTCTTGGCGACACTTCAAATCCCTTCCAATTATATGGCTATGGGCCAAAATGCTGGGAGCTTTCTCTTCACTCCAAAATTTATGGTGAATGGATGTTCATCCCTCCAAAAATGGTAAATATGGTAAATATATATATATATATATATATGGCGTCACATTCAATTTAAAGATATCTTCACTGCCCCTAACAAAAAGTCATGGTGATGTTGGCCGATGACATCGCTCAAATTTACCCACAAAGTCCAACGTGGAGCCCCCAACATAGCTAATGAAGTTGGTCTATAACGAGGCAAGCTAGGCTTATCCACAGTTGGATGAGTTTACAAGTCAACTTCCCAACCGGGCATGGCAAAATCCTATTAAAATTAGATTCCCATTATCATCTGGTTATTTAAAATAGCCATGGACAATCCCTCATAAATGGAGGTTTTAATGGGAAAATCATCTATAAATGGGCCATTTTCCATTGCTATAATAAATAACCAGAGGGTAAATCACCATTGTCCAAGGGACGAAATGAGTAAAATCTTCCAGCGCTGTTTCCGTGGGAACTGTGATGTTCAAGTCTGTCACTTGGCGATAGCTGCGCCTATCGGCAAGGATCCAACATGGGTACCAAACAAGAAAGTTGCTATTGAACAAAGTCTTCAAATCAGGACTTTACCAGCAACAAATCGCATTAAACTAAACAAACAGGGAACGATACAAAACAAAACCAACATGCATGATTTAACCAGCCACAGTGAGGGGTTAAACAACACACATTTTCAAAACATGAGATGAAGCCAACAAATGTTGGGATGGGACAATTGTTCAGGGCTAATTGCCGTTACCCACTGGCACAATCTGCTCAAGTAGTACTGTATCACTTGTCGTACAATATAGTACGATTGTGCATCATTTGCCCATGTGATCAAAACGCCAAACATGCAGGCAAATCACTTCCAAAAGAGAAGTGAAAGCAACAACAAACAACAAAGGCAACCTGTTCAACACAATCCCTGGAGGCCAAACGTTGCTTCAGGGAGAACAACCATTCCAGTCCAGCCGGATCACCATAAAGTGACCATGCCCGAGGCTGCGTAATTGCTGATAGCTCATCATAAGAACAATAACAATAGCAAGGACAATAACAATGATAACGCTGAAAATCACAATAATACTATGGGAATAACAACCATTAAAACAAATACATAATATAACTATTCGTGGAAGTAATATTCTTGATAATGCTAGAAACAGGTACAATCACCAATGATATGAATGACAACATATTATATATTGTCTGATGATAAGCCAATCATTTGACTTAAATTGATATATATATATATATATAATATCAATATCATATTGTTTAATGTTAATGATTATGTACAAAAAATAATAACTTCATCCCCCGGATGTTAAAAATCCCCTGACAGGTCCCGTATGTATGTGTAAATGCTCTACGAAATCGTGGTTTCTTGGGGGTGTTTAATTTTTTTGGGGAAGGCAGCCAGTCAAAATATGTCCCATTAATTAAAATGATGCCCATCACAATCACAATATAACAATCCCTAATGCTCCAAGTACCTTTTCAGAAGGTGAAGAACCCCAAACCAGAAGGTGTTTGGAGCCATAGGGAATATCAATCCTAGAAAATAAACAATCCTTGCAATAGTTCCCAAATCAAATCGCAAAGACTATGGCAATCAATCCTACAGTAAATAGAATAGAATTCATCACAACTCAATAAAGCCATCCCCATTTTGTACGGGCTTCCATATTTCCCCCGCATGTCAAGCCTACACCATGCAAGGCTCGAGTTCGTGGATGGCGATCCATCTGAATCCTCTGCCAGCACTCTCGCCGTTGCAGCGGTCGAAGTCACATCGCTCCTGGAACCGAAACGGCGGTTTCAGTGTGACTTAAAAATGCTGGGGGGTCCAATGAAAAATGGCGGTTTTTACCTTGGGGTTTTACAATGTTTTACCATCTGGTTATTTAACATAGCCATGGAAAATTGCCCATTTATAGATGGTTTACCTATTAAAAACGGTGATTTTCCATGGCTATGTTAAATAACCAGATGGTACCATGAAAAGGATTGAACTAAGAACATGTGGAAGTTCTTCCATTGGGGGTTGTCCAAGAATGTGGTACACCAAAAATCACATTGGCCCTGTGATCGGAAACAATGTTGAATGGTGTCCCATCTTGGACCCCACATGACATTTAGACTACACAGCAATTTTGGATGCTTCAGGATTGTGACAAAGATGGAGTTCTAGTCTCTGTATGTTGCTTTCTGATATTTTGTCAGTTTCTGGAAGGTACATGAAGGTACCATATTTTTATACCTGAACAATCTTCGAAGAAACTCGGCTGGCCGGTCCTCACCGTGCGAACAGATGCTGCACGAGTTTCAACCTGAAGTTTAAGCCACAAACAAACTCCTCAAGGGTCCATGGATAATTCCGTGAGCAGTTCTCCTTGATAGTCCATCCACATTGTGTTGTTCAAATCTGACTGGCTGTTTTGAGAAGTAACATCAAGCATCACTGCAATTGTGAAACACTGAATCAGTGAACATCCCACCATGCTCAAATCATACATGGATCTTCCAGTTTCCTGTCAGACAATGTCACCAACCCAACTTTATGATTTCACATCATCTATAACGTTGAATTGCCAATCCTACTGGCTTTCCTGCATTGCTTCACGGACTGCTGGGGGTCGCCATCGCTCACAGAACTGGACCAAGGTGCTGCCACATCTGTAATTTCCATCTTCAAATCGAACACACCTGCAGGGGGCAAATTCACGAAACAAATCACATGGAAGTCCAAGAACATGATGTTTTCCTTTCATGGTGTGTTTTCGGTGTCATTCCATGAATCTAGTGGAAGGCAGGCCCATTGGAATCCATTGCCATTTCGGGATCAATATGCAGTGTAGGGGCCCGCCTAAACGATAACATATTTTTTGATTCAACCATTTGTTGTGGGTACACAGTTTGGCCCAGCCCCATAAATATCATTACCCCAGAAAGAGATGAAAACCAGCCGGGACGTGGATCCTTTTCAGCCAGGATCTTGGTGCTCAAAGACCGTTGTTGAACATAGTTGTTGATGTGTAAATAGACCCATGATATCCCATGATTTGGCTTGCTCAAATCTAGATTCTGCTGGGAAAACGTAACGTGTGGATGGATTCATCTACACCCCGGTTGGACACCAATTTCTGCTTGAATCCCCATGATCGGCTGGCTTCTGATACTGGATTGAACTACCATCGCCGCGTGAATTGGGATTTGACATGCTAAAATGGTAGCCTGCATACATGTGTGAGAATGGGGTACCCCTTAAATCCGCTGGCTAATGAACGTAGTCTATCTTGAAATTGACATTTGGTGGTGATACCGGTGATACCCACTTTCCAGATGTCACACCCAAGCAAATCATACTGTTGCGCAAATTATTTTTGAGGTTAAAGAACGACTTAAGATCCTAAGAAGCCATGTACATGTCGAAACCAATTTTAGGAAACCCCGGCTTTGAGACTCAACCAGCTGTGAAAGCCAAGCCACTGACACCTCCAGCCATCTCCGCCAACACCCGGGAGGCCTGTCGCAGATCGAACTGGGCCAGGTGTCTCTGGTCTTGGTGGTTGCACGGCTTTACAGCTGGTAAGTGGATATATGGTCGATAATGATATGGTTAGATATATGTGGAAATAACCATATATATAGACTATTATATAGATGTCATCACACACCATATATGCCATATATCATTCCCAACAAAACTTGGTAACCATTGGTAACTAATGGTAACTAATGACACTCCCAATTTTCATCTGGTGTTTTTTTGGGGCTTCACCCAGGTGACATGGCGATGCCTCCCCGGGTGAAAGGGACAGGGCGATGCGGAAGTCTGTCTGGTCGCTGTCGTCGGCCTGTCCGGCATAGGTTGAGTCCCACATAAATATAGCAACTTAAGTCTAATCTTGTCTATATTTATATTGTTTATATAAACATCAGATGTATTATATTTTGTATATACAACTGTTTATATTGTTTATATACAGCTAGATCAAGGAGTTTCTGATAAAACATCGCATGCTGTAGAGTTTTGTTATGTCATTTCGAAGAACTGCAGATTAGTAGTGAGTGGCATAGGTTCAGAAAACCAGGTTTTGCAGGTTTTACAGGTGTTGCCAATCCCAATTGCAGCAAATCATATATTACATATATGATATTATATGATCATATGGCAATTCGAAGTTGACTCGCGGCAAATTTGTGGAGGGATCACCGACAACGCAGTGATATGAGTCAAAGTTGACCATTCGTGATAAGAGTGGGTCAAATAGCATTCCTGCTTGGTCTATCTTGGTTTAGCAAAGTACAAATGAACAAAGTGTGCAGGTTCCGGATTACCGTCTGTAAGCATTTTTGGGCACATCTAAGACTACAACAGTTTGTTTGAGTTTGAGCTCAACAGCAATTTCACTACCATCCTCCGCACGAAACAAAATGGGGAAGCAATCTGTGAAAAGCCTCATTGCAACAGCACTTATTGGGAGATCTTGTTGGTTTACACCATTATCTTGCTGCAATGCCTGGCCCCATCCAAATCAACATCCATCAATATCCTTCACAAACATCTGAAAACACGGTCTCCATGCGTACATCTGCGTCTGTCATGATGTCGACCGTGGTAGCTCGGTCGTCGCTTGCGCCCATCAGGTCAGGATGTACGGGCAGGGATGAAGCATCAGCCTCGATGTCACATGATGTGTCGTACGTCCAGAACGCCTGACCAGTCCCCTTCGGTAGATGGCCTGGGGTGATTCTGCATGACTTGTACTTATAGTCCATCCATGCTGTCCGCTTGCTGCCCTTCTCTTGGCTGGCAGTCATTGCGGTGTGCGCCACGATCAGGATCCATTGTTCACAGAACATCTAGTCGGACCAGAACAAAGGAAGGGCTGGGAAGAGCTTTGTCAGTATGATTGTCTACATGTGCTACGGGATCATAATATATATATATATATAATTAGTTATAATTATATATATATATACACATTCTGGTATGCTAGTATATCTACATGTGCTATAGGATCATAATAAATTATTGCATGATATGGCACAGGAATGTATGACATTATGTACGGCTTGAGTCTTTGTTGCTTCAGATAGCAAGACCCTAGAAACACCAGGATACGACCCATCTGACAAGAATTCAATAGCCTTTCAACCCCCATGGTTTGGGAACGACGGCAGTGGTGAACATCCCAATAATGTTGCCAGAATGGATGATTTTGGGTACAAGCTGGTTCCCCCAGTTCCAAGTTAGTTCATCAACCATCATAAACCCATCTAACTATAGAGATATCTACCACAGTCCCAATTGAGCTGAGGACATTTTACAAATTATAGTACATCCCATCTAATTATAATAGATTTTAAATATAGTTGTAGACCCATCAAACATCATCGAACTGTAGTTCATCTAGTTGTACTCCAACTTCGCTAAGACTTCGAGGCACCGCGCCTGCAACCGCCGCTGCCCTGGGATCTGTGTGGCCACGGAAACGAAGATATCACTCTGTGGGATTCCAAAGCCTAGGATCAGCGCGGCTGGGATGATACAATATCCATCTTTATGCTGGTTGGTGGTTTCAACCCCCCTGAAAAATATTAGTCAGTTGGGATGATTATTCCCAATATATGGAAAAATGAAAAATGTTCCAACCACAAACCAGTAATAGGGTGTATACCCAGTGGGATAATTCTAAACGGAAACGTAACCTTCCAAAACTGGGGTGTAATACAAATTAATCAAGTTTCAATAGATATAGAATCCTTTTCCCCTGTATCAAATCCCTAGAACGATCTGGTTTCGAACCGGATCTATTCACTTCTGGTTCCCTTGCCATTGGGGTACAGTACTGTAAAAAAGTCTTTGATGGGAGTCCGAGGATGGATGGCACCTGCTTATGGACATCCCCAGAGTCGTCTGCATGTTCCACACATCAACACAAATCGATTTTGTTTTGTTGTTGAACTGTGAACCTTCCGACATGTTTCGAATTCAGCAGATCATTTTGAACATGTCAACCTGTTCGCCTAAAAAAAAAAGCATCGAAGCCATCGTTGTTCCATCCCCTTTGAGCTGTGCAACTTTTGGATAACGCAGCTTTAATCTGCGCCACCAACTCCTCTGACCCCGTCATGGCAAAAGTGATCCTTGGCCACATGTTGGATCAATGCTACCAAGGGTCAGGAAAAATATCTCTTGTGTAGATGACTACAGTAATGTATATCATATTTTTGTTGAAAATGAATATGGTATCTACCATCAACCATTCAGTGTACTCACTTCTTTGGTTCTATCACCATTGATTCTTGTTGTAAAAAAGGATTGATCGCTGGAAACCAACCATTCACCAGCCGCCTTACTCAGATTATCCCAACAATTTGTGGTTTATTATAGGTGCTTCTGCTATGGGACTGTGATAGTTTATACTGGCCCCCAAAAGGTTGATACTTGGGGATGGCTTCTTGCTGTGGATCCTACATTCACATCATGCACCATGGCTTCTATACGCACATCCCAAATCTGGCCCGTCCCTATCTCATCGCCCCCAACTTTTCTCGCGCCATTGGCCCCTACAGAGCTAACAGGAATGGGACGACTAGGTGATACATCGGTCAGGAAACCACTCAGATGACCCCGCAATTCCTGAGCAGAATCACGCGAAGATGGGAATTGAATCTTTCTTCTCCTTGCTCCATAGATAATGGATGATAATGGAAGTTCTTATTCTAAATGGTTTGTAAGAGGGGAAATCATGAATGTCAACCTCCGTCTTTATCCACCATGGTCGATAAATCACAAACTATGTATATATATATATATACATATGTATATAATTATAATATAGATAGAAACGGGGAGGAGTCCGGGGAAAAAAACAAACATTGTGATTCTTCGCCATCAAAATGGAACCCATGCTCAACAGCGCCGTTGACATTCAGCCCCTGGGGGTCTGTCAGTTGACCCAGAGCTCATATGGGGCAGGATACTCCCCTTTACTCAACCAACAGAAGCTTTGTGACATGTTTTAATCCTTCTCAATTAAGGGTTTGATAATTTTGATATGTGTTTTCATTACCTCGGTAATTACATCAGCAAGCAAGAACACACTCTATTTTCATATTATGTTGTCATTTCTTTTATTCATTGGTTTCCTTCCCCATCATTTCCTGGTGAACCCCCATAGATTAGCTGTCGATATGCATTTTACCCGTGCATCCTCATGTTCTTGGTTGTAAATTTTATCCCCCATCAACCGACCACTTTGATTGTCGTACCCATCTTATTAGATACAGTAAATCACAGTATTGGCTGGTTCAACTTCCATTTTTGCTGCTAAAGATACTGCCTCGGCTGCTTACACCCCTAATTCTTTCCGCGAAAATCCCCATTTTCCCCGGACAAAATCCCAAGTTGAGCTGCTAAAACCCCAAATTTCCCCCAATCACCGGGAAATCATCATTTTTTTCCCAAAAAATGATCCAAAATCTCCATTTTTCCCAGGCCCAACGTGCCGCCCCCGTTCTGTTCACCGGGCCGCGCCGTAGCAGATCACCGGCGCCTCGAAGCGGTTCGCGGCGCTGCTTTGGAGCGGCACGGCGCAGTGCAGCGCCGCCACGCCCAAGAAGGCGGAGGACCAAAGCTCCAGGAGGAGATGAACCGCGTCCTGGGGTTGAGGGATATTAATGGGATTTCATAGTGATTTAATGGGATTTTATAGTGATTTAATGGGATATTCATGGGATATACCCTCTGGTAAGCGTCCTAGGGTTGGTTTAGAGTGGATTTACCCATTGAAAGTGGTGATTTGATGGTTCATCTAATGGGATGTAATGGGATATACCCTCTGGCAATTTGTTGCATAGCTATTTGAAAATGGCCCATAGAAATAGTTGATTTAGCTATTAAAGATGGTGATTTTCCATAGGTATGTTAGTTTACCAGAGGGTAATGGTAATAAGAATAATGATGGTAGTAATCCAGTTACCATCATTGTCATTACTAACAGGAGTCCCCTGGAGCGGTTTCATTATTGTATAGTAATGACAATGATGGTAGTAACAGTAATGACTCATTCATATAATCCAGTTCTTACATAGAAGAGTATGGTTTATTGTGGACATGATAAGTACGCAGTTGTAATAGGTATACTATCGATACTGGTGAAAAATGTCATATCCATAATATGATCAATTGATGGTAACATTCTTTCGGCAAAGTCATAGTAGTTGGGATTTTATGATGGGGGTAGCTACCCCATAATAAAATTAATAGCTTGTTTTTTTCTATATTTCTAATAACATGTTAACAGTTATGACTATAATTTGGGGTCTTGGAGTTGTTGATCAGTAAAAAAGGATCAACCAAAGGTTCTATTTTGATCAACCCAGAATCTGATTGTTGCCGTGGACCATCAACATCGGGAATTCATGGGCCCTTGGGACTGATCCTGAGATTGGTAAAACAAGATCAATGGATTTCAATTGCGATAATACATACATATATGTATATAATAATATTATATATATTATTTATATTTATATTTGTATTTATATTATATTGTATTGTACTATATTATACTATATTACATTATATTATATTATATTATAGGATATTATATTATATTGTATTGTATTGTATTGTATTTGTATGTATGTATATCATTGCAAACAAATCGATGCATATACCAAATTTAGATAAATTTAGTGATTTATCATGAGGTTGGGGAACTCCCCATGGCTAATAGGGATTGTGGATACCCGTAGCTCTGAACCTCTCCCCCAACCACCAGATAGTATTGTACGATCACCTATACTTATCGCCACGAAAGTAACCCTATCACTCTACTATTACAATAGTAATCCTACCACTATATATATATATATATAGCTATAGTGATGCTATTACTATAGTAATCATATCACTATAATTAACTATATACATATTAAATGTTTAATAACCACATGTTAGATCAATATAGTATCACCACTGAGTCCACTGGGCACCAATGCCAGAGCCGGCTAGTTGGAATCCGGGCGTCCAGGTTAGCTTTGGAGACCTTGAGATCCAACGTGATTCCTCGGAATTCCGAAGCGGTGGATTCAAAGAAGCAAACCAAGAGAGAAAACAAAGAACCAGAACACCATGATGATGAGGATGAGGATGGGGATGATGATGATGATGATGATGACGACGACGACGATGATGATGATATGGATACGATGGAGGCAGCAATCATGGCGACAAAACAACTGGTAAATTGTCTGTTCGATATGCCATGCAATCCCAAGGAAGAAACCAAACTTATGTGACCATTGTTTTAGTCTTTGCCGACCCAAGAGACATTCTAGACTAGACCATTGACGTGCAATTTGCATGCAATAGGCCTGGTTGTCTGAAAATTATTGGAAAACCATCAAATTCCATCCATTTTCCCAAGAGCATTGCATTTTGAGGGTAAATCTCCAGTTTCGGGTCTAGATGTCTCAAAACAGCTCCGAATTCCCCATGAAATCATCAAATTATCCCATCCCTCCGGCGCCTCCCCAAGTGATGTTGCCGCCAGCGTTGGAGGTGTTTTCCACTACCACCTGGCACTTGGTCAATGGATGTAATCATGGCCATTTTTAAGTGGGATCCATGTGATTTTTTTGGGCTGCCTTTCACGTGTGCATCAATTGTATGTATCATATATATATATATATTACATATATATATATTACATATATATATATATTACATATATATATTAAATATATATATATATATTACATATATATATAACATATATATATATTATGTATTATACATATATACCCGGTCAATGTTTGAAGAAGATATTTCAATGGATTCAAACACCCAAAGGGTGATCAAATCAAATTCTCCCGGCTTATTGCTAGGTATATTCCCATTGATTATTAGTCAAATCCAACAAAAAACGCTGGTTTCCCTTGGTTCCCTTGGCGCCTCCTCCATGACTTTCGGCGTGGATCGACAGCGCAGCTGGATGGGCCCCTCTTCACAAACGCCGCGGCAGCAGATGCTGCTCAGGCGCAGCCACGCGCCCTGACGGAGCAAGCTGCTGGGGTTTCAACATTGATACCTGGGTTCATTGAGAACCGGAGTCAATGGATTCTAATAAGTCCCCAATATACTAGCCAGCCAGCTAGTAAACATCTAATCTTCCATTAGATGCCCATAAAATCACATCACAAGTCTGTAAAATCCCATTGAAAGCTCCTTTCAAACGGCAAAATCCTCATCAAAATCCCACCAAGTCCCACCTTGGTCGCAGGGCTGGTGGGGATCTGGAAGACCGGTGCAGCCATGAAAGTCCAGGTACTGGAGATGGGTTTGTGATCCGAAGTGCAGACCTGCGCCGAAATTTGATGCTGAGTATTACCATGGACCCATGGTGGTTTCACCGTGAACAACATGCCGTTTCACCAGGAAACCTGGGAAACATGGTGGTTTCTACCATGAAAAATATGTTGTTTTTCCGGGAAAACTAGGAAACATGCTGACTTTCCTATGAACAAGTTTGGTTTTGCCATGATAAATTGTTGTTTTCTCAGCAAAAATGTTGGTGTTCCCGAGAAATAAAGGGGTTTAAAACTACGATAACCATATAGGGTTGGGAATGGGTTAAAGAATGAGGTACCCCATTGAATGGGCCATATCTCGCAAAAGCCAACCAACACTTCAACGAGAATCTTGGCCCTATATGAGTGGCCCTATATCTGGGCAATGTACCAGGCATCCAGGGAAACAAATGTGGAGATTGTAGGTATCCTGACCAACAAAACTGGAGAGAATTCAATAAGAACCATCAGTGATCATCTGTGATGATGTAATCTATGTATAAAGAACACATTTCAACTCTTACTAATCATGGATTTCCCTATTATAGATTACAATGTTGAATGCACGTAACTACGTAAAAGAAAACATGCAACTGCATTATCTGTAATCATATGAAAATCATAGATTGGAATCAATATTTAGTCCCCTTTGAACATTGCAAATAAATGATGAATCTGGGCTAGGGATTTCTATAGATACTTAAGTGGATTTAAGCATTGAAAAAACATCTGGTCATGACGTTACTTTCTGTTGGTCATTCCACACTACAGAATTCAGTTATTATATAATTGTTACTGTTATTAAATATCCATATAAATTGATATATGTTTGACCATTAACAGGAACAATCCCATATAATCCAGTATACCCATGAACAAGCCAATATAATCCCATATCTTCCCACTAATGATCTCATGTCATCCCATATATTCCAATTCATGATCTCATATATATATATGCCCATGCATACTACAAAACAATTTATCCCTTATATAATAATAAAATAATATAATAACTCCATATATTTCCATTATAATCCCACAATTGGACCATAATAATAATCCAATTATAAACCCATACAAACCCAATAACTACCCTCTGGTAAATTAACAAGCTATTGAAAATTGCCATTATAGTTGATTTACCCATTAAACATGGTGATTTTCCATAGTTAGTTTACCAGAGGGTATATATATAGTATTTTCTATCCTACCCTTCCATGCTCCCCCGTTGCCCAACAAGAATCCGTTGCCGCCTCCGGCGCGGCATGGAAGCTGCGCAGCTGGAGCTGCTGCTGGCACCCGGGCAAGCTGCGACGCAGCACGCGGTCGCCTTACCGGGCGGGTCACTGGGGATGGAGTCATCCGCAAGAAAAACCGTGGGGAAAAGGGTGGTTAAACCATGAAAAATGTAGGAAAGTGATGATTTAACGTGATTTAACCAGCGTCAATGTAGGAGAATGATGGGAATTTAACCAACAAACATGAAACATGTGGTTAAACCATGGTAATCTAGGTTGAACATGTGGTTAAACCATGGTGGTTAAGCCCAAAAAACATGGTGGTTAAACCATGAAAGATGTGGGACAAGAGTGAGAAAAAACATGAAAAACCATAGGACACATGGTAACCAACAAACATGTGACATGTCATGAACATTTATTGCTGATTTTTGGGGAATATCACCAGCTCCTTATGGGGAATCCAACGATATACTCCTATGAGCAAATCTGGTTGGAGGTTAAGCCAGCCATGGCCATATCACATGCTATATGGTTTGTTTATGGTCATCCTTTCCATAATCAGAATCCAAACACATGGGTATATATGAAAATAGATATGTGTATATATATATATATATTATGGGTATATAAATCTCTATTGACTCTATTGATGGATTTGGGGGTTGAACCAACAAAAATGAGGCTTTACAAAAATGAGGCTTTACTGGCGTTTAAAGGGATATGTGATTGGAAAAACACCTGGGATATGTGATGGGAATGTACAGTAATATGAGGTTCTACCAAACAAACAACTAAATAGTGGGATATGATGTGGAAATAATATGAAGATCTGACTATTTGTGTCATGGCCAATGATCCTCATACATGTAATGGTCATCCATCCCTTGATGTTTTTTTTTTTAAACGCTATCAATTAATGACGATCTCCTACTAGCAGTGCGTAATCCAACTTTTGACTCGACTCTCGCATGAACTCAGAGGTCCATAATGACACAGCCCCGGACTCTGGTGGTGGGGTCAGTGCATTTGAAACTATGGGGGTGTAACCAACTTTTGACCATGGCACATATGGGGGTGTAACCAACACAAATGTTGGATATATCATGAACTTTAGTGGGATACGACATATAACTAACCATGTGATACTCTGGTTTGTGATGATTATGGTCAAGATTCATCTTATGGATTTACATGCCGTTTATACCCAAATAAGTGCAACTGGGGTGGATGGGTCTACCATGGATCGTTTTTTCGGAATTGGAAATCTACACCAATCCCAGCATGGTATGGATAGATTGGTTGATTGACCATCCATACATGAGTTTCAATCCAACCAAAAAAATCAATTCATGCTTTCCCCACTAGTAACCGGTCGGCCATGTTTGGTCACTAGAACAATGGATTGCAAAAGGGGCAAGGTGAGAAAGCAATTTGGGATTCACACTGATATGGAAGTTTCTTAAAGTCGTAACCCAGATCATCCAAGTCATTATTAGAGCATGACTTATTATTGAAACACCTATGGTGACTTGGGGATCCTCCATTTTAAGAACCCTCCAAAAAACCATCTAACACCAATGGCCAAATCTTAAAAAAACTCTCCTTGGCCAACCCCAACTGCTGGGCTGGGAACAGTAGGACGGCACACGCTTTGTGTCGAAGTGGAAGCCACGTTCGCCTGGAGGTCTGTCATGGTGACCGTTGAACAAATCTTATGGAAGTGGCCAAGAGGAAAACATCCAGGAAGTGTTGGCTCATTCATAGCCGAATTGTGGTGATTTATGACAATTTCAAGGCTACATTTATTTAGAGGATTCAGCACTTTACACTTTACCTCCACATTCACATTTGCACCTATGTTTGCGCAACCAGTCCCGCACCTTTCAAGACGCGATACGTAGGAGGCCAGGTTGGAAGTGCACTGCTGAATCCTGGGTGTCATCAGTCGTGAAGACATCCACTGATTGGTGGTTGAGCCAGTGGACAAATACAGTAAAGTCAGCATAGGGATATGTAAAGATTCATCTTCCTTTCTTTGGGTGGAACAAATATCAGCAATCACCAGCCAGTTGCATGAAGAGTAGTTACTGTTCCTGCATGTCATTGATATCCTGTATTTTGGTTGGTTCAAAAAAATGTTAGTTTCTTTTCAAATCCCAGTTTCAGTAGTCATTGAATGCCATGAATCATCCATTTTGATAAACAATTCCATCTTTAGTTTAGTTTCTAATCCCATTTTTGTTGGTCACACTCCCCCTTTCAGACAGCACCAACAACAGCCTCCGCAGAACAACGGTCGCTCCGCCACGGCTCCGTGCAGCACTCGACCCGCCGCCATTTCGACGTGGAGCTGGTCGTATTGCAACAAGCTTTGGAAGTCCCCGGCGTCGATCCTCAGCCGTGGCAGTCTCGCCTGGTGACTTGGTGTGACGGAATCCCCGATGACTTAAGAAACCCCCAAATGACAGGGACATTCCCATAGAATCCGGTGGGAACAAAGAGAGGGATGTAGAGAAAACGCTGGAAAAAGAGAGGAGTCTGGTGAATTGGGTCACAGTTTTGGCAAACCCATTTGCAAATGTTGAAACTATTTGGGCGATTATCTGTGAGTCACTGAACCCAATCATAGGGTATGCCAAAATATCCATCGATGATGTTCATTTTGAATGAAGCATAAGTGACATGTGGGCAGTGGCGGAAACCCTTATGCATCCTTATGCCATAAGGAATATATAGTTGAACATCATCCAGGGTGCCCCATCCTCTCACCTGGGGACGACGCCTTCAACTTATCATCCCCAAGAGACTGCAAAAATCTCATGCGTGGAGGGTTAATGATGGTTCATACTAGTTCCTCGTGCTTCACTACTAAGACACTAAGATTTGCTACCGCATATAAATCATCAGTCACGTCTACCCATAGTTTCAAGCATAACCATATAACAAAATCATGAAAAAAAACGTCACATTCAACCATAATTAAACATCAGTCACATCACTATAGCCATCATCCCAATCAAACTACGACGAGTGTCAACTGCAGAATGAGGTCCACGTCTGCGTCGTCCTCCAACAGTTCATCCGTTTCGCGGGCTTCACGGGGCGATGTTCGCATCTCTGGGCGAAGCTCCAGGCGATAATTCCTGGGATGGAAATCTTGAGTTTCTGCTAATGTATTGGGACTTCCATTGGAATCATGACCGAAATGAATCTCAATTGAAACTTAAGCTTGAAATTCCAATGACCTATTTTTGTGCTGGCATTGACAGGAAAATGTAAGATGTTTGACAGTTCCATGGATCCCAGTTGCAGTTTTTTGCCCCGACATGTTGGAAAATCCCATGGACTGTTCAGCACCTCATGTTCCTCACCAAAGCGGTTGTTATTTGTACTTGTGTACTTCTCAAACACCCTTGATTTTTAGCTGGTTTGTATATATTCCTCTTCATTCCTATTCATGGCAAAAAATATTTAGCTGCATTAAACTTTTGATCCAGCTGATTTCCCCAGAGTTTCAACCTCTGCCAAGTATCATATGGTTGATTAGGTATATCATATCCATATGATTATGTATATATATATATATGTATCCACTATATCTCCTGATATCCCACTTTCTACCCTGAAACATCATGAAACCTCATTAAACCATACTCTAGAATTTTTAGACCCTCGGCCAAGCTTCAAGTCGCCAAAAAAGAAACTATGATGGCAGTACGAGGGCGCGTCCAACTCCATTCCGGACACCTCTTTGGGGGCCAAGATGGGAACATGTTGATGATGCTATGGGTATGGCTGGTATGGGTCCTGTTCTTTGGTTTGTGAGCTTTGACAACACAGCGATGAAAATATGAGACATCAAGAAAGTCCCAGGATGAAGAAGATTGTCGCAAATTCTGAAACTGTTTGCGACAGCCCTGGTGAGGTTCACAACCAGTGTTTTCTTGGCATGCCCGGTGGTACACCCGGGATTGCTGACCACTTACTATTGTCGGATGGGTTACTTCAGTAATGTGGCATTGGGTAGATCGCTATTTGGGGTGGTTGTTGATAGCCATCAGGTTTACCACATTAATCCAACAATAAATCCTGATGGTAACTCTATTGGCTAACCAACTATTGGATAAACAACCTTATACTATGACAATCAACCCTAACAATAAGACTAACAGTCATACTACTAATGACTACTACTCACTATGACAACAACAGTATACAATAGAAATCACGCTATTAAAATAGGAATTGATTCACCTATTGTTACAACAATAGCACTATATAACACTATATAACACTATACAGCACTATATAACACTATATAACACTATACAGCACTATATAACACTATATAACACTATTTAACACCATACAATTAGCACAACAACACCGTTAAGCCCATTTTTTTTCGCGCCTTTGTCCCGCTGAGGATCTCCGTCACGTCCGCGTTGCGGCGCTGCACGTGGTCGCTGTGCGCTGCCAGGTGGGCGGCCACGAAGCACAGGGAGGTGCCACCCACCTGGTGATCCACCGGGGATTTCTGGATGTTTGGGCATTTAAACATTTAAAACCAACAAAGGTATTACAAACCTTGGGACATTTTCGAGGCAATGGGTGAAAATTCTGATTTCACCAATGACATTTGAATTTTTTATCAGTCGAATCTGGGACTGTTGCAGCAGATTGTGCGAAACATATGTGGTTTAACGGGATTTTAAAGGGATCAGCGAAGGGGTCGAAAAATGTTCAATCAAAACCACTCCCGCGACTCAAATTAGTTGTTGGGGACCATGACTAAGTCCATATTCAACTTGTTTGGATATGTGAAAATGTAGTCATGACTATGGAGAACATGGGTATATTCAATCACAGTCATGACTACATGAAGTTCAATCAGTCGAACATCCAAGTCACAAACCAGAATCTCTCTTGATTCCGCAACAGGTAGTTATCTAATAGTTGGAACAACCATAAATATGATACATGTTTATCCTTTTGAAACTTGGCATGTCCACAAAAAATCTTGAGAAACCCACACATCTCAAACTGTGCGGTCAAACATCACTGGGTTGATTGAAGGGAAACATGAAACGAAAACAAGGTTTTGACAATTAGATTTCAATGTGTTCCTGCAACAGAATCACTTAAGTGAGGAACCACCAACAGACATAGACTCGAACTCTTGGGACATCCAAATCCCTAAAAGGAATTCCTTAAACTACTGTGTCTCAAAAAAAACATATCTCAGTTTATTGAGTTTATTGCCAGAAAAACATGAGAAAACAATGGGCGGGGGGCTTTCCAAAAAAAAAGTAACCAAAATTGTAATCTGTTGGCTCTACAGGGTACGGTATCTGTCCCCATATTTTGCTCAATCCCCCCTTGTTAAAGAGAAATCCATGTTTATGTCAAAATTAGCCTTGGACCCATTATTCCCATATATTCCCATGATACATCCCAATAATCATATCCATTCATATCCCATAATACTAAACACCAAAAAAAGGAAACCATGGGATATGAATGGACAATAATGGGATTAAGTGGTAAATAAACCAATACTAAACCAATAATGCTCCCTATTTATTCAGCGATTTGCACTTCTTTCGGACCCTCAAAAAAGGCCAAGGCTTCCCCCGGTTCTCCACCTCGAGCTTGGCCAATAGTCCACCTTATTGCGAGCAGAATTTGGGGGGAAATTGCACCCAAGTTTGAAAGAAGGCCATTCGAAAAAAATGGGTAGATTGATGATAAACTACACAAATCTTGAGGTACAAAAAATGATATCCCATGATTAGGATAGACTTCAATGGAAGTTTCAACTTGGGTGGACACCAAAAACATCCCCAAATGTGATATTTTTATTCTGGGAAAATCCATGGTTTTTGGGATCCCCAATCTTAAGAAACATCATTTTTTGGGAATGAACAATTTGATATCCATGAAAATCATCCCATTGATACTAGTACAGTAATTCGAAAATCGAGACGGGCCGAAATCAGTCATATTGAAACAGACAACAACCAATCTGTTCCATTTGGATCTATGATAGTTGGGAACCCAGTTGAACACTCTCTCGTGCGAACATGTATCATCCATCCATCCTTAAGGCGGTTTGGCAGCTAACTTCATGAACCCATGCAAACCATTGATTCATATTGATTCACTCCGAATCATCGTACTGCCATGCAACAACAACACAACTTAGTCATCTGAAATCCGGGAAATTCAAACAGGATCTCAACATAGCACCCACAAAGGTCTTTTACTTGGATAGTTCATCGAGTTTCCAGCGACAGAACATGACAGAATCATATGAGGGATGGTCAATTGATGTCAACTGGCACCATCAAGGCACTCAATTCCTGCTGTATATTCCCCATCCACGGTGATCATCCCGTTCTCCTGACATTAAACTACATGGGATGGTTATTATAGTTATTATAACCATTATAGTTATTATACCATCATTGTAGTTATTATACCATTATTATAGTTATTATAACCATGATTATTATAGTCATTATAACCGCTCCCCCATTATTATGATTAAACTACATTATTATCATTGTAGTCAACATTAACATGCTTACTGCTTTTTTCCACCCAAAACTTTCTAACGGTTAGTTCCATCATGTTCCATCCACATTTTAAGTGAAACTCTGGGTGATATACATAAATGATGGTTGTAGTCAGTACACTGATAAAATAACTCAGTAATGGTAGATGGAACATGGTACTATAAGTGAGTTTAACTATAGTTACTCCAGTAATTATACACATGATATACATTTCATAAACACATATAAAATGTTGAATTCTCTTCAAAAATAACTCAGTAATTGGTAGATGGAACCGCCGAGGCACCCATGGCATTAGGCAAAAACTCTATGACATTCACAAATTCTGGCTGATTAGCTCATCATTTTTCCATGTTCCACTACATACATGCTACCCTCTGGTAAACTAACGTAACCATGGAAAATCACCATTGTTATATAATGGGTAAATCCACTATAAATGGCCATTTTCAATAGCTATGTTAGTTTACCAGAGGGTCAATCCCTCATCACCCATGGAATCCATGGGGATCTCTCCACCGAGGCGCCCTTGTTGGGAAAGACGTGCGCCAGCCCCGTGTTCTCCGCCGCCGTCTCGATGTCATGCAGCGGCGGCCCGAAACGCCAGGCGAAGACCAAGAGAACCATGGCGCCACGCGACAGCAGCGTCACCACACGGTAGTCCTGGCCGGGGAAACGTGTGACGGGGGACAGTTGATGAGCTGTTGATCAAAAGAAATGGGGGTTCACCTATTCTGCATTTAAGGTCCATTTAGGGATGACCAAAAACTCACACACACAACAAAACCTCAGGCAATTGGCCTTTCCAAAGAAGTTGGATCACTTCAATTTTCAAGGACAGCATGGAGTTTCTTTCATCCCCAACCCCAGCGGGCACCTGCCCCAGGTGTTCCAGGAACGCCGCCAACAGCTCGTTACAATGTCTGGGTGGCAACTCGCCTCCGTTGCTGTTCACACGCGGCAAGCGCACGGGGCCACCTGCGAACAGGGATGCTGGAGTCGCTTTCCCAGTGACTGGATAAGGAACCACAATGGGACTACCATTCAATCCATTGTCTTTACAATTCCTGCATTTCGATGCACAAGAATTCCAATGATTTATCATGATCTTTAATCTTCAACTTCCCTGTGTATCTAAAATTGCCCACAAATTCCGGTCTCAACCGCGATCTCCCACCAATTTCCTGCTGAAACCTCACCCCGAAACTCCAGCCCATCCTGGAATCCTAACCCCAGGCCCCAGGCTCCATGGCACCTAGGATCGCTTCCTGCACCGCCACCACGATGAGATCGTAGCAGCTGCTGCCATCGCCGCCGTCCCCGGCGCGTCTACGGCCCTGGCGCGGGATCCAGTCGTCGCCTTCCAGGTGGATCGGTTCGTCGCCTGCGGAGCCAAAGGGGACCGAAATGATGGGAATCAAATACTGGGAATATTCAAAGTATACCCAGAGGATCCATGCATGGAATATTTACCTACATTGACCCCTAAAGTAATTTAAAATAATCCCAATGTAGGAAAATATTCCATACATGGATCCTCTGGGATATAAATAGTTTATATTGTACCGCGAGTATATAAAGTTCATACAATCAATAGTATATATTGTACTAAGTAAATAGACTATCATACAAAAAGTAAATGCACTATCATACTATCATTCTAATAGACATATCATGAGACTAAATAACTGCGAATGTAATGAGTAAATTGACTATAATACAATATCATACAATGTGATTTTGAATAAAATTGGAAATATAATGATTTCACATATACATATAAACCAACTGGATATGACTTGTTAAAAGTCATCCAATATCATCTTATACATACAGTATCAGATGAATAGCATTGAATAGCCATAACTTGAGGTGTACTCTACTTTTTGATACTTTTTGAACAAACATATGTGACTGGCGAAAGTGACAAGTTAAGCTTGGAAGCTCACAGAAACCAAAGACCTAGGAAAGAAAACCATGGTTTTGAACCACAAAACGACGCTATAGGCTTCATGTGCCATGGTCAAAACATTGTCTACAGTTTATTGTCATCCATCCCATAAAGGGACTCCAAACATCATGGCTACACAAATCCGTAGTACAACAGATTGATGTTCATATGACAATTCCATTGATCTTCAGCTTTCATTGCCCAAAATTGGCCTGCACTAATTTCTGCTTGATGGTATACCTACCCCTCTGAAAAATATGAGTTCGTCAGTTAGGGTTGCTATTCCCAATATATTGGAAAGTCATAAAATTCCATGGGTCCAAACCACCAATCAGGTTAGACAAATTAACCCAATCAGGTTAGAAATATTAACCCATATATTATCCCAATAATTGGAAAACTACAAGTCATGTTCCAAACCACCAATCAGAATTTCCCATTTCTTCACCATCCCTGGCCCTGAACTCGGCTCCGGGACACCGTTCTGCGCCTGCGTTCATGGACGCCGCCATCAACCACAAGGGACGCTGAAGCGCTTCGGGTCGACCCTTCCTGGGATGGGCTGCGACCTGGAATCCGACCAAAAAATGGGTGTTTCTTGGGAGTACAGATAGGGAAATGATGGTAAACTATGGTAAATGATGGGAAATGAATGTATATTTTGGGGAGAAGTAAGGTGAATGGCAGCTAAATGCTACTTGTACATGTGCAATAGTGCTGCAATCATTTTGGATCTGGGTTTGGGTATGGTCCAATAGCGTTGGGATGGGTATGTGATGGAAATTCATCGCCCACCCGCTTGTCCGATTTGACTGCCAACACTAGCCTCCAACTAGGGATAGAATGACATCAACAAATAACTGGAAACAAAGGAATCCAAACAGGCCGCCCAAGACATTGGAAACACATGTCACCATGCGGCTGGTCTCTGATGGTAGCTCCCTTCTAGCTCCTCATTGGTCATTGGTTGGTGAACAGTTAGATATACAACCACACTCCGAACTGCCCCCTCCATTCATCCCATCAGTGAAAGTTTCAAGTAGAAGCTGATCTGGCCATTTTGATCTACGGCTTCAGCATCAGCATCTACCTGAGATCTTCAGCCAACTGGTGGAGAACTGACCTTTCAACGACCTCCGAATGCGCAGAGGATGGGATCCAAGACTTCAACATGCCAAAATACTACTGGAAATTGGGTCTCATGGTGGGATCTACACCCATGCGGGATGCAGTTTTGACACCTAAAACCTTGTGCGACACTGGGAATGAGCCGCTGATGGCGTGTTTGAAGACCAAGAGCCAGCTGCAGTTGTTGCAGATGACACCCCGCACTATAAACCACTATTCGTTCAGGCTAATATTACAGATATCAATAATGATTACCTGTCAGCCTGTAATTAAACATAACTATCATTGTAGCACCATTAGATATGTTATGTTATGTTTAACCCAAACCTCCACCGGCTTCACCAACTCTTCGCTCCAAGCTTCGCCCTTGGAGGCGCTGCAGCATTCTAAGAACTGCTCGAAGGAATCTTCGAAGCCCGCGCAGGCGCAGGTACCCATGGCGGACGCTCAGCTGGGCTGCGGGAAGTGCACCCAGTTTAGGGGAAGTTGGTGGTTTCAATCCACCGGAAAAAGATGGACAACATATTGGACAATATGGAAAACATATGCAAAACCATTGGAAAACATATTAGGGAGAAAACATGAAAAACATACTGAAATCATCCCAAGGGTGGGAAATCACACATATGTAACACATGTTGAAACAACTAATAGTTACTCTTCGGGATTTCAGCACTACTAATATCTGATCTAACTTGAAGAGAAAGGTAGAATCATCCCCACTCCGATTTGTCCAAACATGCGGCGGTCCAATCTTATGGCCAATGATCATCACTCAGTGGATATTAGGGCCTCACCACTGGCCAAAAACCAGCTATAGTAGTTGAAAAGGCAAGATTCGGCCAACAGAATTTCTGATTCAGTTGCAACCAGCTTGAAATCCTGTCGCTGATGGGTGGCCCCTCATATCTCCAGCAGGGGTTGAAGGTGAAAGCTCATCAAACCAATCAACAGCGAGCCGTTGAGATCACCATTTCTGAAGCTGCCAAGCCTGGCCCTGGCTCAGCCGCTTGAGCGAGCCAGCGGCTTGAGCCATTCATGGCGGCATTGGATGCCGGAAGTCGGACCTGACCCAGCTGAATATGGGGGGGTCCTTAAAATGGATGATTCCCAAGTCACCATGTGTTTTTCAATACTTCAAAATGCTCGAAGGACTTGGATTGGGGTACGAGTATCCCCATGATAGGAACTTCCATATGTTGAAGCTGCTTTCCCAGGGTGCTACTTGCCCCTTGAAGCCCACTTGAAGTTATATATATATATATATTATATTATATATATATCTATCTATTATATATATATATTAAATATATATATATAGTAAGTGGTTTGGATCTGTGCATTTTACTCCCTTGCAACGGGAATTTAATTAATGAAGATGCAACGGAGAACTAGGTGGTGATTGAACTCAACTGACATCACCCAAGAAACAATTGAAAACAATATGATAACAATATGATATCAGCAACAAGAAAAAACAATAGTGACTAATCAGTGGAGTGGTGACGGAGTGGTGTATAGATTCTAGACTTGATCCAGTCATTTTTGGGCGTGAACCTGCTGACAGTGGGATTTCGGTGAGTGAACAGCCAGCAACATCGTGAAGGGAAACCTTGCTATTGACAAAAAAGTTCAAACATCTTGGTGGAACCGCAAAGGTACCAAGTTGAAATCCTCCAAGATAGAGGCATATATTGAACATGCCAAAGGTATGAACTCATCATTTCATTTTGCTCTATCACTCGCATTTTTTTTGCCACTTAACTTTCCATCCCGATGTTCCAACCATTTGCCACACCCAAAATCAATCCGTTGCCTTCAGCCGCCCCAGCCGACCCCTCCGTTCCAGCGCCAAGTTTCAACCCAGAGATCACCGAGACGAAGGGTGCCGCCACCTGCCGATGCCGGGGTTTGACGATCGAATGATTCCATGTGGAAAAATGCGGCATTTCCAACCATTTGGGTTATTGCAATTCTAACCTGAAAAACAAGAGTAACCATTGGCGTTTTTGGTGCATCTTCTGATTCCCCACCTGTTAGGTGAGGGTTGTTAGATTTTATCAGAGTTGTTCTCCTCCTCCGCCTCCTCCTCCTCCTTCTCCTCCTCCTCCTCCGCCTCCTCCTCCTCCGCCTCCGCCTCCTCGGCCAGTTTCTCCTCGACCATGTCTGCATCAAATTCCACCTCCACTTCCGCCTTGCCAACTCTTCGCCAAGCTCTTCGCCAACTTCCCAGCTCAGTGCGCACTGCTGGACCTCAACCTGGGACCTTCCCAGCACAGTGCGCACTGCTGGACCTCAACGGCCAAATAGAATGCCAGATAATATGCCAGAAGATATGCCAGATAGAATGCCAGATAGAATGCCAGGAGATATGTCAGATAGAATGCCAGAAGATTTGCCAGTAACAAAATGGATAAATGTCATGGCGGGGATCACACGAAGTAAAGTAATTTTAAACAAACCCAGTTCGGTATGATTTATTATCAGTGTGGTACTTATCTATACTCATCAACCAAAGCACACCCATTGGTTGAACATATCCTTTGGGACACAACGATCAGGATGTCTGCCATGACGAAATAATTCATGATTGTGGCGCAAAAGTGGAACTTTGGCACTTTATGATAGTGGATATGGGTCAAACCCTCGTAATCCTTCTGTCCACACCAACACTGGGTACAGCTAGATGTTCATCCCCCATCTTGCGGATGGATTCCCGCACGTTGAAAGTTTGATTCCCATTTTGGTTGGAAAATATATAATATATACAGTAATATATATCCAAAACATATCAATATTTTGCTGCTGAATCCCTATCTCCATTGGTGACATTGGTGTTTGTCAAGTTAAAGTTGTTCAACATGGCCGATAAAAAAAGGTTACTGTAATTGATCATCAGCGCATCAGACCCAAAGCCCTTGTGAGTTGCTAGCGAAAGATTCTATACAACTCATGCTTACGCATAATCTCTGACAGCAAAAAAAACAAAACATCCAAGACCACAATGGATAAAATCAATGTCAAACCCATTCCCAAAAAATGCTGTTTGGTGTCCGCATATATGATAGAAAATCTATTGAATGATTTGGGATGACATGAGCATGACTCGGGAATGGCCAATTGCAACAGAAATATTGGGTCATGTTGAGTTTGCAGTGTTTAATCATCCAGTTTCTTAAAGGTCAAAAAATGGCACCGATTCCTCCAAAGGGTGAGACATAGCACAATCTATCCCAATTGAAAACAACATCTTTTGTGAAAGTCACATTGCGGTCCATAGGCCATAGATGGGAATTTTTGCTGACCCGGGGGCGGTTCTGGGTAGGTGAGTAGTCGAACAACTACTGTGCAGATGTGCATCCTAGGGAATGAATGTCTGTCTCATCATTATAGATTGTACGAGTATAGCTAAAATGGTTGTATACCAACATCGCATATCTTGAATATCTTGCAAAACAGGCAAAGAAGTACATTTTGAGTATTCCCTGAATCAAAATCGAAAAAACAAACTCCACCCATTCACCCCCTTTTTTTGGATGGTCGCTCCCTGGGTTTTCAAAGCACACTTCCGAATAAAACTGAAGGATCCTGCAGTGAAGGGCGACTTTGCGCCAACATGGTTACACACATGCAAATTGATCTTGGACTTCAGAGCTGTCACCACCATAGCCTGGATAGCCCCAAGTCACGACTGACCCATCAGTCAGGATCGCAGCAAATGCCCCCAAAGTTGCTTGAACCTGTTGGACACCCTTCAGCTGGCCTTGGACTTCAGAGCTGTCACCACCACAATTTGGCGCACCCCAAGTCACGACTGACCCATCTGCCAGGAACGCAGCAAATGCCCTGTTCGTTGCTTGAAGCTGCTGGACACCCTTTAGCTGATCTTGGACTCCAGAGCTGTCACCACCAAAATATGGCGCACCCCAAGTCACGACTGACCCATCAGCCAGGATCGCAGCAAATGCATGGCTCGTTGCTTGAAGCTGCTGGACACCCTTCAGTTGATCTTGGACTTCAGAGCTGTCACCACCAAATTCTGGCGCACCCCAAGTCACGACTGACCCATCAGCCAGGATCGCAGCAAATGCCTGGTCAGTTGCTTGAAGCTGCTGGACACCCTTGAGCTGATATTGGACTTCAGAGCTGTCACCACCAGAGGTTGGTTCGCCCCAAGTCACGACTGACCCATCAGCCAGGATCGCAGCAAATGCATACATCGTTGCTTGAAGCTGCTGGACACCTTTCAGTTGATCTTGGACTTCAGAGCTGTCACCGCCAAAATCTGGGTTGCCCCAAGTCACGACTGACCCATCTGCCAGGATGGCAGCAAATGCCCGTTGAGCTGCTTGAACCTGCTGGACACCCTTCAGCTGATCTTGGACTTCAGAGCTATCACCACCAGACATTGGTTTGCCCCAAGTCACGACTGACCCATCGGCCAGGATCGCAGCAAATGCCCAATCCGTTGCTGGAACCTGCTGGACACCCTTTAGCTGATCTTGGACTTCAGAGCTGTCACCACCACAATTTGGCGCACCCCAAGTCACGACAGACCCATGTGCCAGGATCGCAGCAAATGCCTGGTCCGTTGCTTGAACCTGCTGGACACCCTTTAGCTGATCTTGGACTTCAGAGCTGTCACCACCACAATTTGGCGCACCCCAAGTCACGACAGACCCATGTGCCAGGATCGCAGCAAATGCACTGTTCGTTGCTTGAAGCTGCTGGACACCTTTGAGCAGATCTTGGACTTCAGAGCTGTCACCACCAGAGTCTGGTTTGCCCCATGTGACAACCCGGTCACCTCCAGAGTAATACAGGGCAAAAGCGGTGCTTGTTGCCGCCAGCTTTGCCTCGAGCACAATAGCCGTCAAATGGTTGCTGCTCTCAAGTCCCGCAGCTTGCAGAGATACTGTAGGATCCAATGAGTGATGGTCTGCGGCCACAAGCCTCAAGAAACCACGTTGAAAGGTCTTCTGAGCCAGAAGCCTCAAGTCCCCTACTTTGGAAGACTGCGGAATAGACAACTTCTCACTGCAACCGCTTGGCAACGCTACAGTAATTTGAAGCATATCTCAAGAAAGTCGAATGTAATGAATGGAACAGTTTCTACAATACTGATCTTGAGCCAAACTGCACCACTTTTTGAGCATTGGAACAAACTCCCAAGACCAACTCGGCAGTTCAAACCGTTTGCTGGAATGATTGGGAACTGCCTGTCTAAGGGCCATGACAAGCAAAGCCTTTTGATTTCATGCTTGCACCCGTCACAGTGGTGTGGGTGATGATATCCGGACAATTGCCGATTCTAATCCCAGCTTTTGGAGGTCCTGAGAACACCCCTTGGTTGGATGTGCATCGAAGGAATTGTATTTTGCTAGTCACCATTATTAGTTCGCTCAGTTATAAATTCAATATTTAATATTTACATATATGCCACAGTTACATGTATATAATAACATATAATAGAACTACTATTCTATACATCCCTCCATTCACCAGTGGCACTGGATACTTAAACCACTAAACTAGGCATGGGCTTGATTTTTCATGGAAAATGTACCATATCACATCATGGTTTTGTTTCAGCCCAGTCGTCCCTCCTTTCGACTATGAACAGCATCTGTCAAACCTGGTAGTTCCTGTGCCATGTTCATTTGATGGGGAACAGTGATTACACAAAAAGGCAGTTCCATATTTTGGGGCACAGATTTGTAAAGTCATGTGCTCTCTTCCTTCCAGGTCCAATTGAAGCAGCTGTGCTGGCTAAATGAGGATTAGGCTATTTTGATACTCAGCAGAGCTCAATACTGCACATAATAAGTATGGGCTGTGGGAGTTAATCAACGAACTGGGGTTTTTACTCGTCAATATCCATTAATGGTACCCCACGAGCCATCAATTCTTCGGGAACATGATGTTTTTTAAAATAATTGGGGCTTGCTTGGCCAGTGAAAAATTTTGCAAAAGCATCCAGGATGAAGTTCATGTGTCCGAAGATTCAAAGAAAAGCAACACAGTGTATTGATCATATTCACTCATATTCAATCAACAGTTGTAAAACTCAATAAATTCCCCACCTGCCAGGTGAGGGTTGTTAGATTTTATGTCAGTTGCCTCCTCCTCCTCCTCCTGCTCCTCCTCCTCCTGCTCCTCCTCCTCCTCTCCTCCTCCTCCTCGTCCTCCTCGTCGTCCTCGTCGTCCTCGTCGTCCTCGTCGTCCTTGCTCAACTGCGACCCGCGATCCACAGTGTTCTCTGCCGGACCTCAACCACGACCATCCACGCCCAGTGTTCCCTGCCGGACCTCAACCACGACCATCCACGCCCAATGTTCCCTGCCGGACCTCAACCACGACCATCCTCGCCCAGTGTTCCCTGCCGGACCTCAACCACGACCATCCACGCCCAGTGTTCCCTGCCGGACCTCAACCGCGAGTATCCACGCCAAGTGTTCCCTGCCGGACCTCATGTAGGAAGATATGGGACAAAGAATGTGCAGAAGAAGAGAATGTCAGAAAGAATGCCAGAAGATATGCCAGAAGATATGCCAGATAGAAGATATGCCAGATCCAGAAGGCCAGATAGAATGCCAGAAGATATGCCAGATAGAATGCCAGATAGAATGCCAGAAGATATGTCAGATAGAATGCCAGAAGATTTGCCAGATAGAATGCCAGAAGATATGCCAGAGAATATGCCAGAAGATATGCCAGATAGAATGCCAGATAGCCAGAAGATATGCCAGATAGAATGCCAGAAGATATGCCAGATAGAATGCCAGAAGATATGCCAGATAGAATGCCAGAAGATATGCCAGATAGAATGCCAGAAGATATGCCAGAAGATATGCCAGATAGAATGCCAGAAGATTTGCCAGATAGAATGCCAGAAGATATGCCAGCCAGATCATATGCCAGAAGATATGCCAGATAGAATGTCCAGAAGATATGTCAGATAGAATGCCAGAAGATTTGCCAGTAAGAAAATGTATAAATGTCATGGTGGGGATCACACGAAGTAAAGTAATTATGCTTTTCATGCTCAAAGCATGTTTGGAGGCTGTACCCCAGACTCTGCCGCCATTTCCACACTGCCGCCTCAAAGTTGCATTGGCCACTGGGATCATTCAACACACTCTTGGCAACGTAGATGTTGTAAGAGCTCACCAAACGATCGTCCTGTTGGATTGGTAAAAATCTTATGGAAGGACTGGGGAGTCCAAGACTATGGGAACTGCTTTTTTTTTGCCATCGTTTTGTGGGATCCAGCGGATGCACAGAATTTGGATATCACTCGCCAAACGACTGGAAACCTGGCAAATGGCTTTGTAAAAATGGGGGATGGGCAAATTGGGGCCACGAATTTCTAGCCATGTCCAAAATGAAAAAAAAATGATCATGACAACTCTGGTGTAGCGGTTGTCTTGGATCACTATAGTCCATTCCTCTTCATCCTCCGCTGCAGACTCCAAATGAACAAACTCAGCACAGGACCAGGTTTCCTGGCGGGCCTGGTGCCTCTCACCAGATCTGCACGTCCCTTATCCAAAATGGAGCAATCACTCTGGATCCAGACAGTACTGTAGTCCACGCCAGTGTCCCGGACATGCACGAGGGGGTCCAGCGTGCTCGCCATGTAGATGACCTTGACTTTCCGGCGGTTGTCGTGCGTCAGAATGTTCCCGGGGGTGACTTCGTCGTGGTACAGGATCATATCACAAGGGCTTGGCGCAGATACCAGCACGCAACGGAGTCCTTCATGCCAGCACCAGCACCAGCGCTTTTACAAGTGTTCTGCATGTTGGTGCATGTCCTGGTTCAACCAAATGCCTGTGGGGTTCAACCCACCCGCACATCTATGACCCAGGCAAAGACATGATGCATTTGGAGCAACCATTTCAAAGTGGATGGAAAATCCAAACAAACTCTAAAGCACCAACCAGCTACGGTCCCAGTAACGTTGGTGAATGCTGTTGATATACACCCTGTTCCTGCCGAAGCATACGGCTACACAGCATCAACATCGTGTACTCCCGAACTGATGGACAATAGTCAAACGCAAGCCCATGTATGTTCTCGACAAATTGTTTAAACATACCCAAATTTCATCTGAATCGATGGTTGTGTGTTTGGTGGAAAAGCACTTGGAAAGATGGATATTTAACCCGGAAACAGGGTATGACGACTATCCTAGATGGAATGAAACTGTTGAATGCATTCAAATGCAGTCTTTCATGGCTAATCGTGGATACCAAGCAACAAAAACTTGAACTGGGCATTCTGGTATTTTTATCCGCGCACCAACATGCCCAACAGTTGACATTTGAACTTACCCTTCACCAGTTGGTTCATCCAAGTATATTTTCCCATTCTAGTAAAATCTACATGTTTCACCCTAAAAATCCCCATGTTTTGCCCAGCTAAATCCCACCTTTTACCGGTTTAACACCCAGATCTTTCCAGCTCCGAAATTTCAGGTCTTCCTCCCCGAAAAAAATCTCCTGAGGAGCGTCCCAGGACACTTCACCACCCAAGTCGCCTGACCAGTTGACCAACAAAGCTGGTTGTTGCACCCCATTGTCAGACATTCTCTGTTGGTTTGCTGGTCCTGTCACCACAACATAAAATAGAATAAACAACAAGAACAACAAGAAGAATAACGAGGAAACGTGACAACATCTAATAAGTTGCAACCAAGAGAAATGTAGACGTAGCCACAAACAGCTTTCGGATGAAACCCATGGGCTATGTTCAGAACCTTCTAGCAAAATCGCTGAGGGACATATCCTAGAAAATGCAACCTTCAGGCATGAAAGCTTCTGTGATGGGGATCTGACCAGTACCTTATTGATGGTGAAATCATGTTAAATCTGCTTTCTTTGGGGCAGCAAATTTCAGAAGCACTCAGACATATTGGCCAAGTTAGCAGTTGGTAGATGTTGGCCCTTTGGTTCACACAGTTTCAAATTCGACCCCTAGACCTTAAACAGTGCCAAAAACCAGAACAAAAATGGGTATTAGAGACCATAACTTTGTGACATATTCAGCAAAGATTTGCAAGATATGAAGGCAATCAGTAGCCATTTTGGTAAGCTTTCTGCTATCATGTGGTAAACCTAATAATAAAAACCTCGGATTTGGGGATGATCGTTGCACCCCACGGTGATGGGATGATTCAATCCTTCACCAAGGTCCGAAGCCGCCACGCCTGCGTCTAAGTCGAAGTCTGGGAAGGTGATATTGGCCACCGATGCGAAGTTGTCCTCGGAGCACTTGAGGATTAAACAGGGCCACCCTGTGAAATAGCCCATGGACCAGTCCGTAGGTTTCACTCAACCATTTACCCTCTGGTAAACTGCCATAACTATGGAAAATCACAAATGTTAATGGGTAAAACCACTATAAATGGTCATTTTCAATAGCTATTTTGACATAACCAGAGGGTAAGGCTTAAGCATCAACCAACCGTCGATTTCAGGTGAACCCTGTTGTGTGTTTGCGAATAGGCATGCGTTGATCAATGTTCATGACTGCTACAACAAAGCAAATAAGACCCTATGACTCTATAGTATCTGAAACAGAAACCATCATTCATTGATCAACACATATCAACTCAATAGACAAAACTGAACAGACAATCAACTAATCATTAATCATCATTAATAAATCAACAATATTCATCATTTGCTTAGCCTTAACCATTCATAATCAACTATCCAACCTGTTTGGCAAAATTAAAACTCAGCTCAGACTCCGTGATGGCCAGCCAAACGGGCGTAGTCCTCAGGGGCATCCCCTGGTGGTTGACCCACCTTCAAACCCATGGGATTTACTGGGGAATCAGTAAGACACCATAGAAAATCCTATGTTTTGTGGGTCAAAACCAAGGTTTTCTATAGATTGTTGATTAAACTAATCCTATGATGATATTAGGATGATATTAGTTACATGGTCTGTGTATAGCATCAGACCATGTTTGGTGAATTTGTTGATGCTCATCATCGAGCAAGGAAACAACTCGCTTCGCAAGAAAGGGTATCTCAGAAGAAGGGAGTTACCACACAACAAATATTCTAGTGGTAAGCATTTGCCAATTTAAAACTTTCCTTGATGAATGGATTCCCCAATGTAAAACACGAGACTTCATGCGTCTGGTCGCACATGGTATCACAATCTGGTAAATCACACTGAATGCTGCTGCTGATCCTTCAGACATTCCATTCTTACGGGTTTGGTCAGATTTTTGTTGGACAAAGTCCAATAATTAATCAACTATACCCAATTTGGGTTTATTAGTGGGATGTTTATTTTTAGGACACCCCAATGGATGGTTTTTGGAAGGTTCATAATTGGGTTTAGCACGCTGTTCAATTTTTGATTGGATGCTACATTCCCTGCCTGGTAAAATCTACAGGTCTGACTGAAATCAATTTATGAAGGTCGAATGTCCAAACTGTCACTGGTGACCTATGTTCATAAAATCCCAATGATTATACTGGTTAAAATCCCTTATAGTAAGCATTCAAATCCCATGAACATCTCATTAATAGGATATTAGTAACATATATACATATATATATATATATATTATAGATGACCATCCCTTTACTCGGGCTTGGTGGTTCATGCTCAATACCATCACTCCCTATCAAGTTTCTGCTCCATCAGTGCAGATTGGGTGTACACCACGATGTACCTCAGGGCAAAGCGAGATGGACATGACAGAGAGATGGAACTGATCTGGCCATGGATCAAACCTCCCTTTCTTCACACCAAAACATAGCTGATCAGTGGATCAGGCTGGATATTTTTCAGTGGTATGGCTGAGAGATATGCGAAGCCAAAATCAGTTGAGGATACGATTGATCCCCAAAATGTGGTATGGAGCAGATCTTTCAGCAGCTGACCCACCTTGAACGGAAAACGAATTGTCTGATTGATCCTACTGAGTACACAAAACATATCTTCAGTGTCACCTACATTTTGCTCAGCTGCTTTCTTTGGCACTGCAGATGTCCAGTTAAGTCAAGTACTTGGATTTGGCAAAGAGGGGCTGTAAAAACATCAAACCATTTCTATCTAGCCGATTCCTCAACTGGCAGATATCCTGTGATGTTTTGCTCTTGTGAATATCCATTCTCCGAAGCCAGTACCATGTTTTATACCACATCATCCGGGATTGAATACATTACCACCATTGGCCAAAACAAGTCAAACACTTGCCACACCATAGGTGGTACTAAGACCATACCGTGGATGCTGACAAAAGGGATGATTCCACCTGTGATTGAGATCCAGAAGCAATCCATATTGCACTTTGGTCAACAAACATAGTGAGGAAAAAAAAGGCCATATGTAGACTTATTCCCACTAACGTGGGTAAACCGGCAACCGCAACCAGAAAAACACTTGTACATCATGTACATAAAACACGTATTGTAGGTTTTAAGTATCTTCAGTTATATCTTGTTCATTGTACCACCAGTTTCTACCATGGCACATCTTCAGTTATATCTTGATATCTTCCACCAGTTCCAAATCCCACATCCCCCGTCCGAGCGGCGGCTGCGGCGGCAGCGGCGTCTCGGGAACGATGGCCATCTCCAGCTGCGGCTTCACCACGTCGGGGCCCACCTGATAGCGCCCCACGCCTCGACGGCCACGGCACGGGTCGCGGTGGTCGCGACGTTTGAGGCACCCGTTTTGCACCCAAGAAACAGACATAAAGTGTGAAAATGAACATTTATATACATTAATAGTCATAGTCATATTGTTGTTTTTTCCTAATGTTTTTTGGTTAATTTGACATGTTTGGCTTAAATATCCATTTTGTCTAGACATAGTGCCAACCAAGAAACCTCTCTGGTGTTGAAAATGGAATTATGATCAATCATGATTCAGTGATTCAGTTTGTTTGAGTTGGAAAAAATTGCCTCGGCCGAAGGAAGTTGATCTTGATTTCTTTCTGAAAGCTGGGAATTTACCAAGATTCTTAGGGTTTTTGGCTGGGTGATGCATTGTATGACCTTTTTCAATGGCAGAGTGTCTATGGTAGTTTCGGATAGTCTCTGTGGAAAGACAAGGCAGTTACCCTCTATGTCTATGTCATGAACATAACATACCTCCTTCATGTCAATACTTAATAAACCAAACCAATAGGAGCCAGAATTACATTATCTGGGCAGGTCACTCATAGAGAAATTGCTGGCATACTTGCAACATGTTGCAAAACATTTCCAAAGACGAGGCATCACTTGTGAACACAAAAGTATCCAGTTGTTTGTGGATCATACTTTAAGACCATAACTGGTTGGTGGTATACCTACCCCTCTGAAAAATGATGGAGTTCGTCAGTTGGGATGACTATTCCCAATATATGCAAAGTCATAGAAGCCATGTTCCAAACCACCAATCAGTTCAGATCATTGATCATCCCATCTTCTATGGTATATATCCCATGTATTATCCTATAATATACCATCCAGTACCAACCAGGTATTGTTTCCATATTAAATCCCTATCATTTCCATTTGATTGCCATGTTTCCTTGTTATTCTACCATAAATCCATAGATATATATTCATCCATCATTTCCTACCATAAATCCTTGTTATCCCTATCATTTCCTACCAGATTGCCATATTATCCATACAATGGAGGCTATCTGGGACCTCCCCTTGGCTCCGCCTGTTGCCGTGTTGGCCACGTAGACCCGGTAGAGCTCCACCCGGTCGTCCAGCAGCGGGGCGCTCCAGGAGACGTTGCCGCCGATCTCCAAAGGATCCAAGTCCTAACGCCGGGGGGGAAGAAGCAGGGGGCGTAAAACCTACAAAAACCACCACAAATTGGCAATATTTATAGAGAATATAATATACATATATTAATTTAAAAAATGATGGATGAATATATATATATATATATATATCATTTTGGGAAAAAACAACACCATGGAACTCCAACAATAGTTGCATCATGTTAATCTATGTCGATAGTATGCACGATAGGAATGTGATTGGAGAAACAACATGGAGGTCAAAATCCAAGAAAACACATTTACAGCTAGCAGATGCTAGCAGCTAACAAAAGGAACACATCTTGCAACACACTTGCAAACCACATGGGATTGACAATTTCGGGTCATGTCTTTGACCCCGGAATGTTTGTTGTTGAAATCAGGGTGTTTAGTAAATCCACATTGACAGGTTCTCCATGTTTGATCAGCTGCGCTGGTTACCCTCCAACTAAGACAGACCCTGCCAACTGAGATTTTCAGAGTTTCCGTTACTTTGCAGAATATGAAATCCCATTGTATGTTCAATCCTCTTAAATCACCATGTTAGCCAATGAAATGAATAACATGTCCATGTTTGATTAGTCATGCTAAATCCCTCCATTTTTTCCGGCCCCATCCCCGGAGCTTCACAACTTGCTTCACAGCCGAGGCGCCCGATCTTCGAAAACGATCTCTGAGACGCTGGCCACGGCGTCGAAGATCAGCAAAGCCACAGGGGTGGTTTGCCTGGGGATGTTGGAATGGACGTACTTTCCAAAATGGAAATGGATTCGTATTACTTGGAATTATGGGGTGGATTATAAATGATAATAATATATTATATAATAGTGAGTTATAGAATTAGATATAATATAATATAATATAAAATTAAATTATATTATATTATACTAAATTATATTACATTATATTGTATTATAATATATTATTTTGTATTATATTGTATTATGTTATATTATATCATATTATGTTATATTATATTATTTTACATGAAATTATATTATATTATATCTTTTACATGAAATTATATTATATTATATCACATTATATTATATTATTATATTACATTAAATTAAATTATATTTTATTCTATTCTATATATACGTATAAATATATATATATATACATATTATCTCTCTATTATCTATCTATAGTCATCATATATATACGTATATGTGATGTGATATGATGCCATCTGATGTGATGTGATGTGATAGATATAACATGTTGACAACATGTAGATATGTCTCTTTGTTGCTGTGATTAAAATGGATGCAACCCTTTATTTTGGGGAAAATAAGAGGCCCGACATGTACAGGCTCAGGGTAGTTTAAACACAACAAAAAAACGAACAAACGGCCTTGCACAAACTGCCTTGCAGAACCAGAAACAGTAAACCAAGGTGGTCAATCCAAGGAATGTCATGTCTCTCATGTAATGTCAGAATGACAGTGCATCATTTAGGAAGCATGAGAGTGTACTAGATAAATCTAGAACTAATCTGGATAACCTGATAACCTTCCAACAAGTTCTGGTATCCTTCAAAGTGCTCACATTAACACCGCAAACAACACGTTCCCCCGAAAACTCATCCCATCCTCAGATCCGAAATCTGCAACCAAGGGGCTCAGCCAGCGCCGAAGCCGTGTAGATCAGGAAGTGGGTGTAATTCACCAAGGGCGTCTCTGCTGCAATGCTGAAATTGTGCACCTCGGCTGGTGTTGAGTCCAGCTCCCGGGATATCAGTTGGACAACTGCTACTGTGAACTTCCAAACAGTTAAAGAATGCTCCACTCTGACTTTTTCTTGGCCAACCATCAAGTTGCAGCCCAGACACCCCCTTGGGCACGATGCCCAGGAGGGATCGCTCTTTGCCCGTACTGTTCTCGGCCATGTAGATGTGATACTGAGGCCTGCGACTTGGCCCAAGATTGGATGGATTGATTTTAAGCAAGATTTACAGGAAACCGCAGGTTTACCTCCAAAAAGCTTTAGGTGACTTTTTGTTGGCATCTTATACCATGGCTATAGCTATCTTTAGATATCGAGCCAACATGTTCAGTTGAACTTGCGCAGTGTCTTCCACCCTTCACCGCATGGTTTACTTGGAAAACCTGATGTTTGTCATCCCCTGAAAAAAATGAAAGAAATACATTTTACTAAACATATTCGCCTCCCACAAATCTTCCTCAAAAGAACTGGAGCCCTGTACCACCACTAGGGACCTGCCAACGCAGCTGCCGCCAAGTCGCACCACGTCGTCGTCTTCCGGCGCTTCCCACAGCAGGTCGCCGAAGAGGTCCGTCTCGTCGAGATCGTAGTCCCAGAAGGAGACGTTCCTTGGAGATACTGGTGGAACATATGGTTTAACATAACAGGGCTCTTAACTGTCGTTTCTCCAGTTGGGATAGTTGTGTTTCTAGTAGCTGACCAGCCAAGCCAGAGATTATCTAATCCTTTTTCACTGGGGTCATCTGGTTAATGGGCAAGGCAGCAAAATGGCCACCGAAGTGGACGAGTTGTGGCACTATCCCAGCACTATCAGGAAACACCAATTGCCCAAGCTGCCGCACCGGTGAAAATTTGTCCACAAAGTTCAAACCCACCGGAGTAGTCTGCTCCACCAGGCTGGACCTCAGTGGCGCAAATGGACAAATGGTGGAACCTATGGGTGTACAGAATCCGGGGGGTATAGATTCTAGATATGTGTTCTGGAGTCCATCAGATATACAAGGTTGAATTGATAAGTCGCTGTGGTTTTTGCACTTTAATCGTAACCACTACGATGAATGTCCAGCCATCGAAAGTAGAAGGTAGGCACAAAAAGGAAGGTACATGCATTGAATACTTACTAGGTAGTATCTCCGATTAATTTCCCGTGGTTTCTATGCAATTAAGGTATTTGTTTTCGAGCGTCCCTCATTCTGTATGTCATGTTCGTTGCTCGTATCTGGGTTTCCCCTGGTTCTGTTGGTCAGACCACATCCTTTTTTGGATATACAGTAGCTTCGCTTATTTCCTGATGCTGTAGGAGTGAACACTGAAGGATGATAAGGACCCAGTACCAGTACCAAAATAATGATAATGCTAGCAGGATACAGGATACCCGAAGATAACACCTATCACACATGATCAATGCTTGCAATAAAATTCAGCATGGATCTCAAACTGCACGATCCCTGATGGACACATATTAACATACAAATCGCACATATCTAATGAATCAAACCAACAACCAACTGATTATCTCAGCATCCTCCATCGCCATCAGCAGGTCACTGCGTATAGACCACGAAGCGCGTGAAGTGCAACGGCTCCGTATCCGGCGGCGCCAGCAGTTGGTTGGTGCCCACCGCGACGCTGGATTCTGGCGGATGATGAAGGCAACCCTCCGACAGGACACAACACCTAGCGATATACGGATATACGAGTAAAGTGAATCATGTTGTTCATTTTTTGCGATGGTTACCCTAAATACAATAGATTCAATGATTCAAAAGACATTTTATAGCTGACACACGGCGAAGATGGGTATGTCCGGGTATGCGTCAATAGTTGTTGTGTCAAAATCTGTTGTGGTCCAGGCAAGATCTAAATGAGCAACTTGCTTCTAACTCACCTGCCCCAATCAACAATTTCATTCTGGAAAACCGCAGAGGATATCATGTGGTTGATAAACCCTTGATAACCCTGGCTACAAGCCAACTATCAACTGGAGGACCCCAAGTTAAATATGGATTCTTCAACACTTGCAGTACTCCAGGGTTATTTGGTTGGATCCTTGGCTGTACCGCTATTTTGTGGAATTTATCCTATAAGCATTTTTGGATGGATAAAAAGGGTTACTGCTGTAGGACGTGCTTATGCATCCTGCAGCCATTTCAATGGCTGATGCGAAGAACCTGACTTACCCTGGAAACGATGTGCTATGTCGCTGCAACTGGGGTGGCGGTCAAATGCGGTCAATCATCCCTGTCAAGTACTGTACTTCCATGTACTGGATTGCACATCCAAGAATCCAACCCAAGCCCAACCAAAATATATGGATTCTTGAAATTTTCTTAACCACCTGCTAGCTGGGGATGCACATCCCCATCCCCTCCCATGGCCCCCCGGTGCCTATCTGCGACCGTTGCTGCGCTTCCAAGGGCCCCGCCGCATCCACTGCCAGGTCCACCACGTACCACGCCACGCGCCGCAGCGCCAAGGGCGGCGTCCAGTGGATCCAACCACCCAGGTCGATGGGGTCCAGGTCTTCATCTGTGAACCTGGCGATGGGAGTGCCCCAGTTCGTCTTAGCTAAGTTGGTGCGTTAAAAAAACTCCAATTTCACTATTGTTGATGGTATATTGTGGTATATCATGATATATTGACATACTTATATACATGCTTATAAACCAACTTATCACTGGGGGTCACCAACTTGTGTATGTGTATATATATACATACCTTATGGATCATTATGGGATATTATGGGTAGGGTATGATGTTTATTTATATTTTTGTTGCTAAAAGATGTGATCAATAAGGTAAGATATTAAGATGTTGTATACATTATGGCTTGGGATAATTCATTTTGTTACTGTTATTGTTAATTACCCTTTGGAAATCAAACATGGCCTGAAAATCCCCAAGGTTTGTAGCTGGGAACATCAACAACAAATGATAAATGGATGTTTAGAGCTTGGAAAATCATCGAACTCAATGGATGACACCGGGTAAACGGGATGATCAACCATATGGATCCATATGGGCCATATGGGGATTGCGGAGAGGCCAAGGGAAAATCACTTCAAGTTTAAAAAAAGGCACCTGCCAGCAATATGGATCTGGGCATCCAAAGTTGATGCCAAGGGGGATTTAAAGCAACCCCAAATGTGTTTTTTTTCAAACACATTGAGATTTATGTGTAGTAAAACAGGGATCCGAATTATAACCATGGCGTCAGCAATTCACAAAACAACTGGGTGAAGGTCATTGGTTGAACCAACAAGTGAGAATGAAACCCATCAGGGATCAACAACTATAGAACACCATGCAATAGACGTAGGGACTTAAGAGATTTAAGCGATTTAAGTGGGGAGAATTAAGCCACCAAACTCGGGTTTTGGCATGTTTTGGCAACAAACATGGGGAGCTGAAATGAAGATTTCAACCAGCTATAGAATTTCGGTCGAACTAGATTTAAATTGTGCTTTGCGTCACCAAACAATGAGACTTACAGCAATCCGCAATAAGGGGTAAACACCATAGAAAACGGGAGGATTTGACCAGAAATGATGGAGTCATTGGTTAATATTTGGTATGGCCGACAACCATGACGGTTTGGCCCAAAAACATGGGGAATCGACTGAAAAAAACGTGATAATAAGTAAACTTGGTTGTGGAGTGACCATAATGATGGATAATGCATCATAGGATGGAATTTAATATATTTAGTCCTATCAAGATTCATTTTTGTGGCAGAGTCATAATACTGAATCTCGAGCCACAAAAGTGAGATCTTCATAAGGAATCAGTAGGATGATCCGAGCAACACACGGAGGACCCCGCCTGATCTCCGACACGCTGGCAACTTCATCGAAGAAGCGCAGGGCCATGGGGGTTGTTTGCTCCACCAGGGAACTCAAGGTGTAGATTGCCAGGTGGCTAAAGGGCGGTACACCTTGGATGCCAAAAACAGGTGGAACATCTACAGGAAACCATGAGAAAAACCATGCCATATTGGGGTTGAACAAAAATCCCTTAAGCCAATCTAGTGATGGATTCATTTATATTGGTTCATGATGAAGTATCATATGCCAAAGACAATTTAACTGTCATATGAGTCATATATCTAGTTATGGATCAAATATGGTTGATTAATTGATGGTGATTTATCTAATTAATGGCGAGATACTTTCTTTCGGATTGATGTATTGTTTTTAGTCTTTCTTATCATCTTTGCAATTCTGGTTCACAACTAGCAAGCATGTGCAAACAGCTCTGTGCAAGAAGCATGGTTTATCTTCATAAACAGACATGAAACAGTATCTTAAGACAGCAAAAATGAACATTATAAATAACATACATGGGTTGGCGCACATATTTCGTCAATGGGAATTCCATCAATATGATTTTGACTGGAGGCTTTAAAAAACCTAGGTGGCCGGGCGCATTTGATAATATTTGATATTTTGTCAATTTTTGACCTGACAACTGTAAACCATTCACATTTTGTCCGATACCCTTCACGGACCGTAGTTTCAGACTAGTGTGAGCCAAAAGCAAAAAGAGGACTCCAATGATTATTCTGCTTTGCTTTTGGTAGTTTTTGACTTGTGACCTTTGTGGTTTGGACATGGCACTTTGTTCTGCATAGTTGTTGTTGTTTCTGCTTCAGGAAACCGAGTCTGTCACTATCTGTGGTAAAGTGAGGGTATTGGAAAAGCATGTTGAACCCTTGCACTTGGGGTCTCGCTCACTCATCACTGAGGGTAAGCTTGGGGCACTTGGACTTCAGAGTGAGAAAAGAAGAGGTAAGCTTTTGGTCATGAGTCATGTTTGAACAGAGAATGTCCTGGTTGTATCCCAAGATCACATATCTTACATACCATGCAAAGAGTATATTTTAAGTATTCCCTGAATTAATATCGCAAATAAACATCCACCCATTCACCTTCCTGGATGTCTCTCCCTGGCCTTTTCAAGCACACTTCCGACGGCTGATCACAAAACATGTAGGATTCTGCGGTGACTCTGCATCTTCATGGTTACACACATGCAAACTGATCTTGGACTTCAGAGCTGTCACCACCATGGCCTGGAGAGCCCCATGTCACGACTGACCCATCAGCCAGGATCGCAGCAAATGCACACCAAGTTGCTTGAAGCTGCTGGACACCTTTCAGCTGGTCTTGGACTTTAGAGCTGTGACCTCCACGAATTGGATGGCCCCAGGTCACGACTGACCCATCAGCCAGGATCGCAGCAAATGCCTGATATGTTGATTGAACCTGCTGGACATTTGAGTTGATCTTGGACTTCAGAGCTGTCACCACCAAATTCTGGGTGGCCCCAAGTCACGACTGACCCATCAGCCAGGATCGCAGCAAATGCATAGCGTGTTGCTTGAACCTGCTGGACACCTTTCAGCTGGTCTTGGACTTCAGAGCTGTCACCACCAAATTCTGGATCGCCCCAAGTCACGACTGACCCATCAGCCAGGATCGCAGCAAATGCCTGGTCAGCTGCTTGAAGCTGCTGGACACCTTTGAGTTGATCTTGGACTTCAGAGCTGTCACCACCAAATTCTGGATCGCCCCAAGTCACGACTGACCCATCAGCCAGGATCGCAGCAAATGCCTGATATGTTGATTGAACCTGCTGGACACATTTGAGTTGATCTTGGACTTCAGAGCTGTCACCACCAAATTCTGGATCGCCCCAAGTCACGACTGACCCATCAGCCAGGATCGCAGAAAATGCACACTTTGTTGCTTGAACCTGCTGGACACCCTTCAGCTGATCTTGGACTTTAGAGCTGTCACCACCATGGCCTGGAGAGCCCCATGTCACGACTGACCCATCAGCCAGGATCGCAGCAAATGCATAGCGTGTTGCTTGAACCTGCTGGACACCTTTCAGCTGGTCTTGGACTCTGGAGCTGTGACCTCCACGAATTGGATTGCCCCAGGTCACGACTGACCCATCAGCCAGGATCGCAGCAAATGCATGGCTCGTTGCTTGAAGCTGCTGGACACCTTTGAGTTGATCTTGGACTTCAGAGCTGTCACCACCAAATTCTGGATCGCCCCAAGTCACGACTGACCCATCAGCCAGGATCGCAGCAAATGCCTGGTCAGTTGCTTGAAGCTGCTGCACACCTTTCAGCTGATCTTGGACTTCAGAGCCACCACCAACTTCAAGGCCCCATGTCACAACTCGGTCACTTCCAGAGCAAAACAAGGCAAACGTTCGTCCTGTTGCTGCCAGCTTTGCCTCCAGGACAACAGCCGTCAGGTGGTCTCCATCCTCGAGTCCCGCAGCTTGCAGAGACACTGTAGGATCCAACGCGTGATGGTCTGCAGCCACAAGCCTCAAGAAACCACGTTGAAAGGATTTCTGTGCCAGAACCCTCAAGTCCCCTACTTTGGAGGACTGCGCAATCGAAAACTTCTCACTGCAACCGCTTGGCAAAGCTGCAGTGACTCGAAGCATGTATCAAGAAGCTCCAATCGAACTTACGGACCAGTTTCTACAATTGATTGATCTTGGGCCAATAACCGCACCACTTTTTGAGCATTGGAACAAACTCCTAAGACCAATTCGGCAGTCCAAACCCCTTGCTGGATTGGAGTGTTGGGCAGGTTTCCTGAAATAGGGGTACCCGCGAATCATCCATTTGTAAAGGATTTTCCATTATAAACCAATAAACCATGTATTTTGGGGTATACTCCCATTTATGGAAACCTCCATATGGCTTGAACGACCAGGAGGCCTTTTCGCTTGTTGAAGCCATCTGGACCCGGCAAGGCACTGGTGTCTGGTGGAATGAAGAGACTGTGGGCACCCACTGAGGTGTTGCCCAAGTGTGACAGCAAACACCAGTCCTCAAATTTTCACCCCGGGACTCCGGTCCGGTGCCAATCCGGCGATGGGGCGGAAATTTGAGACGTTGGGACTTTGGGAAACAGAAGAATTGGTCCATTTTTGGTATCAACTCATCCAAGTTTGTACCCGAAGTTGACAGCTGATAGGAGACTGCAGGTAAAGGTGCGTTGGCAAAATTCCGAGCAATCCATCAACCCAGCAACACGAGAAACAGTGACCCATCAAATCTCAACGTTGAGAAGGATGACCAAACACATCAAAACCAGATATTATCAGATATCTGGATATTGAATTGTAATTAAAAAACATATATATATACTTATAATTTTGAATTATCAGATATTATCAGATATTAAATTATATAAGGGCTGCTACAGCTCTGGATCCACAGCTTCTCAATGATTTTGGATCCACACATCGAACAACATCCCGAGTTTAATATCAGTTGTAATGGTGTCAATCAAGTTCGCATATACAGACCTGATGATTTATATAATATACCATCTGGTTATGACTAACATAGCCATGGAAAATCACCATTTTGAATAGGTAAACCATCTATAAATGTGCCATCTATACCATGGCTATGTTAAATAACCAGAGGCTATGTTTTACCTTCATCAATGGTTGGTTAGCATCCGGATGCTGAAAATGCGCCACTGTGGAGACCCAATGGTGGGTCGATGCTGAAACGCCAAGAGGCTGAGAATTCCACTGACACGTTGCTCTCATTCTGCTTCTCCAAATAGCTCGTGTTGGAGCATCCCTGTGATGTATCGGCCTGGTCATGCTGTGGGAGATCTGACAACATGCAGCTCAAAACACAAGGGAAACCTAAAGCAATCCGAGAAAAAACACAATGATATTGACCATTGCGTTTCTGTATCTCCAAAAGCATCAAACAACATGTGCTTACTGAATCTTACTGGTCAAGTCTTGATGCCAATGGACCAACCTTAAGTTGGTTTATTGGGGCTTGATCATATTAAGCCATGCCAATGTTGCCGTCCAAAACTATCATCCTCAACAGACATGGTTCGAACATGTTACCCCCCAAGTTTTCATGACAAGACCAGCACACAGTAGTTAATTTTTAGAAGCCGCCACATTTGACAGTAGAAGCACCATTCTCGATAAGGCCATACCACCCATTTTTTTAACCAAAAACTATCATCCTCACCTGTTATCTATGTTCTCTTGGATTTGCTCAAGGAACCCCCCAAAAAATAGAACATCTTCCCTTTCTCGACTCCTCAATTCCCCAGTTGTTGTGGATTTCCTATTCAAAAAGTCAGCCAAATCATCGACAAACCGCAGTCCGCCTGTGCCAAGTAGATCATGTAGTGCGTCACTTGCGTCGTGTCGTTGGGTGGCAGCCAGGTCAAGGTTCCTCCCAAGTCCTCCAGTCGTGGAGCTCAACGGGATGGTTTGAGCCATGGTGGTATGATATATACAAAAAGTGGCCAAAAAACTTGGAGTACTTAAATAGTATACTTAATATGTATGTGTGTGTATATATAATTATATGTATATATATGATGTCATATAAATATGGTTTTGAAACCAACCATATGTTAAGATATACATATAGTTAAGATAAAACCATTTGTTGCTTTGACACACCGTAGTTTCAGCCTTTATTACCATGGTTCAGAGTTCAGAGATGTTTAGAGACACCAGTTAAAACGGCTGAAGGATTGGGATAATTCATGCTGCACTCCTTGTTTGTGGCTACAAACATCTATGCAATCCGGTTGAGCCACAGCCACACATCAAGGTTTATCAGGGTTTATCTAGAACTTGCCTGGCAAAGAATTGCAATGCCCATCATCGCACTTTCCCAATGTGAAAATTGACCCCAAGTAGTGAACTTACCACCAGCATCACGGAAATGTTGGATGATTCGCATGGGTTTCTTTAGCAACGTCCCCCCGACATCGCTCCCAACGGTTCCGCGACGCCCGTCCTCAAGGTCCAAATCGAAGTCTGGGAAATCGATGTCCGTCACCAGCGACACCTGTCAGCTCGTCGATGCTGGTGCTGAATTGGGTTGTCCTATCATCTCAATTCATCAACTGTAGAGAGCCCAGCAATTCAGTAAACCCACGTGACGATTAAACATTGCCATGTTGAATATGGTACAATGACATAAATCTTATCAACATCTACCATCCATCTATAAACCAAATTAGCCCTAGATCGATGACTGAAGGGGAGCTGAACGTACCAAGATGACCTTCAAGATAGCCTTCAAAACGACCTACACACTGTGTCTTTCCAGGAGATCAGCGTTTTCAAAAAAAAAACGTATCCAGTCACAGGGTTGATTCAATGAAAAATGTCGGGAAAGCACTTTGTTCTTGATCTCAAACACTGAGGTTTTCTGCAGTGTTCCACCAAAGCCATCCTGGAACGTCAACAAACAAACACATACAAATACATCGAACCATTTCAATCCCTCTAAAGGGGAGTTCTGACAATCCCCCCGAACCCAACCACCATAACCGCCACCTTATCTTCAAAGGCAAAGGCCACTGGCGTGGTCTGCTCCGCCAACCAGGAGCGAGTGTAGACCACGAAGTGGGTGAAGGACTCCTGTAGAAGGGCTGTACTGAGGAATCGGTTGCAGAAACGGGTGGTAAAGTAAATGGCTGTGGTGACAATATACCATATGTGTAACCTCAAATTGCCATTGTGATGGGGGGAATGATAATGAAGACAATGAACCAAGTAGATTTTGACCGGACATCGGGCCCTATTCTTAAACAGACTCAAACAGAGCCAGAAAATATTGATACGGAACGATAACGAGTGATGAGGTATGCAATGGATGTCGTTGGAAAACAAACTGTTCAACTGGAGCAATGATTGTCTCCCATACTTGCCTACTTCTCCTTCTCAGAAAGCAGATCAAACCATCATCTTCAATTACAATGAATTCAATTGCATCCATTTTGCCAAGCACAAAAAAAACATGTGTTGTGTTTTTTCCGGCCTGGCTCACAACATCATCACCACACTCGCGTATCGTTCCTGTCGCTACCCACCGAGCCTTGGGAGTCTCCGGTGGCCATAAGACCTCCGAGACGTTGAAGGGGATGCTGCCCAAATGCCATGGCAGCCGGTTGGCGCCAGAGGCGTCGCTGGCCAAATACAGCCTGGAGGCTGTCGCATAGCGCTGAGATTCGCTGCGCTCAGCACGGAGCTCATCATTTTTCGTTGCGAAAAACAACAGGTACCATCTGGTTATTTAACATAGCCATGGAAAATCCCCATTTTTAATAGGTAAACCATCTATAAATGGGCCATTTTCCATGGCTATGTTAAATAACCAGAGGGTATTCAAAACCAACAAAACCATCAGCAATGAATCAGAAGAGACTTCATGCGCAATAGAAATGATCGTATACCGTATACCAGCTAAGCAGAGTGCATATACCGGGAGAAAACCTAAGAGGCTGGTACATGTCCTTCAATTAACAGAAAAACACGTGTTTTTTTCTCCCAATCTTTGCTATCCACACATAATTTTGATTATTCACCCCGCACACTTAACGTCAAAAAACATGATTGACCTATTAAACTATATCACTGAATTTGGTTGGGTTTTATTGATGCTTCTCCCTTTTATCCCATCTGGTTGGTGGTATACCTACCCCTCTGACCAACATGGAGTTCGTCAATTGGGATGATGACATTCCATTCCCAATAGTAATGGAAAGTCATATAGCAGCCATGTTCCAGTCACCACCAACCAGTTCAGATCATTGATCATCCCATTTTCTATGGTATATATCCCATGTATTGTCCCATAATATACCCTCTGGTAATTTAACATAGCTAATGAAAATGGCCCAGTCGAAATAGTGGATTTACCCATCAAAAATGGGTGGATTTTCCATATGTTAAATTACCAGAGGGTACCGATTTTCCATATGTTAAATTACCAGAGGGTACCATCCATCAGATCATTGATCATCCCATTTTCTATGGTATATATCCATATATATATTCCATGTTATTATCATATAAATATACCATCCATTACCAAGGTTTTTTTTGAAGGACCGCCCGGCCAAGAAACTCATAGAACTCCACCCGGCTGCGGCTGGGCGGATGGGACCAGGAGACTCTGCCGCCCAGTTCCTCCCAGTCCAAGTCCTGGTGAATCGATGGACGTTTGATGCGGGGAGTGATGAGTATACTGTAATTCTATTATTAGATAATATAGGAACTGATGGCTATTATATTAGTATGTTATAAAAATAATAATCATGGGATAATTCTATTATTACGTTATTATCATTAATTATTCTATTGATGGGATAATATAGGTATACTAATGGACTAATAATACATCATTATTAGTATATTATAATTCTATGAAGGTATAATAATGGTGGTGCAATAACCATCTTGAAAAATGCTGGAGTTTGTCAATGATGTTGGGATTATCCCATATATGAAATGGAAAATAACACATGTTTGAAACCACCAACCAGTGATTATACTATTCTACTAGTGTTATCTCTGATTATTAGTGTCATCTATCAGTATTAGTAACAGTATGATTATTTCTTTCTAGTCGATTGTTTATATGTTGTCTTTTGCTTTTGTTCTACGGCAATAAGTTGTATGACACCTGAATATGACACCTGAATATATGTGTTCTTAAGATTTATCTGGTGATGATGTTTTGTGGTGATGAATTTGGTCTGAACTTATTTATGAATTACCGCATAAGCACTTGTTTCACTATACTATATATGTACATCGGTAACTATGCTTGTACATGTATAGTTGTATATATAAATAATTATACACGTATGATTTTATGATTCTATTTTGGTAATAACATAGCATTACATAAAACGGATGCAATAAACATGCAGCTATGATCTTTTAGCGGATGTATAGAGGATAAGTGGTGATTATAAAGTATCTATGGGGGTGTTATTGCCAGGGCAACTAACGTGCAGAACGGCATACCTAACTTTCCCTTTTTTCTGGGGTAAATACACCTGACAAAGTCTGGTTTAGCAGCACTGCAGCTTGTAGGACCCGAATGACTGACAGGGTTGCCAAGGCTATGACTGTACAATTGTAGTGTAGCCAAGTGACACGAAGCGATGGTTCTATGACTACCACATCGGTATATTTGTGTGGACACATAGATACATATATACATATTGTATTATATATATATGTATCGAAAGAGAGAGAGAGAGAGAAGTCCTATTTAGATAGAGAAATTAAAATAGATTGAATAGATTCAGATAGATATACAAATAGACAAATAGATATACAAATATATATATATATAGACATCTTTGCTCTGATAGTAATATACTCCTTTACCAACTATAAACCCGGAAAGAAAACAACACCCCCAGGGTCTTTGTCAATGAAGGCAATGTTCGAAACGCTGGACACGGTGTCCACCACTTCGACCTTCGCCAAGGTGACATGGCACGTATGTTGTGGTGGCGCCGTAGGGGATCCCATTGGGTTTCGATATGTGCCATGGGGAAAAGGTGGTATACCCTCTGGTAAACAAACATAGCTATTGAAAATGGCCATAGAAATAGTTGATTTACCCATTGAAAATAGGTGGATTTTCCATATGTTAAATGACCAGAGGGCACCTTCGGCAATCAAACATGGCAATCGGAACTCCCCGATTACTATACCGCCTATACCGTAAATTTAGGGGGTTTCATGGCAAAAGATGGAGAAATGTTGATATGGATAAACCAGTTATATCTACAATGAACTATTGTTGTATTTATCTACCATGAATTCACCTAGCGGCTGAATCACAATAATTCACCAACTTGAAAAAACTGAAATAAGGCCTCCCATCTGGTGATTGCCCTTACTATATAACTATCATTCCAGTGACGTTACCGTGAGGTGAAAAGATGGTGTGCATATGTACTTCAGAGCAGGCGAGGGAGAACAAAAGTTAAGTTTGTTCAGGGGTCGCCGGCGACATCTCTGAAGTTTCTTGCACAGTTCTTGTGGCAACGGCAAGACATCCTAAATCACGCAAAACTCAGGTAGCCTCGGTTCCCTTTCAAAATAAATATGCATACCTCAATTGGATTTGTTTGGGGAAGACATATCTATGAATGGGGATATAAGTAACCATCAATATGAATCATATCATGCTGGTCAAGTTCCATGGTATATGGGGTATGGTCATCTATCCAATAATAGTAATCCCAACATCATGGGATCCAACTTTTCACCATTTCTATGGTGATCATTCCGGCATCAATAAATCATGAGGGAACCGGGGAACCTTATATGATTTGAAAGAAATAGTATGATTTTCCAACCATGACTATGGGTTTACTTTTCACTATGTTTAGATAGTATCATCAACCTTTTTTTTGAACCATGAGGTCTCCTCAAGCTGTATTGGATCACTTACTCTTCGGGCTGGGGAAGCCTGAAGGACCTCATGTTAAGCTCTATCATGTTATATGTGAATATAGAAATCCATCATCTTGCCAACCAAAAAAAATCGAAACCAGCAACCATGGATCAAGGGTGATACTGTGGATGGTTGAAAAAATCCTGCACCAGTTGGTAGATGGTGTATTCCATTATAATCCCAGTACTTACAGCGTTTCATAGTTACCAATAGTTGCCAACTGGTGCAGGATTTCGAAACCATCCACAGTATGGTTCCACTATTCTTGCTTAGATCACAATCTTCCCAACGTCGATCCGCACGGGCAAGCTGCTCATTGGATGATTTGCCCAACCCTATTTAATGTGGTTAAACCAATAGTAAACTACCCATTTGGGAATGGTTTACACCACCTATTTATGGTGATTTGGGGGATCATTTACTATTGTTTTAACCCAATTGGATGGATTCATACTCATACTAGACAGGACACATGTCCATTCTTAGGTCCGATTCAAAGACCACTTTGGAACCAAATTCAACATCCAGCAGTTACATGTTCGTTATCTATCATTGATATCACATACTTGGCTACATATCATATATATATATATAGATGTATAGATAGATAGTTAGATAGATAGATAGATAGATAGGTAGATAGATAGATAGATAGTTAGTTAGATAGATAGTATACAATAATCCATTAAGTAATCACTTACCTAACTTTGGAGCACTGCCCACATAGATACAGCAATGTAAATGACAACAACTTAGGATGATCCAGCAGGGTTTGTCCAAAATTGGGGCTCCGAATATCAGGGCTGCTCCAAACACCCAAGATAGGAGAAGAAACCAGGAAATCAAGAGTTAAGATGGATCAAATTGTGGTATAATTAACATTGTTTCCCCTTAAAGTGGATAACATATCCCATAGGATCCATGTATGCTATATATGGTAACATTTACATACATTTACCATCAATATACCCCAGTCATGTTAGCATATATACCAGCACCATGGATTCTATGGGTATGGTAAAAGATGGTCAAATGATCCATGCCCCCCCTCTTTGTGGCTACGATTCACCCCAACTGCCTTTGGGTACCTTGGAGCAACCAACGACCTACGTCCCCTGCCGCGCACCCAACGGGGCGTGGTTTGCTCCGCCAGGGAGGATCTTGCAAAGACCGTCAGGAACCTGGTCTTTGAAGGTGAGATTCATAGGGAATCAAAATCATTGGATGAACAGATTGGCCAAGATATATATCATATGAGTTACATATATTATTTATATATATATATATGTATGTATGTATATATATATATGATTATATATGTATGTATGTATATATATGTATGTATGTATATATATATATGCATTATGGAATGTGATTTACTATCACCTGTCGAAGGTGTAGATTTATCTTGAAAGGGATGAAGCAATCTAGTTGAACAAGTGAATTATCAAATAGACAGGGGGGTATATGACCAACATGGGTCAAGTATTCGTATGGCTACATCACCGACAACAATGCTTCAATTCCGATACAAGAATCAGGGAGTTCACGAACACTATGGGGATACAACCAAAAAAACATGGCATATCCTCGACAATGATCCAACTTTGGCCCGTGGAAAGGGATAGATATCGAGTATGTGTCATGTTGTGACAACCGATAAATTCATTGGTTTCTTGTTCAATGCATAGAAGGCAAATCCACGCTTTGATCAGTTTCAATGGGAAACCATGGGGAAACCATGGCTTTTCCATATCAAATGAGCGGAGGAGAAGTTCATTTTTTGCACAAGAACATAAAACTACTTTTGATGGCTTCGAAATCCTACACCAGTAGGTAACTATTGGTCAACATATGCCAACACTGTATATTCAATGGGATCATATGATGTTTGCCCTACCAATTGGTGATTTCCTAACCATCCACAATATTATCCAACCCCATGCTCAACTCAGGCCTGTATGAGGATAAATCTGTGTCCGCAGGAACCAGGAATTCATGAGTCTTCACCTGGGCGTTTATCAAGGCCCTGGTCATACCATGTGATTTTGATTGGCTCAATGCGACTTGTTCCTAGTTGAAATCCGATCTTTGATGGGGTTTCAATGTATTTCAGGGGTAAAAAAACATGCGTACATTCCCACCTAAAAAATGTTTTTGGGTGTATGTATATATAATAGATATATGATAGATATTCATAGATATTCTGTTGAATGATTTGGGATGATGTGAGGATGACTCAGGAATGGCCAATTCGATCAGAGATGTCGGGTCATGTTGAGTTTGCAATGTTTAAACATCCAGTTTCTTATAGTCTTATAGGTCAACCATTTGAACCGATTCCTCCAAAGGGTGAGACGTAGCACAATCTATTCCAATTCGTGTTGTCAAAGGTCAGATTGTGGTCTATATGCCACGTGTATTTTTGCTGACCTCGGGGACAATTCTGAGTAGGTGTCAAGCTCCTGACACATACCAAGCTGAGCAAATCGCAGGTACTAGAACAACATACCCTCAACATCCCTCAACTAGACAAGGACCTCAGGGTTTCACTTTAGACCCCAAAAACTTAGGTCTAGATTGTAATGGAATTCATGGGATTTACCGATTTACCGATTTATTCTTGCGGCTGTAGACAGGGGCGGTCCGAAACCTGGGTTCTAATATGGTACCGGTTCTCATGGTCTATGATAGTTGCCTCTATAGAAAAGCTCTTATACTTTAGGCACTCTCCACCTAAGATGCATCAAACACATGTTTGCCTCTCTGCTTCACACTCTTCAGTTTTAACCCTCCTTAATCCTACCCACATCGATCGACACACGATCAGACTCAGCATCATGCGGGAATTTGCAAGCAAAAACGTGCTTCCAAAAAAATCCGGAAAATGAGGAAGCCAAATGGAATTAAGGAAATGGGGCAAAACGGAACTACTTGTTTGCTTCGTTTTGCATTCATGTTGTGTTCCTTTTTCTTTCTTTCGAATTGATGCATTGTTTTTAGTCATTTGTTGTCAGTTTTGCAATTCTGGTTCGCAACTAGCAAGCATGTGCAAAAAGCTCTGCGCAAGAGCATGGTTTGTCTTAGTAAACAGAAATGACACAGCATCTTAAAACCGCAAGGATGAAAACATATACAGTAAATATAACATACATGGGTTGGCGCACAAATACATTGTCAATGGGAATTCCATCAATATTTTTTTGGCTGGAAGCTTCAAAAAATTCTAGGTGGCCGGGTGCATTTGATAATTTTGCCCATTTTTTGACCCAACAACTCAACCATTCACATTTTGTCCCATACCCTTCACGGGTCGTAGTTTCAAACTAGTATGAACCCAAAGCAAAAAGAGGGCTGTAATGATTATTTTGCTCTGCATTTGGTAGGTTTTGACCTGTGACCTTCTTTGCGGTTTGGACATGGCACTTTGTTGTGCATTGTTGTTGTTGTTGTTGTGGTTGTTTCTGCTTCAGGAAACGAGGTCTGTCATCATGTGTGGTAAAGTTGACCGGGAAATTCTTTCGTTTGGGTATTGGAAAAGAATGTTAAGCCCCTGCACTTGGGGTCTGGCCCACTCATCACTGAGGGTGAGCTTGGGGAACCTGGAATACAGTGCATCTTAGAGTCTTAGAGAATGTCCTGGCTCATCATTATGGATTGTCCGTAGCTAAAATGGTTGCATCCCAACATCGCATATCTTGCATAACATGCAAAGAAGTTCCTTTTAAGTATTGCCTGAATCAACATCGCAAAAAAAACATCCACCCATTCACCCCCTGGATGTCGCTCCAAGGCCTTTTCAAGCACACTTCCGACGGCCAATCAAAAAAATGTAGGATTCTGAGGTGAAGGGCGACTTTGCACCAACATGGTTACACACATGCAAACTGATCTTGGACTTCAGAGCTATCACCACCAGAGATTGGTTTGCCCCAAGTCACGACTGACCCATCGGCCAGGATCGCAGCAAATGCACCGTTCATTGCTTGAACCTGTTGGACACCCTTCAGCTGATCTTGGACTTCAGAGCTATCACCACCAGAGTCTGGTTCGCCCCAAGTCACGACTGACCCATCTGCCAGGATCGCAGCAAACGCAAAGCTCGTTGCTTGAACCTGTTGGACACCCTTCAGCTGATCTTGGACTTCAGAGCTATCACCGCCAGACATTGGTTTGCCCCAAGTCACGACTGACCCATCGGCCAGGATCGCAGCAAATGCACCGTTCGTTGCTTGAACCTGTTGGACACCCTTCAGCTGATCTTGGACTTCAGAGCTATCACCACCAGAGTCTGGTTCGCCCCAAGTCACGACTGACCCATCTGCCAGGATTGCAGCAAACGCAAAACTCGTTGCTTGGACCTGCTGAACACCCTTCAGCTGATCTTGGACTACAGAGCTGTCACCACCGTTGGCTGGGTCGCCCCAAGTCACGACTGACCCATCTGCCAGGATTGCAGCAAACGCAAAACTCGTTGCTTGGACCTGCTGAACACCCTTCAGCTGATCTTGGACTACAGAGCTGTCACCACCGTTGGCTGGGTCGCCCCAAGTCACGACTGACCCATCAGCCAGGATCGCAGCAAACGCACTAAATGAATATGACGACTTTGTTGCTTGAACTTGTTGGACACCCTTCAGCTGATGTTGGACTTGAGAGCTATCACCACCATGGGCTGGGCAGCCCCAAGTCACAACTGACCCATCAGCCAGGATCGCAGCAAATGCATAGCGTGTTGCTTGAAGCTGCTGGACACCTTTGAGTTGATCTTGGACTTCAGAGCTGTCACCACCAAATTCTGGGTGGCCCCAAGTCACGACTGACCCATCAGCCAGGATCGCAGCAAATGCATAGCGTGTTGCTTGAAGCTGCTGGACACCTTTGAGTTGATCTTGGACTTCAGAGCTGTCACCACCAAATTCTGGGTGGCCCCAAGTCACGACTGACCCATCAGCCAGGATCGCAGCAAATGCATAGCGTGTTGCTTGAAGCTGCTGGACACCTTTGAGTTGATCTTGGACTTCAGAGCTGTCACCACCAAATTCTGGATCGCCCCAAGTCACGACTGACCCATCAGCCAGGATCGCAGCAAATGCCTGGTCAGTTGCTTGAAGCTGCTGCACACCTTTGAGCTGATCTTGGACTTCAGAGCTGTCACCACCCCAGTCTGGATCGCCCCATGTGACAACTCGGTCACCTCCAGAGCAAAACAAGGCAAACGTTCGTCCTGTTGCTGCCAGCTTTGCCTCCAGGACAACAGCCGTCAGATGGTCTCCATCCTCGAGTCCCGCAGCTTGCAGAGACACTGTAGGATCCAACGCGTGATGGTCTGCAGCCACAAGCCTCAAGAAGCCACGTTGAAAGGATTTCTGTGCCAGAACCCTCAAGTCCCCTACTTTGGAGGACTGCGCAATCGAAAACTTCTCACTGTAACCGCTTGGCAAAGCTACAGTGACTTGAAGCATGTATCAAGAAGCTCCAATCGAACTTACGGACCAGTTTCTACAATTGATTGATCTTGGGCCAATAACCGCACCACTTTTCGAGCATTGGAACAAACTCCTAAGACCAATTCGGCAATCCAAACCCCTTGCTGGAATGATTGGAACTGTCTGTCCAAGGGCCATGACAAGCAAAGCCTTATGAATTCATGCTGGACCCTGCCTGTGTCTCAAGTAGTGTGGGTAATATCTGGAATATTGCCGGTTATAATCCCAGCTTTGAAGCTTGTAAGAACACCCCTTACTTGGATTTGCATCGAGCGAATCGTTTTTGTGCCAATAACCATTCCCATAGGATCCATGTATGGTATATATGCTAACATTGGGGGTATATTGATGGTAAATGTTACCATATATAGCAGCATCATGGTTCCTATGGGATTATTAGTTCGCTCATTTAGAAATTTGATATGTACACGTTTGCCACAGCTATGTTCCTATACACGATATGTACAATGCACACATAGCTCCAAAGCCCTCCCTCCATTCACCACTGGCAGCGGATACTTAAACCACCTACGGCATTGGCTTGGTTTTCCATTGTTAACATTGGATAACATTGGTACATATCAAGGTTTTCTTTCACCCCAGTGTTTTTCGCACATAGCCATGGACAGCACAGCCCCTTTCAAAAAATGGCTCCGAAAACACCGAGACACCGTGACGTTGCCCAGCAGGCTGCGATTGCGACCAACTTCGTCGTCGGAGAGGTAGACCAAGTAGTGGGTGACCTGCGGCTGGCTGTCGCTGGGTAAAAGGGCCAATGGGAGTCTTCTCACCATGAAAATTAGACGCAACAAAACAATATGTAAAACCTGATAAAAGCCTGGGGATTTATGTATGATGATCATGTTCTGAAATGTTTTTTTGCTGGTACAGTAAACAATAACAAGGCCAAGCTTGATGTATGATGATCAATTATAATGGGTTATAAACCAACAGGCATCAGGGGGGCCCTTTTTGTGAAACTGTCTTCATACGGAAAACTCCAAAGCTAGATTTGACATGTTCGATGTCAACTGCTGATCTTTAGGTGGGGTTAAGTTGCCTCAGAGTCACAAATGAAGATGCTTGCACCAAGAGCCACTGATTTCGATATCCATCAGAAGATATTCGTCTTCGTCAAGTGGGGAGAAACTTCCCATGGTTTTGACCGTGGGAAGCAAAAAAGGGATCAGATGGCAGTGGGTCAAAACCTTGTATCCCTGGTGAACATCAAAAAGCTGGTAAATGGATGTTCATCCCCCTAAAAATGGTATGTATAGGTATTGATCCATAGCCAGATCACTAGTGGAAAAAGTAGGGAATCCCTCCCGTGGCTTGGAACGCCGGAACCTCACTGTCATCCTCTGGGATGCGCCAAAGCAAGTAGCCGCCTGGCTGCAGACATCTGAGTCACAGGGATGAACAGTGACGATGACATCTGGTGGTTGACCTACCCCTCTGAAAAATATGATTTGGTCAGTTGGGATTATTATTCACAAAATATGGAAAATCAAAAATGATCCAAACCACCAACCAGACATACACGAGTGTAGTAATGTGTCGACATTTTCGAACACATAGAACTGCAGTGTCTATCAACATATGCCAACACACACAATAATTCATATACAGTTTATTCGCATATGTGTCTTTATGTATATAATTAACAATAATATCATGCCTGTCGACCAACATTAGCTAACAATTGAATAACTTGTTTAACATTCTTTAACACTATCGTTAGCTTGGTTATTGAACCACAGCCCGAAAACATACGAATGAGACTCATTCACCAACGCAAGTACCGCAAGGGTCTGGAAATCAGTCAACCCCAGACGGAAACTGGAATCTCCTTAGGTCCTTTTCGCTGAAAACACAAATATAGTTTCCTATGGCATTCAGAAAGAGTGGTGAACAAGTACTTAGAAGAAATTGATGAAGAGCACCAGAAACACGAACAAATCACTTTCCGATATCTCGCAATGTGCTCAGCGTGGCACCTTGACATACCTTGACCATTTCGACTACGACTACGACCTTCATTTGGTTTGTTGATCAGGACACCAATGTTCACAATTGGTTGCATAGTAACTCAGCGACTTAAACTCAAACTTCCGTTGATCTCATCCACCTGATTCCTATTAAACCCCTCAGCTGACTCAGCTGACAGTCTGGAAGTGTGGCATACCCCATGATCATCCACGGCATCAAATCCCAGCTACGAAGAGGTTGTAACCCAAGCGAATCCCTTCCAACATATTCCAAAATAGCACCCTAGCAACCATGGTTTAGTACTGGATCTATGCCATCTATGCATTTTTTGGTCCCTTGTATGAAGCTCCAAGACACTGTTGGTTGGTCATTTCAACTCCCCTGGAATTAGTCACCCGGGCTTTCGTTAAACCCTGTAGTTACTGTAGTTGTGCGACCATCTGTGAGTAACTAGGTGCAAGCCATGTGATGTAAATGATGCACCCTTCTGACAATCCCATCGTTCCGAATGGCTTTCTCTCAACCAACTGAAAAGGGTCACTCAAGCTGTCCGGGTCTGAAACCTCTAAGACCTCACCCCCATCCTGTCAGCACCCCATCTCATCGCCTATCTCCCCGTCATCCAAGTCATCGTCAATGAAACTGATGTTGCGGGCGTAGGAACTTTCATCCTGCGGGCTGGCGCGCTGGACAAGCACCTGGGAGATGCTGAACAGTCAAAGCTTGAAACTTGGGCAATTGGATGCCACTCATAGCTATCAATAGTGATGACCTGACAATTACAGTTTCCGATCTCAAAAGTGCATTGACTCAAGCAAACCATCATTTGGAGCCCCGTTTACAGACACACCCATAGACTTGTTATCTCATCTTCTCAGTCTCCTCAATCGACAGGTACGCAGGCGTCGTCTGTTCCGCCAGGTTGGACCTGTGGCTCGCTGCTAGGCGGCGAGCAGCACGCCTGTGTACATGACATGTAGCTGTATTGGATTCTATTGGAGATGATCAAAGTGATGATACCCTAAAATCTCCTAAAATATGCTAAAATCATCCAACATTGGTTACTAAGCTTCGACAGACTGGAAACCAATGTTGACATTGGTACCTCAACTCTGAGAAAGAAATGCCCAAATATATCCAAATATCATATCAGAAACGGTGTCTGGGACGGTATGATAATGGATTGCACAGAACTGATAAACACTCTGCTGTCTCCACTGTTGAACATGCATTTAGCATCGATGAAAAACGGTCAGTATGAATAGAGAAAACAACAAGTTTCATGATCACACAATCATTGTGAATCCTTCAAGATCAAAAATTGAGAACCTTCATGCAATATCATGTGATTGAACCCTTGTTTTGCAACAATACATGGTTAAAAATGTTGTTCAATAGATGCTTTCTCTGTTTCTTATAAGATCTTACAAGTAAATAGCTGATTTAACTACAGAACTGCATGATTTTGCACCCATTTTCGCTCCAACCCACCCCCACAAACGTCCAATGCGCCTGGTGAACACCTCAGATGGTGCTGGGTGCCGCCATCAACTACCATCAGCAGTGGGATGATGTGGGAAAAACACTATGGGATATCATATAATGAAGATTATTGATATCGTTGTCCTATCATCATCCCACTGATATTGTGGGATATTGTGGTTATTATCCCACTGTTGATGGTATATTATGGTATATTGTAATCATACAATGATGGTACCTATACTATGATCATTGATGGTATATTGTTATAAGTTATCGTTGTGGGATACCATAGAACACATCTATCACTTGGCTGGTTTGCTGGGATATTATCCAACCAAGTCGCCGTGAAGAAGTCAAAGGCACCACGCGGCTGCTCCTCAGTGTCATGGTGGGGTAAGCTCCCCAAATGGTTGGCTACAATGGTGAAAAAGGATGAGGAATGTTGGGTATAATATGGTTAACTAGACCGTTGAATACAATAAACATCGTCAAAATCTTTCAACACCTTTGTTTTTCGCGGTTCTGAAGCCTTGCCTGATACTCATCTAGCTGATCTAGGCCGTACTCATCTGAAGCATTACATCCATGTTGAACAAGCCAATTTTGATCTATTGGTTCATCGAAAAGTAAAATGTTGGTGCCAAAGTTGACTCATGAATTGTGGAACCAGGAGAATGAGCCACCATCATGGATGGGGGTGACAGAACATTTGTGAGTTTCAGTTTTTCCCTCAGTCGCACACCTCCTTCGAAGGTATATACTTCGATCATGGCTTTGGCTTAGTCAGGCTCGGTCAGCTCTATAGGACACAAACCCTGCCATGACAGTTTTAGGTCAGTATAGTGGCTTCACCAAATTGGTCCAAATTCTGCACAAATGTTGGGTGGTTGCTTCCCCAGATGGACATCAGCTATAGAGTTAGCCGAAGCCACAGGGAACAAGGCGATGTCGTTGCTCCCTGCCGGCACTTCAGCACCCACCTGCGCCGCTTCCCTCGATGCTGACTTTGTCAATGGATTGGTGGGAAAATCTACAGGAAACCTCCATGTTTCTAAGGAAAAATCCATGGTTTCCTGTAGATTTTCCCTTGAAGCAATCCATTGAGGAGTTGATCTGTTTCGGAATCAATCTCAGCCATTGAACAGGAAGTGTCTACCCGAGGTTTTCATTGCATTGGAACCCGGACAAACCACTGTTGGCCTTGCGAACAGGGATGAAAAATCTGAAGAATCTTCAACCCCATCTGGTCCATTGTGGTTGACCAACCCACGCGTGCCCCTACATTTTTCAGAGATGTGACAGAACGAGGGGATGACTCTTGTTTCTCAAATAAATTCCATTTGCTAGTGAGTTTACACAAAGAAATCATCTATGCACTGTGGCATCGGATCAACACAATTCAAAACCCTTCTACAAGCACCCTATAGTGAACATCCTATCAATAACAAACAAATGTGTCAACACTGAGATGTGGATAAGGACCTAATTTCTGAGTTGCTTGGTATTGACCCACACGCATCTGCTTTGTTTCACGGAAAACCCAATATATGCCAATTCATAGCCATGAAATCATATAGGGAAGCGTATGATAAACATTGATAATCCCAATAGAATAGCATAAACCCAATGTTTATCATAAACCCAATATATCCCAATTATCAATCATGATATTTGAAGCTATTCTATAGTTCATTTGAGACAGCCAAATATGCCAAATGCTGCCTGCGATCGGCCAGAGCCATCAAGGCCGATGGACAAATAGACGTTGTAGCCTGCTGGAGGCTGACTTAACGGACGACTGGATGGATCACTTTTTGAAGCAAAAAGGTACTGTTAAGTCTGTGACAAGTCTGCAGATCTGTTAAGTCAGCCCTAAATCATCCATTGTAGATTGGGATTTTCGATTATAATCATTATACATGATAAGCCATCCATTTTAAGGGGTCCCAGTGCTAGCGATTATCACCGGCACGGCCCCGCCTACCACTCGCTCCATCAAGCTCGGTTCCGCCCACGCGATCTGTCCACCCAACTCATACAGGTCCAGGTCCTGTTGCGGTAACACGTGGAATCTTTACTAATGACGGTGCAATTTACTAATATGCGTATTGATGTAAACACCAAAATCAATCAAAATCACACGTTTCAGGGCTTTCTATGTAACAGGAATCTTTATCTGGTGGCCAATCTAAGGTACACTGCATTGTCTATTGTTTGTCTTTGCTGCAATTTTTCCCCGTCGTATCCGCATTCACGTGTGTCAGAAAAAAGTAAAGTACTTAATCCAGAATTTCGGCATAGATTAGGATATAATAGGGCCTAGGGAAATGGCCAAGAACAATTTGAGAGGATATTTGAATGTTGACCAATCTTAGATCATCCCAAATGCTTCCCGTGATGCTCAGCAATTCCTGCTTCCAATGCCAGAGGACCCAGTTCTTAGGCATGTACCATCCGCCTTTTAATGCTGTCATGTCAATCCACAAGCTTGGACGATTTGAGATCTATTACCCGAAATTACCCCAAACAAAGCGAAGAATCTGCAACAAATCAAGGTAGATGCTGATCCCTTCCAATGATATTTATTCATACATTCGAATATATATATATATTATGTATATATTGTATATATATATATATACAATATATGTATTGTATATATATATATATATATTATGTATATATTGTATATATACAATATATGTATTGTATATATATAATATTGTATATATATATATATATACAATATATGTATTGTATATAAATATAATATTGTATATGTATATATATATATATACACACTGTATGTATATATATATATATAGTGTATGTATGTATGTATGTATGTATGTATATAATCACATATATCTTGAAATCCAATTTACTTGATCCCAAGTTTCCCGCCCAGCAGAAGCATCATGTGATGCCCCGGCGCCAGCGAGGCCTTGCCCTGGTAGGTGATGTTGCTGACACTGGCAGCCATGTCATAGATCAAGTGCGCCACCTCGGGCCCACATGGGGATTCAAGCATTTAGTTATGTTATATATTATATTGTATATCATATTATATCATATTATAAAGTACATGGGGATCAAACCAGAAGAAACATTTCAAAGCTGTCACAAATAACAGCCTTTTTCGACTGAAAGAAAAAAGGATAAAAAAGGGAAATAAACAATACGGATGACAGCAATAACATGTGGATTTGCTTCATATGGAGGGCCCTGTCTTTATCCACGGCCTTTTTCTCATCTCGAGACTTGCCCATGGCCCATATCTTTGATCTACGGGTGGTGAATTCAATAGATCATGTGGCCCTGGCGCAAAACCATGGTTTCTATGGGATGTTCAAATATGAGAGGGAGAAGCGAGAAGGGATTCTAACTGGAAAATCCCACATTTACAGATGTAATTTCCCATTAAAGCCCTCCATTTTCCAGGGTAAAACCAGTTCTGCCACCGGCATCTGGGCCACCGGTGTGGTTTGCTCCACCAGTGGTGAGGCCGTGTAGATCAAGAGGTGCGTATACCTGACCGCAGTGGCTATAGTGGCTGGGCGAAATCACCAAATTTCATGGATCGGTTGAAGGATTTCAAAGGAAAACTTCAGTTCATGGGAAAACTTGTGGTTTCCAGTAGATTTAAACTAAATTGTTGCAATGAATTATATACCTGAATCACCAGACAATTCTGGTTGCAGTTCCAAAAAACCGCACTGCTAACAATGTTGGTGAAGACACTACTTGACATATCGAATCAAGCCTAAAATATTCATGATTGGAGAAGATTGGCAACAGCTGACATGGATTACCAATGATTACCTCAAACACACGAAATACCAGTAAGCTTGTCCATTCCACCCCATCCCACTGCATCATTCATTGCTTACCACCATCCTCAACAACTTTGATTTTCTCAATAAACATATCATAGTCATATGTACACAACACTTTTTTACCCTAGATATATCCTACATACACATATTTCAAATATCTTCAAACCACCAGCCAGATCTATCACTGCACCTGCCTGTCCAATGCTGTGTCTGCCGGGAAGTCCAGTTGAAAGGTACCATTGGACACGTTGCCGAAGTAGGTTCTGCGCCAGTTGTGGCATAGCAACCCCACAAATTTTGGCAAGACAATGATTGCCAGAAAAATGGAAATATATCTTAAAATTTGCATACTAACGTATTCGAAAATACAGGGGGACATGTATGTAAATGTTATGTTTTGTTCTACATCTTTTTCGCGGGAGTTTCTGTAGTTAAAAAGATGTCAAAGGGAGCAAATATGTTTGGCGAACTAATTCATTTTTGCAACACATGGATGTCCATATCGGTTTGCACCATTTACAAGGGGGTCAATCACCATTTTTGCCCTCTGGACCATTGCGATTAGATACCCTGCATTGTCTGAACTGGGTAGATAGATACATCACCATATAATTAGCTACCATGAAGGGTGTCAACGAACCAAACAGGTTTGTCAAGAAAATAGGATACTTTTGGCTCATCAACTGTCTATCGTGTAAAAATTAGTGTAGTAAATTGGCCCCCTACATCACACTACATCACACTACAATCACCGCACTTTTGGTACTTTTTACGTATTGGCCCAAGATTGACCTTCACTATCCACTGGGTCCACTGATTTTTGGTGGGGCCACCCATCCCCCTGTCCTGTAGCACATAATCCAGGCCGACTCGTTGGGTGACCTAAAAAAATGTCATCCATGGAGATGCGATACAGAAAATGCAGACTTTCAAACACAAACATGATCAAAGATATCGTGTTCTTTATCAATGTGTTCAACAAATAAGCAAGCTCATATATATATATATATATATATGTATATATATATATATATTATATATAACTTAATGGGTGCATGGGCTTCTTTATGTTGGGTTTCTGTCAAACAGATTTTGGTTTTCAGAACTATATATAAAATTCTCCGAAGTATATATAAAATGCTTCAGAACTATATATAAAATGCTTCAGAACTATATAAAAAAATAACCATCCATTTTGGGGTTACAGGCCCATGCACCCATTAACATAAGACTTTTTAAATCTTTTTAACATGGTTGTTGGATGTCGTTGGTGTACGTGTGTATGCGCGCTGCTTATTTGAGCATTTGGCGGGTTTTCAATAGACATAAAAATGCAAACAGCGGCAATGAGATGAACCTCACAAATGTGTGGTTATATATTGTATGGTTGCGCCATACTCCTACCATCAGTTTTAAATGTCTTAATGGCCCACCTATGATTCCTCTTTGCCATTCTGGCTTCAGATTGAACCCTCAACAATTTTTGGTAGGAATACGTTCCCTTCCGCTCACTGTTTTCCATATAATTTGGGCTTTGGGCTTTGCGTCAATGAAGCGTTCAGCCACAAAGCGGGTTAGGGTCAAGGTACGCCGCAAAGTGCGAATAAAGAGGAAAGACAAGCAGCATAGTGCCCGCCCCACTCCCAAACTTGCACTCCCAGCACCACCGCCCCTCCACAACTCAGTGCTTCGGGACAGTCACAGCCACATAAGCGACGCTTGCCACCACCCCCACCACCATCACCACCCAAGCGACCCGCGCACACATCTTTACCAATGCTACTCCGCTACCCCCTACCACTGCCACCACTGCCACCTCCCCCACCCCCCCAAACGTCCAAGCGCGCAAGAACGAAAAGTCGACAAAGTTCCTTCCGCTAACCAAGGTTCAAATGACGGAAGCTCTGAGAGGAAAGGTTCAAATCATCATCTCAGTACATGTCAGAATATGTCCAAAAGCCATCCCTAGATGCCGTCTAAGATGTTCAAAGGTTTGGCAAACTTTTTGCGTTCTTGCTTTTCCACACGTAACTTGGCATTCGGGCTGGCGCGGGCAATGGCATTGTTTGGCGGCTTCATCCGCACAGACACTGATGACAGTGACGATCCGTTGCTTGCCTTACATCTAAGTTACTCCATTGTGAAAATGGAAGGCGCTAATTTTTGAAATGCACCATCTATAGACCACTTGGGGGATGGGATGTTTTGCGCCATCTATAGGTTCCCAACACACGTGGTTGAAAACAACCTGTCTTCCTCTAAATTGGTTTAAATTTAGTATAAAGATCTGGGTGTACGTGGCGTGTAGATAGTGTAGCATTCCGAGTATTCTACTACTAGTCCACCATTGCTACCTTTCGAATACCAATACTTTCCGTACAACCCAGTACTTGCTGTACAACTAGTCAGATTTTTATATTCAGAACTGATTCAGAACAGCTATCATGGAGTGATCTGATCAGAATGGGGCATCACACCACATATGTGGTATGTCTTCACAACCATCTTACCACATCATCTTATATCATGTCATTTCATTGTTGCTCATCATAAGGTTTCGATCCATATCAATATCTTGTCAATATCAGATTTGTTTTTCCAGACGATGCATGCTATGAAACTATGAGTCATACGAGCGTCCATGGGGCAAACATGTTCCTGGCCTTACATGATCTGGTCTCTCAACATATACTACTTATATATTTATATACTGTATCATACTGTATATTGTATACTGTATACTGTACCCCCAAGAAGCAACCTATCAACTGCCTAAGGACCAAATGTGGCCCACATGACTATTTCCGCTACTACCGCAAAGCGCTGGCCTACGTGGAAAATTTTCCACAAGTGACAGAGCAAAGTTTCTTGGCTAAAAGGACTTGTCCACATGTGGTCTCTAGTTTACAACCTAGTGATGTCTTATCTTCTTTTGGTAAATTACAACCATTGCACCACAGTTGTTTGCTTAAAAGCACCGTTCTCATGGCGCTTACCGCTTATGAGTTGTTACTTGGCAAAAACATGTTCTATCTCCCCACCAGATCTTTCCAGTTTTTCAAGGATCACGGTGACAGAGGCTTGTGCTGGAGCTGGGACAGGCACAAATCTTGGCTCCCAAGTTGTGGCTGTAGTCAAAGCTAAGGGCAAAAAACATCTACTAATTCATTTTCCAGAATACGATGTTCTCAACAGGTCAACATCAATTATGTATGCTACGTACCATTTCAAACAGAATACGAATCGAATACATATGACTGCAGCATATGATACAGGTTAGGATCCTTGGCAACAAAGGGGCACGACACCCACAAGATTTAAGGCAGTGGCCCTTATCATTTTTGCTTTGCCAGACTCCTGCATTTTTACAGCAGTCATTTTTCCCAACCAAGGGAAGGGCTGCTTCCCCACCAGTTGCCCAGGACTGCCCGTTTTATACGATTTGGCCGCTTGATATGATTGATTGTTGGTATGGCCCGGTCCGGCGTTGTTACATTTCATGCCATGGTAGTTTACACCGGTCAGCATCCCATAGTAGATACCTTTATTGATTCCACCTTCAAGAATCTACTAGCCCCCCCCCCAAGATTATATTCTGAATCGTTTTTTGGGTGGAATCAGTCAACCGGGTAGAGTTCAATGGCGTGTTTTCCCGCTCGCAGACCTTGCCCCGGGATCCCGTGCGATTCCCCCGGAAGTCCCGGAATTTTCCCGGAAATTTTATATATAGTTCTGAGAAATTTATATATAGTTCTGGACCATTTTATATATAGTTCTGAGAAATTTATATATAGTTCAAACACTAAATTGAATACATAGGGTTTTTTTGGGGGGAAGACGATTTCCCGTCCGGAGTCTCCCGTGGACTCTTGCGGTGTCTCGCGTGACTCCCGCGGTGTTTCGCGGGGAGTCTTGCGTGGAGGCGTGCGGGGAGGCTTTCAGGGAGGGCCTATAATTCACAGATTTCGCCAGGAGGGGAGGACGTCAGATGCCGCGCAGCAGAAATTGAAGATCCTCCGGATGGAGTATATGCGAATGAGCTCGGGGCCAAATATGTTTCCAGTTTGCCACGGGAAAAGCAGGCCCTTTTCAACCGCAAGGAACGAGACAGCTTGGACATACAGCATGCCTCGCTCCTTGCATCTTGGCCATGGGGAATGCTGAAACATTAGAACTGTTACTCTTCAAGTTCTTCGCTTTGGCTTCCCTGTTTTAGCTTGTTTCAGATTTCCGGATGTAATTTTCAGCGCATGAAGTCAAGTGATCATTGCATACTTTTTTGCCCAGGGAGAAAAAGTTATGTTTAATTTCAAATCTTTGTGAGGCAGGTAGTTAACGTATCTTTTAGCTATGGCTACGCTCTGTTGCTCTGTGAAATTCAGTTCGATGATGTTGTTAGCTGTACTCTACTCTCATCTGATCGTATCTTCAAAAATAACTTAACTTATGTTACTTATGTTATGTTATGTTATGATAAATATGTTGAAAAATGTTGAAAAAAGAAAAAACACAATTTCAAGAACAGTGCAGTTTATATATAGTTCGGAACCGTTCGGAACCGTTCTGAACTATATATACGGCCCAAACCCAGATTAGTTCGGATTAGTTCGAAGTAGTTCGAAGTAGTTCGGATTAGTTCGGGCTGTATAATATATAGTTCGGAACCGTTCGGAACCGTTCTGAACTATATATAAAATATACTTTATATATAGTTCGGAACCGTTCGGAACCGTTCTGAACTATATATAAGACGCTTACTTTATATATAGTTCGGAACCGTTCGGAACCATTCTGAACTACATATAAAATGCCACCTTTTATCATATCATATTGAAATATTTTTCAACATCTTTGACGCTGGTTGTTAGTACAAAAAACATAGAATAGAAAAGTTCTAACATATTTTATTTCCGATATTGTATTTGTTTACATCTGCTATGCTAGATGTTGCATGATTGAAAGGCAAATTTTTTGTTACGATGATTGTTTGTTTGAAAGGCAAATTAAACATGAAATGGTCATGGTACAATTACAATACAATAACAATAATATCATGGTTTTGAAAAACGCATGACTTGACCATGCAAATGATTTTTATGTAACATGTCAACATCTTACATGTAACTTTTGTTATGTTATGTTTAACTTGTTCTGTATGTATACTGTATGTACGTATGCAATGTATGTATGTATGCATGTATGTATGTATGTGCTGTACGTTTGTATTTATGTATCACAGCGCATGTTTCAATAATATGTTTTCGTTGAAGTTAATGATTGTGTTTAATTTTCTTTCGCGCATGCGGCCTGCGACATGTCTTGCAGGGAAAGTTAGAATATTTGGCATGGTCGGGTAGATGAACGTTGGTTTAAATGCCTCATTGGACTTTGACAAGTGGTACCACAGTAGCACTGTAGTACTGACAACAACTTGACAGAGACATGACATGTATTTTCACTTTCCCCAATTGAGACAAATCCGATATGTCCCATCCACTCCCATGAGCACAAGCAACCTATTTTGAAAACAAGGTTTGTTCCATGTTGTGGATTCAGGGTGTCACCATGCGGGCGTTGACTTTGTTTTCGTATCACCTCAATATCCCCTATCTTCCACTCCATTGATATCAATTCTGCATTCCAGTTCAGAAGGGGTCTTTACAGCAGCATTCAGGAAGCAGGCTGCGGCTCCAAAGGCCGCTGCAGAACGCAAGAAACGCACCCGTGGTGCGGCAAAGGCTGAGGCAAAGAATGAGCCCAAGAAACGGGCCAGGGGCAAACAAGCTGGCAACTAGGTAGGCCCGGGCGTTTGACAATTTTTTTGGGATCTCGGCCAGTACACATCCCATTCGTTTCAATCATTTTGAATTCAGTGTTGTGTGATTTTGTGTGTTTCTTGGACCAAAATCCAAGTCAGTCCACATTGTCAAAGTATGTGAATTGGGGTGTGCTTTGCATTTTGAAGTGGCAATATAGCAATGTCCCAAACTGAGTTGCGGAGCCTGTTGAACCCTTGGCCAGCTTACTGGCCACAATCTTGAAACTTTGGATGGGGATCATCGGAAAAAAGGATGGGCTGCTTACAGGGATTGGCTGCTTCATTTGGAAATGGAGCCTCCAAAGGGAAGGCAGGACACAGTTTCCAGTTTTGAAAGGCATCATTCCATGTGCCTCATGTGAACACTTGTCTTCAGCCAGCTTCTCGCTGCAGAATGTACAGGACTTGTGCAAGTCCAAGTAAGGGGCTATTGTGCCCGCATTTGATCGATTTGGTGGACTTCTTAAACATATAATGCCCGTCAGTGGGACGTGAACTATGGGCAAAACAAGGCAAATTTTATATATAGTTCTGCAAAATTTATATATAGTTCTGGACCATTTTATATATAGTTCTGAGAAATTTATATATAGTTCTGGACCAGTGCTGGCAGCCCACAGACAAAGAGGCCCACGCACCCAGTAATATATAACTATAAATATATATACATAATTACATATATATAATTATATATATAATTATATATAATTATAACTATAAATATATATACATAATTACATATATATATAATTATATATATAATTATATATAATTATATATATATATTATTATAAATATATATATATAATTATAAATATATATATAAATATTGTTATAAATATATATATATATGCTGATCTCCAAGTCCTAGTTTGCTACAAGGATGACCTTCAAAAACCATTTCTGCTTGGTTGTCATCTGAAGGGGTCAGATCGTCACCATCATCATGCACCAAGTGGCTGCAGCTTCCAACCAGTAAAAGTAAAGAAGGGCGAGATCTTCCAAACACATGGCAAACAAAGTCGCTTCAGGATGGAAGCGAACAAGACGATCAATCAAACATGAACACCAATAAGTGTCACCATATTGTTTTCCTTTCTCCAGTATAACTTATTGGCCACTGCAAATAACAACAAAAATCCGACATAAAATAGCTGCCAGTCGAAAAATAAATACCACCAAACATGGGAGCTACTTACATCCGTCCTAGCTCATATTCTGATCTCACCCCGGGCACCCGCGGCATGCTGAACGATGAAACAAGTTTAGCTTGCGTTACATCAGCAACTTCACAGGATTGGTCATGAGATTCAGTAAGATTAAGAAGAATAATAAGCCTCCTCTTAGACCCCTCTGATACAAGTTATCCGATTTTGAACCGATACCTTTCGGTACGGTTCGCACCATGCTCCCCAGATGGATTGGTTTCTACAGGCTTATTGTTGGAAACAGCCCATGAATAATCCATACATATCCATACCTATATCAAAAAATCTTTGTTGATGAAATAATTACCATAGCCAGGAAGATGTTCCCAGCTTTGCCCATGCTAATTATCCCATTTACATCTGTTTCATGAGCGCAGTTGCGAACGAGCTACAAAGTTGAGAGACGTCGACCCCAACCCTCGAAAGGCACACTGAGGTTGTACAGCTCTTCCTTGGCAGATTTTTAAAGTATCCCGGGTGGTCTGAACCGCCAGGTCAACACATGTTTGAAGCATACAAATTGGTTAGGACATCTTAGGGCCATCCCAAAAACATCCAAAAAACAAATTGTTTTTAGCGCAGCCAGGATGGGATTTTCTGTTCCTCCAGCAATTTGATCAGAAATCACCGACAGGATGGGTTCAATGACCACCGATTTTGCCAGCGTTGCAAGTGGTCTTTAACCCTGAAAATGGGAAACCGGAAACCATAAGGACCCCTAAATAGCGCAGGGACGTCTGTGGCGCGGCATGTTGGTGACACTAAGAATTACAGGCACCACATCTGGTGATGGGATAGCAGAATCTGGAGTTGAGGAATCATCCCGATTACCCCACTGATCCCAATTGGATTATATATATATATACTTACAATATACCACCAACCACCATATTACTTGGGATATGTGGGGTTACTTCTCATATACCACAGAGAACTATTGATTTTTACTATACATATACTCTATATAAATGTGTATATATCTATACCATAAAGCTTATATGGGTGGTGCATGTCCCACAGATATTTTACCGGGTTTGGCCCCCTTGACCACAGGCTTAACTCATCACGTTGAGCCAAGGGTCTTCTTCAGAGGCGTTCCAATCTGACAAGTCCGCGTCATCCATGGAGGTAGTGCTTCGGGTGGTGGTTGATGTCCTCTCCTCCGGAAAAAGCGATGGAATCCTTCAATTACAAGTGTATCGGCATAGTTTCAAACTTGTTGAATCTAAGCATGGGATGATCTCAAAGTTTCAGAAACCCCAAAGAACTATCTAGCAAATCAACACAGCTATGGCCAACCACTATTTCAGAACTAAATCATCTATTTCTATGGTCCATCTATATCATGGCAAACAGTTTGTTTATTGGAGGTATCCAGTATGCCTCCCTGCAGTTTTCCATGTCTTCATCCGTCTTTTGAGATGCCACACTTCGCTCCTCTTCATGGGTCATGGTCCAGGTGGTACTTACGGTGGACTCCTGCTGCGTTGCGACCATGATTCCAAACATGCTTAAAACATGTCGGAAGGCGTAAAACCACCAACGAGTTTCTGTGAAATGGAAATAATAAGCCCCGGATGCCAAGAAAAGCTTCAACAATAGTTATCCTACACCGGATTGTAGCTCACTTGCTGACTGCGGTATGCACCAAGCAAACGCTGTGATTCCTGTAATATGATCTGACATCTAAATCGACTGAACCAATTCCGATTCCCTGCGACTACATAGTTACTCTACCTGCCAGTTACTCCTGACTTGATGGCTAAATACATAGGCAGATTCATGCAAACATCTAAGCAACCCTCCACCAAGGATGGCAAAGCCAAAGCAGGAGACTGAGATGCCCATTTTTGCCACCGTTCAAAAATACAAACGTGTTGCTTAAATGCTTATTAAACCTATCATAAATCATCCGTTTGCTATAGTCAACCGTTCAAAAGTTGCCAAAAATACAGAAAGTGGCATGGTATATCCTCATCCAAGTCCCAAGTCCAATGTTCTTGGTAAAACACCTCAGTTTCCCCCCAAAAAAATTCGTGAGTTAAATCCCCTCCACTGCTGATTTCCACCTGTTCATCGCTATCATCCGAGCCATTAGACATTCTGCTGGTGGTCTGAGTCGTCTGAGTCGATCTGGTGGAAGTCATGGTAGGCTCCTGGCGTGGAGATCCTCACCGGTGAACCACCCATGTTATCCAAAAATAGGTGGTATATGATAGCTTTACTCACATTAGGTGTTTAAATTGAACTGAAAACAAGACAATTTGACAATTTGCGAAGTGGTACGTAAGCCCAACCATGTGTCGAATCAAGCAAACATAGATGGAGAATGATAACATTAACAACCAAAAAACAAATTGCAAAAAGAGCCCAACAAGCAACCAATGGGGATTTCAGCAACAAGACTAGGATTTTATTTGGCAAGAATGTTGTTTATTGAGGGCTGCACTGAATTATGATTATGTCGTCAGATTTGTTTTTGAATAGAAGCATCGCTATATTTACATGTCTATATATATATATACATACATATATATATACATATATATATACATATATATATATATACATATATATATATATATACATATGTATATATATACAGTTTACAGTGCACGTTGTTTATTCTGAAACATGGGCATAGAAAACACATCAATACTGGGAATGAGTAGCCTCCCAACGCTGAACCAATCGTAGTAACACAACAGTCCATCCACAGAATCATCTTGTCGTGTTGCCTAGTTCCAGATCCTGCACTTTTTTTTGTATCGCATAATAGGTGTCCACATGTATCTGCAATGGTTCTGAAAAAAAAAAACTCCAAAACTCTGCCCGCACCTCTTCCTCCGCATCACTGTCGTCACTGTTGTTTCGAAGTCGCGTCGTCGTGGTCATCGTCCGAGTGCTGGTACGTGTGGACACCACAGCCTGCATCTGTTGAGGCAATCATGGAGCCATGAACCACATTGACTCTCCAAAGAGATGAACCACATGACGCTCAAAAGAGAATGCCCATGCAGCTATCCAGTATTATAGTAGATTATAATAATGAAATCATTTGGAAGTATAAGAGCTCCTTCGAACAGAATCTGTTCACCACAAAGGTCTCATCTGTTTGGGAATTCTGTGCCAGGTACGGCCCTGAGATATCGTCATGCGTCATGTAGTGATTCGACAGGGAACATGGATTCAACCTAAACCTCAAAACATCTTTAAATATCTTAAAATCTCATGGACATTCTAAGACATTCCAAGACATTCTAAGACTACATTCTAAGACATTCCAAGACATTCTAAGACATTTAGATGCAAGAGGGATTAAAATGATTGAATATCAATAACTCCTTGGTTTCTGATTCAACAGGGGAATATGTACACCTTCCGGGTCGCACCTCTGTAAGGTTGCTGATGTTGACCCCACAATCCGCAACACAACCGTATCAAATCAATGAAAAACAAAGAATAATTAAGATTGTATCAAATATCATATGATATCATATTTATTCTGGAATTAGTTCGAACCCATCCAGTCTCAGTGCTTTCCACCTAATGGTGACACCCCCGAATATTTACACCTACCCTCAATGCCAACCTCCGTAGTATTGGATTTAATCGGATGTCCATTTAGATAATGTTCAAGGGGAGGGGGTTGTTGCAATACAACAAAGGAAAGGCACTAATATTCATGGCCAATCTTAGATACCCTTATCCCTTCGAAACACTCAATTCCTAGCTGGTCGGGCAAAAGTATCTCAAAGTATGGCGAAAAAAAATAACATATATAAAATCTAGTTGGTAAAAAAAAACACACACAAAGGTTTACCCAATGACACTGCTGGCCTCTAAGGTTGTTGTCAGGATGGTGGCATTTTCCGTTTCATTGGCGGAGATCAGAGGTGACACGGTCTCCGGCAACACGAAGGAGACCTGATTTTGGTGTATTAAATATATTACCCTCCAGTAAATTAACATAGACCCTGGTAGTTGTCGGGGTTGGAAGATTAGTTTCCTCTAAAAATTGGTGATTTTGAGGGTCCAACTGTTTTTTTACCAGAGGGTAAATATGGGGGATGGGATACGCTGGGGATATTCAAAACATATAAAAAAATATCCTGTGGATATGAAGGTTAATGGACTGAATTCAGGGAACACCTTCGGAAAACTACTGTGTTTATCCCTGTCAAATATAGAGGTGTTGCTAAAAAAGTTCCCTTCAAGCAATTCTCGGATTGGTTAGTGTTTGAACCTAAAAAACTGGACGTGATATCAAGGTTCCAACTGTGCTTCAAAAGACAACTTAGTTCCAACTTTCATTTTAACCCATCTCAAAAGAATCTATCATGTATGAACATCATTTCAACATAAATTATCCATAGTAGGAGAAATACAAGTGTTTGCCCTCGCCACGTTTGCGCCCTTTCCCGACTGCTGTAAAACACACGTCAATATCGGCAGCTGTCATTCGGATCATTCAAATCTTATATGAGTTTGAGAAGTATCCCCATCAATACTATCCCCATGTATCCAAGTACTCTCTGAAGTTTTTGCAGGTTGATTTAGGGGATAGAATACCTTCTCAGATAGTATTTGGATCCATAAATAGTTTGTAAATACATGATATGATCATTAATCATTTACATCATATTTTTGCTGGCGGTCTCCCCATCCTTGGTGCTTCTAGACATCCACTGACAGATTCAAAACCCGACCGAGTTCAAGGCCGCTAGAGAGATTTAGCGCATTTCCGAACCGAGCGGCTGAGACCGAAGACACGCTGAGCACCGAAAGAGACGCCACATCCGCACCTGGGGCGTGCAATATTTTTACTGGTGCTAAACGTAGGGAATGGGGGGATGAGATGATTATTAATAATTACTATTGATCATTCCCCCACCCTAGCACTAGTGAGTATTTTGAGGATTTTCCCCGAAATTAAGCCCAGAATGGTAGGTCCAATTTAGGTCCCTGAAATGGCCATGGGTGTTTTAGTCACAAAAAAAAAGGGCTAACTTTGAAAACTTGGGAGATTTAGTTTGAATCAATGCATTTGTTTAAGAGAAAATGGTGGTTAAAAATATCATGAGATAATAAAATACCAGGGATGTGCAATCAATATGGTATGGATATGATGATTAATGGTTTGATATGGTTTGATTTGATGGAAAATTTGCAGGAGACCATTGTTTCTCCTGAACAAAAAACATGGGATTCCCATATTGTTTCCTTCACCAATCTCTGGGATAAATACCATGGTCATCTACCGCGGCAATGATCCATTGATGAACGAAACCAAGGCTTCCTGAGATTTTACGCGATACTTTTGAGCACTTCATCACTAAAAAAATACCTCGTGATTAAACACATGAGTTCAGCCACAAGTCTGACGACGATTTACTCACCACACAATGTTCTCCCCGGATTGTTCAACTGCGTTTTGAGCTCCCAGTTCTCGTTAAAATGCTTTTCAATACCTCCCCCCAATGTGGGAACCCACAGGCATCGCCTACACTCTGGTATTTGACATAGTTATGGACAATGGTGCCTTTATAGATGATCTATGATGATTTACCCTATTGAATATGGTGGCTAACCAGTTGACTACGTTAAATTACCAGAGAGTTTTCAAACCTCTGATAACCTATATATATATATTAATACATATGTATATATACACACATTATAATCATTATATCTATCCCAATATTGTTATACCCTCTCTATTTGTTAGATGTATCTATCCTCTCTATTGTTAGTTATATCTACAGTATCTGTTTTTTCTTACATATGTCTATTATATCTATCATCCATCCAATCTATCCCAGGTCCCACCGTTGTTTGTTATACGGTTACCCTCTCGACTGCCCATGTTTAACCATCACTATTAATCACTATTAACCATAATCAACCATTATTAACCACTACCGGTATTAAGGCTATAGTTAACCTGTAATCAATAATCATTTTTAACCACTACTATTAGCAAATTAATGTTCATAATTAACCATGAACCGTTCATTACTATATTTTGGTTATCTCATGACCCACTATTCACCATTATGAGTTATATCTCCAGTCATAGGCACTATTAGCCACTATCAACCACTCCTATTCATCATGGTTGGTCATTCTTAGTGGTATCATGGTTATATGCATATTCTCTTTAAACATTTAACCACTATTATCCCTGTTATATCAACCACAGTTGACCACAGTTAGTCACTATTAATAGTATATAGTTTTTAGTTATTAGCTATTAACTATGCTTAACCACTATGAAGCACAATTCATAGTCATTAACCACAGTTCTTCACTATTAAGCACTATGAATTATATCAGTGTTTGTCATTCACCAGTAATGAATCACTCTTACTAATAACTAACCTTAACCACTATGAGCCATCAATAACAACCATTATTAATAACAATGAACCATAATCATAGTACTATTAATCACTACAAGTATGAATCACTATCAGTATCAACCAATAATTAGCCAGTAGTTATCACTATTAATCACTATTAACCGTTAATAATCACTATCAACCACCATAAATTATTGGCTAATAGTGATTATTATGGTGATTAATATACCATAATAATAATAATCACTATTAATCACCATAAATTGTTGGTTATAAATAGTATTGATCACCATAAATCACTATAAATAGTATTAATCACCATAAATTATGGTACCATTGTATTATTAATCACTACTAATAAACCATCAAAATCCCACCCAGCCATATCTCCAAGGCACCACTGACGCCTTGCAGCACCAGCTCCGCCGCCAGGCTGTTCCCCAGGCTGGAGCCCAAGGTGCTCGCGGAGGTCACCACAGCGGCCTGGCCGGCGCCAAGATGGGGAAAAACAACGGGAGATCATGGGAAAATGATGCGTAAATGATGGGTAAATGACGGGTAAATGGTGGGTGACTGGTGGGTAAATGATGGGATATGTGGATATATACATATATATATACACACATATATTATACATATATATGTATGGATTTAAGGGAAAATGATGCGAAAATGATGGGTAGCAAGGGAAAATTTGCGAAGTGAATGGAGGTTTCTAGCTGGGAAAACGGTCAATGGCCGATTTTCCACATTGCCATGTTTCATTACCAGAGGGTAAATGATGACTAAATGATGGGAATATGGATTGATGTCAGAGAAAAATGTTGGAAATGATGAAGACATCATTAGACTAACATCCTCAGAATAATTGGAAACATGACGCTATCCTAAAAGTCAATGATAGATGATGAAACCCTTTCTTCAATCTTTTTCAGAAATATAATCTAATAATCTATAACTCGCACTTAAACCAACGTGGACTAAATGAGTAATAAACGCAGACTCCAATGATGATAGACATACATACGCAATTATCACATAAATATATGATGATATCACATATCATACACAAGTATCACACCCCAATTATCACATATCACATATCATACACAATTATCGCATATCATGATTACATACACATTATGTAAACATAAAGATATGCACTGTTGGATGTGGTGATCCAGGGCTCCCAAAGAGATGCTTTTGGTTCAACATGTCGATGACGGTTTGTCTGAAAATAGGATGGCCATGGAAAGCCACAAAACCCATGGTATATAATCATGTTCCCTGTTAAATTGGTCTTTCTTATGGGTGATGTACTCAATTTGTAAACTTTAGACACACCCAACAATGATATGTTGGTTATCCCAACAATGATATATTGGTTATCCATCGTTCTCTCATCAATCAATACTCCTTGCAATATCCCATGGAACCCCTCCATGTCTAACGGTTAAATCACCGAATTTCTGTTGGTTTACACAACAAAACAAAAAGTGGCAGGATATGAGCCACGGTAGTAGATCCAGCCGCATCTCCCTGGCTGTTTCCGCCTCGCTTCCCACAGGAACCACAATTTGATACTGCCTCAGGCAACGCAAAACCCGGAACTCCACCAGGGGCACGTTTTGAAGTTTGGAGGAAGATCCAGATTTTGAAGTGTCAACCTGTCAACCTGCATCCCTTTGCGGAGGATGTCCAAATGTCTCAGTGGAATACAAATTACATCAACATCGAATCAAACATGTGGGACCATTGGACCAAACATATGTGACATTGATTTACCTTCTGGTAAACTAACATAGCTATTGAAAATGGCCATTCATAGTGGATTTACCCATTAAAAATAGTTATTTTCTATAGCTGTGTTGGTTTACCAGAGGGTAGGATCCACCCAAAAAAAAACCTCCGTTCTGCTGCCGCAGCACACGTTCCAGGTGGTGCTCAAACGACGCGCAGCAGTGGACCTGGCACTGCCGACCAGCTAATTTGACTGAGGGAACATGGTAGTTTTGGAGTCCTGGAGGTGTGTTTTTGATTATTCATATAAAGATGGATTTTCAGTAGATGAATTTAGATGATTTACAAGAGTTTTGGAGATTTTCCTCAGAGACCTTCGCCATAATAACCGCTTTCGCGAGGAAAAACTGGGATTGATATAGAGGTTGGAAGGTTTTCCTTGATTGCATAAATACATCCACCATTTCTGGGTCCCCCAAAATCACCATAAATATATAGGTGGTATAAACCATTCCCAGTTTGGGTGGTTTATGATTGTTTTACCCGCATTTGTCCTGGGAAAACCAAAGGGGTATCCAGGAGTTGCGCCTGGGTTCGTTTTCTTGCAAGGTACAAATCCTCAAACTAAGTCCACAAGTCTCACCTGTCATCACCTCCAGTAAACATATTCAATGCCACCCTGAAAATCATCGTTTTGCAATGGATCTATTCATGCGGTGATTTTCCAGATCAGAGTAATGTGACTCCACATATTTCAAAAAAAGTGCTCTTGGGGGCAATTTTATTCTAGTCAGCGTTGAGCCGTTCGCCCCCCCCCAGCGGCTCCTACGATGCAGAATTCGACTCTGAGAGACTTTTGTTTTCGAGGGCGAGCTTCGTATGTCTATTGCGAATGGCAACATTTATCCAAATGATCAAATTCAACATCCCGGGAAAAGACATGCTTCATATGTTTGAAGATAATTTGGAGCACTTTGAATCCTCTAAGTCAACTGGTTGGCCGCTTACATTTTCACCATCTGCGTCGGCTCGGCTGTCAACTGTACAAACAGCTCTGCAGGGACGCGGCCGAGCAGTGACTTGCTCAACAATTGATGCAAACAAGCATGGTGTTGAACTAGCCTGACTATGGTTTACTGTATATACACATGTTCTATAGTTGGTTTGTAAATCCACTTCTTATTGTGGCCATTGCATGGTTTCTGACCATCCTCTTTGCAAATTTACAGTGGATTTGCGTCCTCTTGTTTGGGGAAGAAAGACAATCGCTGGGACATGCTGGAAATCGTTTCTGCCATTGAAGTTTGATTGGTCAATTTCAACCGTCTAATCAAATGGAGATGATAAAAAATAGAGGAGACAACCTCATCGACCACAAAACCGTACCTTCGGAAAATTTTCCAACCACTGACCAACTGTTTTCCACCACTGTTAGACTCCACTACAGATCACAATGTGATGAATCCTATGTCATATATTAATATGTATCTAGCGAACTTTCCCTTCCTGACTAACCCATCTCTGCAAACAAATGCGCCTCAGTATAGCTGAGAAAACCAGCGAAACGTCATACCATTGTACAGTACCCTCTGAGTACATTTTGGAAGTGGCACCATCCAGCATCTCCACGTGTTTATGTTCCACGTTTTTTACATCATTTCCAATCTGAACCTTCCTACATCCAAATGTCCTCAGATCATCCACCATCCTAGACCGGGATGGGCTGCGCAGGATATCTCTCTTCCAAGACCTCCTTGGTTACGCCCTTCACGTAGTCGTTCTGATACCGCATGGCCGTGTCAAGATCCTCAAAGGATTGCCCGGTGGAACACACGAAGATGTCCGTGCCCCAGGCCAAGTTCACCTCAGTGGCTGGGGATGTGAGAGGAAAAACTGAGGTTGATTGGATAATACCTGATCATTATCATTATCTATATATCATAGTGTAACTAATTACATTTAACTAGTATCATATAATATCATATATATATATATTATATGTAAAATCAGTATCATTATGGTTTATGGCTAATAAACCACAATAAACCACAACTACAGCAATCCCAGCCCCCCAATGATACCCTCTGGTAATCAAACATGGCTGGCTGGGAAATGCTATACAAATGGAGGTTTATAGCTGAGAAGATAGTCTACAAATGGTGGATAAATCATGATAAATCACATTTCCGGTTCATATCCCCTATTATTAGCTTCACATATCACCATTTAGGCCAACGACAAACATATTGAAGTGATTCCTTTCCCCAAAAACCCAAAGTACCCCATTCTATGGTTCCAAATATGTGGATTTATCCCCCACTACACTATGGTTTCTGGGGATTGTTTAATATTAGCGGGAAGTGATTGCTGAGGGCACCATACAGTTGACATCTGGGTTTCTCAATATCAGGCTCAAAGGATACAAATTAAATGGAGCGGTCCTCTGAAACCTCCTGAAATCTTGTGGCAATGTGGTACACCCAATAGTAAGACCATCTCTTTTAGTTTCAGCCAAGCGCTAAGTTTATGCAACTACATTGTTTGTACGTGCCTTAGCACACATTAGATTAGATCATAAATGACTAATTATACCCCAACTGTCTACCTGTTGTTTTGGTCTCCTATTCCCCCCAAAAACGTTCTGGAATGCCACTAATGACATGTTGTTTTTCTGGACGCGCATCCCAGCTACTAATTGCATGATATCCGAAAAAGAAATCTAAAGAAGATAGGCTAGTGAGATATAGTGGGTCCATCACAATATCCTATATTTAAGATGGATTATGATTGTATAATGCTACTTAAGTAATTAGCCTTCAAGAAAAAGCTGGGGTGCACACCCAAGTACCCATTTTTGTGTGTCCAAAGATACCACAATTGCCACAGCTTAAAATATGTTTGTTTCCCATTAAAACTTCCGTGAATTGGAGTATTGGAGTTTCCCCAATTTTGATATGTTCCTAGCAAACAATACACAACACATCACAACACACAATAGCAATATTGTTGACATGTTGGGAAGCAATTCAACACAGGTAGGTGTGTGTGTGTATTCTTCAGACGCCTGTTGAAGGTGTTGCTTTCGTAACACGATATGTTAATATGTATATATATATATACACATATGTACATTATTTTGAAGAACATCTAGACACGTGACAAAGAAACATCTAAAAGGCTATGACCAAACACCAAGATGGGGTTCATTGTTCATTGTCCATATCAATGTTTAAACATGGTTGCTTGAGATGGGTCGCAACCTTTTGGTACAGGAGCCCTGCTCGCTGTCACAAAAGGGTTCATCTGCAGTCGCACATTTACAACATACCGCAACCCATGAAGGCGAAAACATAATATCACAAATCAATCTAGACATGTCTAGACTCTACTTGAAGTACGGCCGATATTGGCGAGTATGTGGACAGTGTTTAAGCAACGCATATGTTTAATAGTGAAGAGGAAACTTAAGGTTGAAACATGTTGAAACCCGTCTGTCTGTGGACAAACACCAATGGTTTTGCGTAAGTTGTCCCTAAGCCCTTCCATTGGGATCAACACTTTGCGAACATATCCACATGTTTTGCTGGATGCGACACTGCAATTGCTACACATCGCTCCCTGGCATTCTCAAAGATACCTCCAAAAGCCAATCAGCTGAAACTGCAGGTTCCTAGCGTGAAGGGCGACTTTGCACCAACATGATTATACATATGCAGACTGGGCTGCGACCGCTGAGCTGTGACCACTAACACTAAAAGGTCCAGCACTCAAGGCCACGGCTGATCCATCAGCCAGGATCGCAGCAAATGCATGACTCGTTGCTTGAAGCTGCTGGACACCCTTCAGCTGATCTTGGACTGCAGAGCTATCACCAACCCAGTGTGCTTCTCCCCAAGTCACAACTGACCCATCAGCCAGGATCGCAGCAAAGGCATTCCACGTTGCTTGAACCTGCTGGACACCCTTCAGCTGATCTTGGACTTCAGAGCTGTCACCGCCAAAGTCTGGGTTGCCCCAAGTCACGACTGACCCATCTGCCAGGATCGCAGCAAATGCCCGATGAGTTGCTTGAACCTGCTGGACACCCTTCAGCTGATCTTGGACTTCAGAGCTGTCACCACCATTCTCTGGATCGCCCCAAGTCACGACTGACCCATCGGCCAGGATCGCAGCAAATGCCTCACTTGTAGCTTGAACCTGCTGGACACCTTTCAGCTGATCTTGGACTTCAGAGCTGTCACCACCACAATTTAGATCGCCCCAAGTCACGACTGACCACTCAGCCAGGATCGCAGCAAATGCAACTTCTGTTGCTTGAAGCTGCTGGACACCCTTCAGCTGATCTTGGACTTCAGAGCTGTCACCGCCAGAGTCTGATTCGCCCCAAGTCACGACTGACCCATCTGCCAGGATCGCAGCAAATGCCTCACTTGTAGCTTGAAGCTGCTGGACACCCTTCAGCTGATGTTGGACTTGAGAGCTGTCACCACCAGAGCCTGGACTGCCCCAAGTCACGACTGACCCATTAGCCAGGATCGCAGCAAATGCCAGCTCAGTTGCTTGAACCTGCTGGACACCTTTCAGCTGATCTTGGACTGCGGAGCTATCACCACCAGAGTCTGGTTCGCCCCAAGTCACGACTGACCCATCTGCCAGGATCGCAGCAAATGCCCGATGAGTTGCTTGAACCTGCTGGACACCCTTCAGCTGATCTTGGACTTCAGAGCTGTCACCACCATTCTCTGGATCGCCCCAAGTCACGACTGACCCATCGGCCAGGATCGCAGCAAATGCCTCACTTGTAGCTTGAACCTGCTGGACACCTTTCAGCTGATCTTGGACTTTAGAGCTGTCACCACCATTCTCTGGATAGCCCCATGTGACAACTCGGTCACCTCCAGGGCAAAACAATGCAAAAGCTCCTGCTACCGCTCGCAATCGCCCTGTTGCCGCCAGCTTTGCCTCCAGGACAATAGCCGTCAGGTGGTCTCCATCTTCAAGTCCCGCAGCTTGCAGAGACACTGTAGGATCCAACGCGCGATGGTCTGCAGCCACAAGCCTCAAGAAACCACGTTGAAAGGATTTCTGTGCCAGAACTTTTAAGTCCCCTACTTTGGAGGACTGCGCAATCGAAAACTCCTCACTGCAACCGCTTGGCAAAGCTACAGTAACTTGAAGCATATCTCAAGAAAGTCTAATGTACTGAACGGAACAGTTTCTCCAATTGAGCCAAACTGCACCACTTTTTGAGCGTTGCAACAAACTCCCAAGACAACTCGGCATTCAAAACCCGTTGCTAGAATTATTGGGAACATTTCCCACATATATTTACATAGCTGGGAACCCTTGCGCTTTACACAACCATGTTGGGTCATATGCCCAGATCAACATCAAGATCTTGATCACCGAAGCGACAGAAGCTGCCAAATAGGGCACCACATACAATATATAATTGTATATATATATACACACATATGTGGTGAGTTGGAACCATGGCTATAAGCCCATGCAGTGAGGGACCCCCAAACAGGTAAGATGGTTTGTAACTAGGCTAACTACAAATTGTGGGTGGACATATCTGTAATTATATAGATGAGGCAACATAAACCATCATCACATCCTGAAACCACCTGATAAGATCTTACAAGTTAGTCCGCAACCACATTGCCATGAGGCTATGTGTATCACTACCTATTTATATATATATATTTATATATATATATATAATGTTGGTTATACAGTTATAGATTATATGTATATAATACATATATATATATTGCTCTTCTTAGTGGAATCCACATGCACTATCCATTGACATCCATAGATCCCAGCTCTTGACACTCGAGGCACAGTCCGCCGGAGGCCGTTGCGGTAGCGCGCCACCACGGGATAGCAGTTGCCTCCCGCCTTGGCTTCACCCGGAAGCGAAGGGTGTGGAATCTCCTGGCGAACGCCAATTTTTGGGGGAGTTCAAATTAAAATAGCTTGGTTTTTATGGTGAATCAAATGAATCAAACCACAAAAATATGATAGTTATATATGGTGTATATGGTGTTTTATAACACATTTTCATAATAAACAATCGATTATGGTGAATGGCAGCTAAATAATTCATGGAACAGATATGTACAAATAGGTGATGTGTCCCCAAATGATCAACACCTTGTGGATTTGGGTAGAACGGAAGAAACCTCCGTAGAGGAACTTGAGAGCAAATGATCCAAACATCCTGAATTCATAATAATTGTCTTATATATTCTATATACATATATAGATATATATTCATATATTCTATATATATATATATGTATTCATATATTCATATATATATAATAGTATTCATATATTCATATTCATATTCAATAATATTCATATAGGAAAAAAATGTGCCTGCGGATTTTGGTAAGGATGAGTAATCCAATTTGATTTGTATGTATACAACTCATGGACTTTTGCATGAAGAATAACCATACATGTATGTGCTTTTTGTCCATATTTGCGTCGGGAAAACCGTTTTTAGAATGGTGATTTCAGAAATCCAAAGCCAATTCCTTCAGGTTTAAACATCAACTCTTCAGCAAATGAACTCCCTACAGTTTGAAGGTAAATGTGACACTTGTGATTGAATTTCCAACATGTTCCAACTATTTACCCAGATTGAAACTGGTGATACACCCGCAAGGGCCATGGTCCCAGGTCGAACAGACTAGGCATGACCAATTTTAGTAGGTCCATTAGCACCCATTTCGGGCCACCACAGCCACTCATGGCCAAATTTAGATGCAAAAAGATATACTTTCGCTGATTTGGTTAGTATACCTTCATCAAAATGACAAGAGGTTGAAACAATTGAAGTAGCCTTCATTATTAGGTTGTCCCAGTAATTCACCCGTGGTTTCTGGCACACCCCACATAATCACATTCCATCATCTTTTCCTGGCAAAGTATATGTGTTTGTTACTGAACTTACTTGCTGTAACTAACCCATCATAACCTATCTCTCCCGGTAGAATAGAACTGAATCCCCTTTTCTATCCACTAAACTAACCTACCCGTCCCCTCCCAGCCCTCCTTGTAATCCCTCGACTCGGTAAGGACAAAGGTGCCATTGCCCTTGTCCTTTGGCGATGTGGGGCCCTAGTTCTGTTGGTCCACCACAACAGAAAGGTTTTTCGGAAAATAACCATCAAACCATCCATGAATATCCATGAATACTATTGATATACGTTTTTTTAGTGAACAATTTAAAGAACATATAGTGAAATTGGAGTGGAAACAGCTTAAACCAACCAGCGGCCCCACATTGTAGGAAAAATCTGTTCATTCCTACCTGAAAGGTATGACACAAAACATGGATTCATTTCGGGGAAATCACCAACATCATGGTGGACAGCGGGTAGATTTCCCACCGCTTAATGGAAAACCGCATGGAGATCATGAATCAAACTCATCTGGTTGGTGGTTGACCTACCCCTCTGAAAAATATGAAAGTCAATGGGAAGGATGACATCTATATTATGGACAATAAACAAGTGTTCCAAACCACCAACCAGTCATTTCAGATCAAATATACGAATGGGTCAAGCCCCGTAGCCTCACTCAACATGACAAACGTGATTCACAATGGGATATCTTTGGACGTTCATCTACCTGAATTTGGGGTTGTTTGGTCGGGATCCATGCCCATATCAAGGTTTACCCAGACATTGACAACCTGTTGGTGGTGAAATCCCCAATTCTTCCTCGTGAAATCTCAGTTCCGTCAATTGCCTCCCCCGAAAACTCTTGCTTCAATCCCCATTTTTCCTATCAAGGATAGGATATGATAGGATCATCTCCCACATTGAAGAACCATCTGACTATCCCCAAGATGTTCCCTTCACCCCATCCCCATCCCCTTCAACCCTTCACCGGCCAGCAGCGCGCCGTCCAAGGCGCTTCCTCGATGAATCCCGGCTCCTGGGTCTTCTCCTCGATGAAGCGAGGGTCCATGGCCATTTCCTGGATCCTTGGACCCCACTGAGATTCACAGAGATTCACTGGGTCAATTTGGGATGTACCATCTGGTTATTTCACATAGCCATGGAACATCCCAACCATAAATGGAGGTTTCTAGCTGGGAACAATCATCTGGTAAACATACACAAAACTATGGAAAATCACCATGCTATTAATGGGTAAATCAACTATTTCGACTGGACCATTTTCAATAGCAAACTGTTTGTTTACCAGAGGGTACATTCACTGGGTCAATTTGGGATGTAACTCCAAAAAGTCCAGGCAACCCACCTTGACTTTTAACGACCAATCAATAGAGAGATGGATCCAACTAAACTTGAAGCTGTGTATCGGTCTCAAGTGTCAAAAAATTGTCACACGCATCCCCAAACCAACAGGCACACGTAACCGTTGCAAGTGGGGATGTGATCCGCAAACATGACTGCCAAACAAATCTGCGGTACATGGGCTTGGGGATACTGAACCCGAGTCACCCTGTCCACCTGATGTCCAGTCGGTGACACCTGCGTTCTCAGCTACATTGATGGGTGATGTGCTAGTTGGATGTACCCCTTTTGCTCGTCTGCATTCATGAAAGCATACAGGTGTGTCTGAAAATGGATGATATCCCTATAAAATAGCAATTCTACTGAGGAAACCATTGAGTTTTGGGTAAATAAGTGTCCGGCCAACCAATATGTACAATTGTATCCTTGTTTCTCATTGCATTCCCATCTTAGCTTCATCTCCACATCAAATGGCTTATATAAATATCAGCAATCACCCACATTCTCAACACCAAGCATCATATCCACAATTTTCCCAGGCAATTTCTTTCTCAACTTCTTGCACTCCGCCATCACCGGTGCATTCGCATCCAACGGCTGCACCCATCCCATCGTCAACGTATCTTGTTGGCTCCCCACCATGGCGGAAGCCGTTCGTTTCAAACGACCCACCGCGCTGCCCATGGCACTGAGTACTTTGGCCAAGGAGGGGAGGGTGTCCCAAGGTGTGGCCAAATGGGTTATGATGGTTAATGTATCCAAATATGCGCAATGTATGGAATACGTGCCTACATTTATTCCCAAAATGATCCAGATATGTAGGTACAAACACAGCATATATGTAGCCCATACCGGTATTCAATGGTCAGTTCAACCCAACTCCGGAAGAAAAAATAAGACTTGTCAGGGATTACTCATCCCAATTGCCTGGATGAGTCTACTTTGGGTGCTGCTGTCCTTTAGATCTTCACATCAACCAAAAATCTGAGAATCAACATATCGTGTGATGAAGCTACTGTATCATGCTGTCCCACCAATCTTGTGAATTCATAGGGATATAGTTTGTTGACGGTGGTGTTGTGCCCCTGAAGGGATCATTGAAATTCATAAGTCAATCTTTCACATGGAATGAGATCTGGGCGCATACTGCAACATGTCCCATGCCTTCCAGGACGCTTCAAACAGCTCTGGGGCACAGGCCAAATCCAACCAACATGGCAGAAGTCTATGGAGGTTCACCCTCATTCCCTTCTGGCAATCTGGGTTAATGTGGTTTTAGTGCGCTTAAGAAGCTAATAGATAATAGGAAGCGAATACTGCATGTGTTTTTGTTCAAATACATTGCCATCTACCCAAAAACATTGGAACATCACCGTGTTTAAAAACTAAAACATCTAAAAATAAATGATTTCCATTGCAATGTTTTATGAATCCAGAGGATACATGAAATGTTCCCTCCAGACGTCAACATCAAGGACAATGGGTGTACTCCGAAAATGCTGTATTCCACCATTTCCAGCCATTTTAAAACAGGAAACTCCGGATAAACCCATGGATTCTGGGGATACTCTAGAGTTATCCTCATTGCATTGGTTTACGGGAAAATTGAAACCGGAAACCCCCATATTTCATGGTAAAAACCTTGTTTTCCCATTAAGATGTTCCCTTACACCCAAGCCGTGGCCTCAGACGTCGCGCCGCGCTGGCGGACACGGAGATCCAGCTGAAAGGGACGCCCAGCAGTTGGCTCAGGGAAGCCTGGGAGATCGTTGGAGGACCGGAAAAGGGGATGGCAAGAATCAAGGACTATATATATAAAATGAAAGTTACCATCTTCAAGTAAATCAGGGTATGGCAGTATCAATTTTCCATAATCTTCTGATTAGGTTTGGTGATTAGGTGATCAGGTTATCCAAGTTAATGCTGGTTAAACAAAAAACTAATGCTGATTAGGTGATCCAAGTGGCTGATGAATCTGATTAGGTTGGTGATCCAAGTGCTGCCAAGATTGACACAAAAGGGTGATGTCTGCGTTATGAGAAAGGGGGTAAGAAAGGGCACAAGGTCCTGGTGTTTTTTCTTCTTGGTGAGAAGAGCTAGCAGAAATAAATTCAATTAAGACTGGACTTTTGTACTGTCAGCCGAGGATGAACTTGTGTAATTAAACGAACAAATGAGGAGATTTACACCACATGAAAAGGTCATGGCAACGTATTCTGCTTCTATCCCCATCTTCACTTCCTCCGTGCGAGACTGTTATCTGCATGTCCAGTTGTTAACCATCTCTCCTGCATCAGTTTTCCTTGGGCCAAGTTTTTAATATTGCTAATTACCCTTCTTTCGTGTTCCTACACCACATGAGCGATATATCCCAACCAGCTTTGCATCCACGCATCGAGTGTTGAGTCTGCGGGCTCGGGATACCCTTCAACATACCAAAACTTTGAACAGGGGCTGCGCACTAGATAGATCGCAATTTCAATACAATTTCATTCAATTTCTATATTCTTGGGTATGTGGGTTAAAATCATGTATCAACCCAGATCCCTAAAATGGGACAGCTCATGATCGTGTTCACACACTTTGATCTTGTATCTTCTCTTGAAATGTGACCTGTTGGGGGCCCATGTTTTTGCCGCTTGAGTCCCATATCTGTTGGTTTCATTCCTTGTTCTTGGTTCAATCCCCATGATGTAGTAGTAGTAGTAGTAGTAGTAGTAGTAAACCCAGTTGTAAATCGCCACAACTGGAGATGGTTCAAACAACTCATTTCGGGAAGGGAATACTTTATGGTGTTTGGTTTAACAGTTTAACAAACTACGTGGGTTGTAGCACTCACAACTGGCGTGCAACCATGTTCACGGATACAATCAGAATTGCATGCCAGTTCATCGATTCTATTGACGGTCAAATAGTTGTATCCACATTCATGCTTGGTGAAATCGCAACTTATGATTGAATATTGAATGCATCTTCGTTAATGGTTGTTGCTTTAATTAATCAACTAAACTTGTTGGTTTCTGCGCAAACGCTCATATTTTCCACATCAAACATGAACCTTTTTTTGATCGTTCCCCCTACAAACCAGGATTCATGGAATCTATGATGAGGTTGCTGTGAGGCCGTCAACAGTTTACCCAGATTGATGGTAATTCATTCATGGTCACTTCTCTGATTGATTGCGAAATCCCACCGTTTTTCGTGTCCCGGAACCGAGTTTTTGGTTGGTTAAATTCCTGTGTGATGATGAAAAAAACTCGTGTGTTCATGATATATGTTTTTTGGATATCAACAAAAATATCAAGTTGAATCCCAAGTGCACATCTTAAATATTTCAACATGTTTCACCATTAAACCATAGATATTTAGAATTTTATAGATTATTTCACCATTAAAATGGCTTCACCATCTTTCACCACCTGATACTTCACCATAGATATGTGAATCCAACTGGTTTCACCATTAAAAAAACATTAAAAAAAACAGTTTCGTTGGTGACCTCCCTGCCTGCACGGCGTCGGCCACCTGCGAGGCGGTGGCGCCACTGAGCGCGATCACCATGGAGCCTGGCGCGACTGCGACGTCGGGGTCACATGGGAAACCACTGTCATAGTAAGCCACAAAAAGATGATATTTATAGTGATTATCGTGATTATCTATAGTAATTATAGGCTTTTACATGCTGTTACTCTATCTTTCGGGGTTTACTCTATGATATTCTACAGGAAGGTGATTTGTTTTTTTAATGGTGATTCTATTTTTTTGGTTTGATATCATCTATTCTATAGGGTTTTACTACATCAGTGTAGAAGAAATATCATTTATCTCTAATTATTCTAACACAAGTAGGGTTTTACTCTTCTATCTTTTTTGAGGGTGACTATAGTTATAATAAACACCATTATTAATAACCATTCTAAAACATCATATAGTCGTAAGATTAAGTATAAAAGTACCAATCGAAAAAAAAAAACTAACACAAATGCAAATGAAATTGGATAATGAATAGGAATCATCGCTAGGAATTGAGGAACATGACAGGAACACACACACATATATATATATACACATAGAATGTTGAAGAGAATATAGATAAAACATCTTGAAGGCTATGACGAAACATTGGAGATTTCAAAAAGGTGGGATGTATTTGTTGATATTCCTGATCAATGAGTATTGAAGTGGGATCGTTTGAAACATTTTGGGATAGGAGAATGACCAGCAATTATGAATATTTGATCCTGGCTGCAGTCGTGCATGGGCCCTGCTCGTCGTTACAAATGGCTTCATAAGGAGTTGCACATTGGCAACAACAATCTAAGGACTCTATATCATAAGTAGGCGAACGGCTAATGTTGGCAATTACATGGATAATGTTTCAGCAACATCAGGTGGCTAGAATGAAGGGAAAACTTGAGACTTGAAATCTATATCTATGTCTATATGTATATATATATATATATGTCTGTATACATATATATTATATATATATATGTCTGTATACATATATATTATATATATATATATACGTATAGGATGTATGGGTAAACACCATAGTGTTGCGCAAGTTCTCCAAAAGCTGGGATCAACCAATGGCTACACATATCCATGCGCTGTATTGGATGCGAAACGGTATTTGCTACAGGTCAATCCAGGGCCTTTTCAAACACATGTGAGACAGCCATTCAACTAAAGCTGCAGCTCTCTAGACTGCAGGGAGTCTTCGCGCCAACATGATTACATAATATTACATATATGCAAATTTTGCTGCGACCGGTGAACTGTCCCCGCCAGAGTCTGGAGAGCCCCAAGTCACGACTGACCCACCAGCCAGGATCGCAGCAAATGCCTTTTTAGTTGCTTGAACCTGCTGGACACCTTTCAGCTGATCTTGGACTTTAGAGCTGTCACCACCAAAGTCGGGGTGGCCCCAAGTCACGACTGACCCATCAGCCAGGATCGCAGCAAATGCCTTTTTAGTTGCTTGAACCTGCTGGACACCTTTGAGCTGATCTTGGGCTTCAGAGCTGTCACCGCCATAGTCTGGTTCGCCCCAAGTCACGACTGACCCATCAGCCAGGATCGCAGCAAATGCACTGTTCGTTGCTTGAACCTGCTGGACACCCTTCAGCTGATCTTGGACCTCAGAGCTGTCACCACCACAGCTTGGAATGCCCCAAGTCACGACTGACCCATCAGCCAGGATCGCAGCAAAGGCATTCCACGTTGCTTGAACCTGCTGGACACCCTTCAGCTGACCTTGGACCTCAGAGCTGTCACCTCCACGAGCTGGTTCGCCCCAAGTCACGACTGACCCATCAGCCAGGATCGCAGCAAATGCAAACTGTGTTGCTTGAACCTGCTGGACACCCTTCAGCTGATCTTGGACCTCAGAGCTGTCACCACTATAGTGTGGATCGCCCCAAGTCACGACTGACCCATCAGCCAGGATCGCAGCAAATGCATAGAAGGTTGCTTGAACCTGCTGGACACCCTTCAGCTGATCTTGGACTTCAGAGCTGTCACCACCATTCTCTGGATCGCCCCAAGTCACGACTGACCCATCAGCCAGGATCGCAGCAAATGCATAGAAGGTTGCTTGAACCTGCTGGACACCCTTCAGCTGATCTTGGGCTTCAGAGCTGTCACCACCATTCTCTGGTTCGCCCCAAGTCACGACTGACCCATCAGCCAGGATCGCAGCAAATGCATAAAAGGTTGCTTGAACCTGCTGGACACCCTTCAGCTGATCTTTGGCTTCAGAGCTGTCACCGCCAAAGTCTGGCCTGCCCCAAGTCACGACACACCCATCTGCCAGTATCGCAGCAAATGCCTCACTTGTAGCTTGAACCTGCTGGACACCCTTCAGCTGATCTTGGACTTCAGAGCTGTCACCACCAGATGTTGGTTGGCCCCATGTGACAACTTGGTCACCTCCAGGGCAAAACAAGGCAAAAGCTGCTGCTGTTGCCGTCACCTTTGCCTCCAGGACAATAGCCGTCAGGTGGTCTCCATCCTCGAGTCCCGCAGCTTGCAGAGACACTGTAGGATCCAACGCGTGATGGTCTGCAGCCACAAGCCTCAAGAAGCCACGTTGAAAGGATTTCTGTGCCATAACCCTCAAGTCCCCTACTTTGGAGGACTGCCCAATCGAAAACTTCTCACTGCAACCGCTTGGCAACGCTACCGTGACTTGAAACATGGGTCAAGAAACTAACGTACAAACCAGTTTCTCCAGATTGATCTTGAGCCAAACTGCACCACTGAGCATTGGATCCAAAGACCAGCTCGACATTGCATCACAATCGGTGTTGAAGATATCCCGACTATTGCTGGTTGCGATCCCAGTCTTGAAGATTGCAAAGCACGCCTTATTTGGATTGGTATTATTTAAACAGGTATATTGACAACAACAAACCGTCATAAGTGCGCTCAGTTCTAAATTCGATAAATGTTTGTCACAGCTTTTTACATCCATGGGAACCTGTACTGTACAACCATTGTTGGGTCATATATGCCCATATTTAAGGGCAAAATCTCTCAAAAAGAATCAACGACCATGATCGCAAACGGCCAGAAATGGCCAGAGCCGGGTAGATCACCAAACCATGATGCTTGGAGCCCTTGGAGCTGTGCTTCGACAAACAGCTCACAATCTCGGACAGCAACACAAGCCAAAAGCACCAAAGCACCAGACAAGAAAAAGTGCCAAACCCATACATCCCCCAAAAAAAGGATTTGGGCAATGTTTAATAAATAGATAATTATACAGAAATACAGAAACATGGAATAAGTCGGGTTGACATGAGCATGACTCAGGAATGGCCAGATGGAACAGAAATGGCTGGTCGTGTCTAGCTTGGAGGGGTCAATTATCCAGTTTTCTAGGTCAAGAATTTGAGGCGATTCTCCCTCCGCAGGGTCAGACGTACCAAAATCTATGCCTCTTGAAAACGTATAAATACACATGGGCTGCTCATCGGCCGTATTCTTGCCGACCTGGGGGACAGTTCCCAAATGGGTTCTTTGCTTCTGACACTTACCAAGCTAGCAAATCGCAGTCATTCTATCCCGGAGTAGAAACACTTCACCCTGTATCTTCAGGAAAATCCAGGCTAATTCAACCCTCCAGGATATGTTGCTTAAATTTGATCCCATCTAAATTGATTGTGTCCCAACATTGCTTATTTTGCATACTGTTTAAGTATTTTAAGTGCTCAAAATCAGCTCCTAATTACCCCAGAATTGGTTTCGCCCTGAAATTGGATCCCTGCTCCATTCATCCGCGCGCCTGTAATCACGGCCACATAGCTGGCACCATCAGAGGACATAGGACATTCCTTGAGCAGGCACAGGTCACATAGTGCAAAGAGGTGGGAGCGGAAGTGGAAGGGCAAAAGATAGAAGGGTAAAATCCTACTAACCTGCCAATATGAACATTTACATATACCATCATGTACCTATTTGTTTATCTTTTTGCAGCTGCAGTATATTCTGAAAAGAACATCTCTGCTTCTAATCCTACCTGACAATGGAACATCACCCATTTATCGATCATCCCATATCGTTCCATTACAGGTGGGAGCCAACCCCTACAAAGATAGAACAGTAAAAACCGCTATAAATATCTGTATAGACTGTATAGATATGTAGAGATAAAGTACTTTTCTTTTTTGGATATTTTTGGACTACAGACATCATACATGTTTATGATTATTTATAAAAAAACAATCATGTATTTTTTGACTTTAGACATCATACGTATATCATATATCAAGACCACCCTTCGTAGGGATCACCACGCGCCGCCAACGCCCAGTCGCGGAAGCATTCTGCGTGAACATGGCCATGTAGATCATCTCAGTGTCTCGAAATATGGGTGTTGAGTGGCTCAAGATATGGTGTAAGAAAGGGTGTTTTGATTGGTTTTTAATGGTTTTTGAAGGTCTCAAAGTTTCTTTGGTGATGTCACACACACACACATTCATGGATCAAGGATCAAGCACTGGTCAAAGGAAATAGCCCCCTGAGAGGGAAAGTCCTCTTGGCTATCCGCGATAGACACAACCTCCATTCAAGAAATATGGATTTCCCCCGCTTCTTGTTGGTTGTTGATGATAAAGTTGATAATGGGTATATATTAATATGTTGGTATACAACCTAGGTAGTGGCATATAAATGATTATATGTGTATATGTATAATTATGTATATGGGTTATTTCCATCCCCCATGATGTGCATGATGGGTTAACAAGCAAGAGTTTCAAATATTGGCTGCTGATCTGTCCCCAGTGTCGCTGAAGTTGCAATGGTATCACGATGGAAACAGCTGGCTCCACCATTGATCATCCCAAACCATATTTAAGGCCATTTAATTAAAATGTGAATGGCTTCGCCAGCACTAGCGTTGATGGGGCTTGGTCATGTGCGCTCCCTCAACATGATCTAGAAACATTCCAGATCTATGTGCGACTGCCGTGCTTGTGGTGTGCTTGTCCGGTATGAGTCAAGATCCTGAACAGTGCCAACAGTCCCGCTTCTTCAGGGCATACCCAACAGACTTGAGGAGTTGAGGCCAAGTGAAGCCAGTCGTTTGTCGGCCACGTAGTGCGACTTGTTTGAACATGATGGTATGATGGTTTAGGCGAGAATGAACATGCAAAGTTATCATTGATTTCTTAGACCCCCAATTTAGGTTTGCACAACCAGCTTGCCGCTGATAAATTATAGTTGTTTGACTGTTTGGTTGTGAAAATACCGCTCGACCCATCTTTACAGGGTACATAAATCACAATTTTCATTGGTTTCCCCAATGTTTGCTTGTTAAATCTCAGACACCCACACTGGGATGCACATCCAATTCTATTGCAACTTCATCTCCATCCCCATATCACTTCCCATATGTCTGTAGTAGTTGCAGCCCTGTTGGTTGTATCCTTCGCCGCTATATAAAAATCCCAGGTGCTTGGTAAAATCCTATAACATATTCCCATGAGACTTTCCTATGTTGGTACAGTTTTCCAACTAAAATCTAAAACAACCATAAACTATGGCACTATCCACCATGTCTTTTGGTGAAACCTACTATGGATGAATAAAAGGACAGTATTGAGCAGCCCCATTTGAAATCATCTGACCAAAATCTGGAGAAATTAGAAGTGTCTAAAAAATTCTCAGCAACCCCCATGTTGAATGTTCCCTGGGGTAAAACTCCTTCTCAAAACGCCAGGCATTACCACCTTCATAGGGACTCAACCCCACCAGGTCGGTGAACCCCCTAATGATCGATGCATTTTCTGAGTCAATTCTTTATCTTTGATGGTAAAAACCCACTATGTTTCATTGTAGACCCAGCATTGCTTCACCTCTGGCTGATACTTCAAGTCTCACTAAATCATCATTTCGGTGGGTTTAAATCACTATAAAGTGACATTAAACACCATAAAGTCCCACAAAAATCCCATGAAGTTATCAATAAATCCCATCAATTCCTGATAAATGTCCATGAATTTCCCATTCAATCCCCGTATAGTTCCTAATAATTAATTCAACATGAAATTCCCATAGAAATCCTATGAATTTCCCATAGAAATCCTATGAATTTCCCAGAAAATCTGCCAAGACACATAGCGTTCCACCTGGCTCTCATCCTGCGGTGGCGACCAGGTCAGGATACCGCCCAGGTCGGTCTCGTCCAGGTCGAAGTCGGGGAAGGAGACGTTGGAGACCTGGGCATAGGAACTTCCGTGGAGAATGTTCGTTTCGAATTCACATCATGGGATGTGAAGTATATATATATATATATTACATATATACATAGTTTTTTATTTGTATAATATATATATATTATATATATATATATATTATGTGTATATATATAATAAAAAATAGTGGATAAACCATGGGGATTATATGGGATTATATGATATTTTCAGGATATGTAAGGAAGGATGTTATTTGGGGATAATGTAGGGTACGTGATCCGTGGTTGCCATGAAGGGAACCCTCGGGAAATGCGGGCATGTGTCCTTTCTGATAAGATTGATGTAAACAACAAACATATGAGGGTCTAACGAAAGTACGGGGAATCCATGGTGATAAACCTAGGGAAAGTGCGGATATGATTGATGTAACCTTCAAAATTAAGTTGGGGTAACCATGGGGAGACCCAAGGACAGGGGTGTAGAACTGAGATAACAACCAACAATTGATATCAGGATTTGATGTATATAATAGAATTGTGAAACAAACAAGAAGACTATGAAGTTAGCTTAGATTAACTTGGATGTTCCAAGCATCATAGATATCATAGCTAGTAATGCCGTCTGTGCTAGTGAACTTTCGTTTCGATCATCCATGAGACTCTCTCCATCCAGCTGAAGATCATGCTGTTTTCACTAGATGGGCATCAGTTGCAAGACCCAGAAAAACCAAACAAAATTGGATATGGGTCATTCTTAAGAGGTATAGGGGTTTCAATATCCTAAGATTAACTATCCATTTTGTTCAATTTTGGATTACCCATGACGTGAGGAAACCCGTGGGTTTTCTATCCATTACCTATTAAATTGTTCAATTTGGGGTGAGTAATGGATAGAAATACTTAGAAACCCATATCATATATATATATATATCATAGTTAATGGATAGAAACCCATAGTACCCCCACTTTTCTATCTATTTATATTTAAAAAAGTTCCCAAATATCCCCCACTTTTCAACCTGCCAGGTCGCTGGCGCGAACTTGTCCTCCACGGTCAATGTCACTGGGGTGCTTTGCTCCGTCAAGGTGGAGGTGGTGTAGATGGCCTGTGGCGCCGGCCCCAAAATCCGGTTTTTCTCATCATTATCCCTATGAAAAATGATGACATGGCTTTAATAGATGAACTGTTTTTTCAATTTTCTGACACACCGATTTTTCTCTTTCATACTCTTTCCCTATCTTTGTAAATTGGATTTGTTTGTCGGTGCATTAATATACATTTTGCCTTGCTCCACCCCATTTTTGCTGGTCAGCGTGCAAGTAGCATCACCAGTAAATTGTTTTGGCTACTCTCAGACACCGGGTCAAAGTGGTCAAACAGACAATTTCCTCTGGGAAGGACGTTGCCCGGACACAAGCTACGCTAATTGGTTGGCGGTTTTAACCATCTTGAAAATATGATAGTCAATGGGGTTGGGATTATCCCATATATTATGGAAAAAATGTTTGAAACCACCAGCCAGGCAAATATCCACATTACTTAACTTGTCATTAACTAGTCGTTGTACATCACAATCCCCACCATGGCCCATGTTTTCATATCTCGAGAGTCCGGTTGTGGCATATTTGATAAGGCAAATCAACGTGCATAATGGAGAAATTGCACTGATGAACAAGTGTTCAAACACATAAATTGCCCGTTTCCAACCAGCCACTAATATCCACATATTAGTTTAGTTATATACACTTCTACATCTATATGTGCAATTATGAACATATATTAAATGTCTGTATAATTTATAATGTCTATATGTACTAAAATCACCTAAAAATCTACCTGTCTTCATTCACCACATCTTCCCATGCCCAGGTGCCAACAACGGCATGGTCGGCGTCTCCGGCGGCAGATCCTCCAAGTTGACGCCCTTGGGCAGTTCGCTGATCAGCGACCGAGCTCCGCCGTCCCACTGGGTTAGGTACAAACGATAGGTGTAGACCTGGGCAACGCACCCGTTGCGATGGATGGGGCTGGGATAGCGATGGGGCTGGGATAGCGATGGGGCTGGGATATGGCAATGTATATGGCTACAATGGCTACAAAGTGATCATATCACCGGATATGACTTGTGAACTTGTGAACAGTTTTTTATTTTGTCCTGGTGGCTTCAATCTTGTGAATCTAATGCTTTGTGGGAAGGGCTCTTCACTGCCCATCCCTCAGTTTTCGACACCTTGGGATTTCGAAGGGATCACTTGGGTTCTGGAAACAGGGTACCTCTCAATCCCGTGGATGATCATTTTTTACCATTGAAATCATCACAATAATGTGAGGCTACATTAGTTACATCCCACAAAAAATATTTCCACAAAAGATCATTGTGGTTACAGTAAATCCCTATGTCCCAAAATATCCCTATTGAAATGGTCATTTGGAGGGTGTATATACCACATTATCATCCCAATATCGCCATTGGTCCGACAGTGAAATCCCCATGATTCATGATTAGACCATGTTAAACCATGTTACCCTTTGGTAAACTAACAGAACTATGGAAAATCACATGTTTTTAATGGGTAAATCACAAATGGCCATTTTCAACCATGCTAAACCATGTTAAGTTCAGCCAGCCAGCCCACATCACCCCAGGCACCCGTTGCATCAAGGGGGGATGTGCCCAGTGAATTCGTCCTCCGAGCTCCTCATCGTCCAAGTCCTGGTCCGTGAACCTGCCATGGCGTGATCTGAACATCCTGGAAGTTGACAGTTTCAAACGTGTTTCAAATCATCCAACCTAAATGTAATTATGTATCACTGACATATATGTATATATATATAATTACATATATATGTGGTTTCGATGTGTTTATGTACATAACATCTTTTTGAAGGGGGTATTACATGGGAATATTGAATAATTTATCCAGTCTCTAAGACCATCTGCTAACTTTCCGGATCAAAACAGTTTGTGTTTGTGCTTTTTGGGATGGGCGGCGTGCCAGGCGGGAGACAAGAGAAGTGTGGAACATGATCAGGATCAAGATCCAATAGATCCTGTTTGGATGCACCATCATCATCATCATCATCAAATTCTAAGGGCAAATCTACTGGCATCCATTGCTTGACTCCCAGAATGAAGGGTTGGTTTCCTGCAAATGTTCCCTTTGTCCACTTCCGGGACATCAGTATCACCCGGCGCCTGATGTCCGAAACACTGGTCACCATATCCTGAGGCTCGGCTGTGCCGAGTCATGAAGGGGGGAAGTTCATCGACAATAATCAACATATATCAGCATTAAATATGTATAATAAATAATAACTATGTGCTGAAAACGCTACATCTTGAGATGACAAGTAGTTTGAAGCAAATATCACATGGCTGTGATGAGTGATCCCATTTGCTTGTTTTGCCTCTGGGATTCACCACTACTACGGTCCCGCATGAAAGGAAACTTAAGGTTAGCACCCCAATATTCGGCGGCTATTGTTGTTCTTGTCATGTTTGATATGTTCATTATTTTCACTGTTCTCATTAATAACATGTTGTCTCGTATTGAACAAATGTTAGTATTATTAGTGCTTGTTTATCAGTAGCAGTAGCAGTAGCAGCAGCAGCAGCAGTGGTAGGAGTAGTAGTGCTGCTACTACTAGTAGTAGTAGTAGTAGTAGTTGTTGTTGTTGTTGTAGCAGTTGTAGTTGTAGTTGTAGTTGTAGTTGTAGTAGTAGTAGTAGTAGTAGGAGTAGTAGTAGCAGTAGCAGCAGTAGTAGTAATAGTTGCAATAGTAGTAATAGTAGTAATTGACAAGTTTTTGAGTGTTGCCTCTGCCTATCAACCAGGGTTGCTGCGCAGGGATAGGCTTCCAAAGGTCACACTGACAAAGGGTGAACAGCGCAGCCATGGATTCATGAAAATGACCAACTGAAAATTGAAAAGTAATGTTATACTATAGTATTTAATATATATATATATACACTATATAGTAATATGATTAAGTAAAATAAAAAATTATATTGTTCATTATATAGTCTCCACGTTAAACTTTGGGTATGTAGCAGTGATGCATCCAGATTTGTTGCTTTTATATTCTAGTATTCAGACTTCTTCGAGTATTGAAACCTCCAAGTGCTGAACAGTTCATGGTTTCTCCCCGCCACGAAGGCCAAGTGTCATAGATCAAATGCATGCTGGGAGTGGTCTGTTCCACCAGGCTGGAGCGGGTGAAGACTGCGAAGTGGGAGTAGTTCTGCAGGGCCGTGTCCACTGGGATGGTCCTGGGGGCCAAGGATGTTGGGTGAACCAAGGCAACGACATTTCAGGGTCGGTCAGGAAGAATGCTGGAAATGCTGGAAATGTCGAAATGGTTCACTTTTTTCTTCTTCATCGTAAGGAAAAAGTTCGGGTTCCGATCCCCATCCTTTTTAATCGAACGAATATTGCTTTGGACTGTTCAACCGCGGTGCAAGAAGAACAAACCAGTTTCTCTCCTCTGGTAGCTTTGGTACAGTATGTGCGTAGGTAAAATGATGGGTTTGGCCAATCAGAGCAGTAGTTGTTACTGTAAGTACGTTTGGTTGGCGATTTCAACCCCCCTGAAAAACAAATAATTCATGAATGGGAATCATCATGCCAATTACTTTACTTCGTGTGATCCCCACCATGACATTTATACATTTTGTTACTGGCAAATCTTCTGGCATTCTATCTGACATATTTTCTGGCATTCGAGCTGGCATTCTATCTGGCATATCTTCTGGCATTCTACCTGGCATATCTTCTGGCAGATGTTCTGGCATATCTTCTGGCAGATGTTCTGGCATATCTTCTGGCATATCTTCTGGCATATGTTCTGGCCTATCTTCTGGCATTCCATCTGGCATTCTATCTGGCATATCTTCTGGCATATTATCTGGCAAATCTTCTGGCATTCCATCTGGCATTCTATCTAGCATATCTTCTGGCATATTATCTGGCAAATCTGCTGGCATTCTATCTGGCAAACATTCTGGCACTTTATCTGGCATATCTTCTGGCATTCTAGCTGACATTCTATCTGGCATTCTATCTGGCATACCTTCTGGCATTCTATCTGGCATATCTTCTAACATTCTATCTGGCATATCTTCTGGCACTCTATGTGGCATATCTTTTGGCGTGGATACTCGCGGTTGAGGTCCGGCAGGGAACACTGGGCGTGGATGGTCGTGGTTGAGGTCCGGCAGGGAACACTGGGCGGGGATACTCGCGGTTGAGGTCCGGCAGGGAACACTGGGCGTGGATGGTCGTGGTTGAGGTCCGGCAGGGAACACTGGGCGTGGATGGTCGTGGTTGAGGTCCGGCAGGGAACACTGGGCGTGGATGGTCGTGGTTGAGGTCCGGCAGGGAACACTGGGCGTGGATGGTCGTGGTTGAGGTCCGACAGAGAACACTGTGGATCGCGGGTCGAAGTTGGACGAGGAGGACGACGAGGACGACGAGGAGGACGACGAGGAGGACGACGAGGACGACGAGGAGGACGACGAGGAGGAGGAGAGGAGATGAGGAGAGGAGAGGAGGAGCAGGCAACTGACATAAAATCTAACAACCCTCACCTGGCAGGTGGGGAAAAATGGTTGAAAACAGGACGATTCGATTTGAAAACACCAACCAGCAGGTTGACCCAAATATCTCCCCATGATATCCCCATAAAATCCCTCTTCTACCTGCCATAACCCCCAGCAAAATCCCATATACCCTTTGGTTATTTAACATGGCTATGAAAATTGACCATTTTTCTAGATGATTTATGATGATTTTCCCCCAAAAAAATGATTCTCCATAGCCATGTTAAATTACCGGGTAATGTATAGCAATGTAGTCGTCATCTGACCACTCTTGGCACGATTTCTCGGTCTCCCGTGCATCTCGTTCATCCGCTGCATCCGACCCGATTCCACTTAAGGGTCTCTTAAGGAGCAGCTGATGAGGAAATCACCGAGATCATGATCCATTTTGCCGCTGGAAGATCGCACCATTATAATATATATATATACAGTATATATAATGAAGCCACATCCCAAAGTACCTGTATCTAATTAGATAAAAGTTATAGAACTGCCAATAGCTGCCCGTATATTTCCTGTAGAACATATAGTATATTCAAACATGTAGGCAACCAGCTCCACCTTGCTCACCAACCATCCACCAAGCCACAAGTTGGCCACACCCACCATGGAACTGCCCATCGCCAAGCGATCGCAACTGCCATCCATGGAGCTACCATTGCGGAAGGTGCAGTTGCCTCAGCGTCCCAGGAGAGAACCACATGGCCTTGATACAGAAATGCTGGCTGGTGGTTGACCTACCCCTCTGGAAAATATTGGTCAGTTGGGGTTACTATTCCCAATATATATATATATATAAAAAAAAGAAATGTTCCGAACCACCAGCCAGAATGGGATATACCTTCAGTTCATGGCCATTTTGAAAGGGAACATCTGATAGACCACTGGATGCTTGGAGAACACATGTAAGAACAGGTCAGTCAATCCCCAATAAACTAGTGACTACAACAAGCAATAAGTAAACGTGTATATAACATATACGGACCTGCCTGACTACATAGGGAAGGAACCAAAGAATTTGATGATCAGACAATCGATGGTGTTTCCAGCATGTTTCAGCCTTCAACCAAAGATGTCAGTTGTTTCTGCTTTGATTGTGGGAAAAAACAATGGAGTATGCAACAAACATCAACAAACAATCCTACAATCACCTGGAGTGCAACAAAGAACCTGCTAGTGGTTGCTAGGCTAGCATCGTTTCACCCAAAAGTTCTCAAGTGAATCAAAAACGTCTGGGTAAACATGATAACCAAAAATGATTCTATTCTAATTATTCACAATACATCATGTTGTTCATCCAATCGTTCTTGTTTCTGGGCTCTTTGGTTTTCTATTTGGATGGGGGACAGAACCACATAAACAAAATTTCCCTCACTGTCGCCAAGTGTTTCTGGGCGAACAGTTCTTTTATGCAAGACATGGAGATCATGAATGCGTCAAAATAGATGTTGTTTCAATTCATTTTATGGACCACATCAAAATGGATATACAATCATAATAGTAAACAAACACAAACACACAAACAAACAAACAAACAAACAAACAAACAAACAAACAAAAAAAAAAAACAAACAAAGTGTATCATTCAACATCTGTATTTGTTGGTATTAATGTGGTATACCCAAAAATAAATCATCACCCCCAAAATAAAACATCGGTACACCCGTCTGGCTACTTCTCCCAAGTCCCATGACCTGGCTCGAACACTTCAATCATGTAGACGTCATAGTGCGTGACCTGCTCCAGGTGGCTGGTACATTGAAACCGACATGAGACCTACAATAGTAGAGTACTATGTTACTATGCGCCTGAATATCATGATGTCATTAGAGTGTGTTTATATTTCAGGAATTTCAAGGATACATCTTATATACAATTTTCAGAGGAAAAGGATGTTCATCTATGTCTGGGAGAAAATCAAATGACATGTGCTCAAGAACTACCCTGTTCGTTTTGGAGAAAATACAACAAAAGCAACACCGTGGATGGTTCTTGTATGGGATGACTTCAACAACTGTGGGTGTTGAAGTTGAATCATTCCTGGCGGTGAAAGGCCCAAGATCTGAGTCAGGTGGACTTGACAATCAAAAGGTAAGGATGGACAATCATGAATACCTAGAACCATCAAGCAGAAAAAACAACTCATCCAATCTGCTGGCTCTTCCAGGCTATGTAATGAACATGTGTTACTCTGTATATATATATATACCCTCTGGTAATTTAACATAGCTATGGAAAATCACCATTTTCAATTGATAGTTCAGTATAAATGGCACTTTTCCATGACTATATTAGTTTACCAGAGGGTATATGCAACATACATCCCCGTTCAGATTTGACCCGAGGGGTTGGGAGCCCCATTTTGTAACTACAGAATGGCATCCCCAAGGTGCCCTTCCTACAAGTTGGCAGAACCCAACGTTCACCGAGGAAGGTTTTTGTTACAAAATGGCAGTCCAAGCTGACCCCTAGTTACAAAATGGTACCCCGATTTTGCTCGACTCGCATCCGCTCGCATCCGTTCGCTCGATTTGCCCTTTACAGAATGGTGGGGACTGGGGGTGGCTATACTCGCACTATCCTAGGATCCCTAGGCAGTAACCTGCAACAGCCCGGCCAACCCGAGTCGCGGTTCATTTTTCCCGTTCTTTTGCGTTCATCAGTCTGTTGTGGCGTGATGCTCTATGAGTGGCCAAAGTAAACATTGAATATATACAACGTACCAATATGTCTAAGAGATATTTTCCAACAGTTGGATGTCAAATCAAAAAATATAAATATCGATTTATATATATATTATAAAAACAAATATATTAAATTCTACATTTATGCACAAAACTTGATGCACAAAATTCTACATTTAATTCTTCTTCCATGAGCAATGGGGTCCAAGACTGCGCTCAATGTGAAACACATAAACTCACATGCATGTCGGGACACCAACTGAAGCAAGCGCAGCCACCAAAGCAAATAAAAAAGAATAAAACTAAATAAAATGAAAAATGGATGTGTTTTCTAGTCGTTCTATCTAACTTCCATCCAGATTGTAGGGTCTATAGTTAAGCATTCTTCATCTACGCTTTAAATCCATCCAATTTGTAATGGTTATTGATTAGCCCTCCAGACTCCGACAGAATGGTCGGGACTGGAGGGTAACAAACTCGCACTTCCAATGCAAAATTCCGGTACCAGGGGGGGGTCCACTTACAAGATGGCAAAACCCAGGGTCAAAATTTTGCACAAAATGGTAACCAAAAACCATTCTGTAACGGCCCTGAGGCCTCAGATTTAGTAACAAAAATTTCAACGGGGATCAACATACATATTTGTAAGTACTTGTTGTACGACTGAACATGTAACTCAGCAACGCTCATCAACACTCATCAACACCACAAGCATTCAAAATGTTCAGCTGCAGTTTCAACACCACAAACAGCCAAAGGTTGGCATTTAAAAAGTAAAGCATCCAACCAACTAGAACTATATAAGATTGGGCAGGATGGCCAATCTTAGATCTCCTGCAAAAAAAAAACAGATTCCTAACTTCTCAGATCTTCTTATGATCATTTATACCCCATTTATAGCAAGAATTAGCAAGAGATTCTGGTTGATGGTTTCAACCCCTCTGGAAACATATTACAGTTGGGATGATTATTCATGATTATTCCCAAGATATGGAAAGTCATAAAATTCCATGGTTCAACACCCCCAATCAGTAATGGATGGTTAATAGATGATAAATAGATGGTCAATAGATGGTTTGTAGCTGGTGAATAATCATAGATTTCCCAATATTAGTCAGTGGGGATGATGACATTCCCAATATATGGAAAAAAAAAACATCCAAACCCCCCAATCAGGATTGGTTCGAAATATTAACCCATATATTATCCCAAAAATTGGAAAACCAACAGCCCCATATCTCTTATGTTATGTTAAATTAAGATTAAGGTACTCAATGACCCATGGTTTCCCCGCCTGCGCCACGTCTGCCGGCTCTCGCCACTCCAACACACCACCAAGGTCCGTTTCGTCCAGATCGAAGTCCGGGAAAACGATGTCCTGCTGATGGATTGAACCAGGTCGCTTAACCAAAAAAACGAGGACTTAACCAACAAGTGAAATCAACAACACACATGTTTTTTCCGGGTTCAATAAGCTTTGTTTCCCATGTTTATAGGGGTTTAACCAACACATGTTTATAGGGGTTTAACCATGTTTATAGGGGTTTAACCAACAAATATGGCAATTTCACAAACATCTTAAAGACGTTGACCAACATATGTGGGGTCTAAATACGCGTCCAACCACGCAAGCTGGGGGAAATGGGCCAAACTTGACATTCACAACCAATCCCAAACCTCAATCAACATATGTTCCAAATTTGGCCAACGTCTATCGGGCTTGGTCCGCCGGTGAGGTTATTCTGTGGATATCTGTGGATGATCGTCCAGCAATGTCTTGGTGAAATATCATGACGTCCCCGTGTTTAATGTTCAATCAACCTACTATATTATATTGAGTGCATATTGCCATCCTATAGCTATGAAAAACAAGACATGAATTAGTCAGGACGACTCAAATCCAATCTGTACAGAGATTCTTGCACTGCCACCAGCCACAAATTGCTGCAGGGATCACTTGATCCTCCCAGTATCCACCCAGCCCTGTCCGAGACTTGTGCGATGTTGTCAACGATGCTCAACCTGCTGCCAGCGTGGTGATCTCAGTCAGAGTCTCGATGGCTATGTGAGGGAAGTTTGAATAAATATGGGGACTGAACGAGCCTGGGTATACTTCCAACAAAAATGGGATGTGACTCACAAACCTGGGGCTGCATCCAATATGTAGATAGATTTCACAAAAGTTTCTGGGACGCAGATGCTCCTAAAGCTAGGGTGCACAAGTTTGTACCTCACCTGGTAGTTACAAGATGTTACAAGATACAGAAGATAAGGATATGAGCTGGTCTACATCGAATTAAGCACTCCAAATTTACGGTGGTACCTCAAAGATAGGCTCTGGAACATGGCTTTCCTGTTGGATGTGGTAATCACCAATACCTCTTGCTGCCGGGCAACGCGACAGGTGTGCTTTGCTCTGCCAAACTGGAGCGACTGTAGACTGCCTCAACAGCACATGAGCGTCGTCCCATATCATCTATGCCAGGTACAATTTGCTATAGAATTTGCCTACATTTGGGACAATTGGATACACAACTGGAGCAGTCTTCGTGATAGATCGTCTTGGAAGAATGTACCTGGGCACACATCGATCGTATCGATAGCCAGGAAGGGCCAGGTTTCTTCACTTAAGAATGACCTCAAAACGAGTTCCTTTTGGGGGAGGCATGTCAACCTTTCACCACACCTTCCTTTGATCATTGACATGTTGAAGATCATTTACAGAAATCTATCATCATTAATCAACTAGATCCACTAATCAATAATCAACCATCCACATATCATCATTAATCAACTATATCAACTAGATCAGAAATATCCTCAACACTTCAACCACCAGCCGCAGTTCCCCATGGCTCCCATCGGCACCAGGTGTGTGAACTCTTCCATCGCCGTCTCTGCGCGCAGTGGCTGCGCGCATTGGCTTCCCTGCAGCACTTCGCCCACCTGCCGAAAGGTAGGAAACTCGGGACGAATCCCGGACATCGCCGACCAAATATGCTATAATGATGATTAATATAGATGAAATGACGGAAATCATATGGGGATAGATATGATAGATGACATAGCATTTTCCATGATAATGATTTACAAAATCTGGTTGGTGGTTATATATATATTTAATAGACAATTCATGAATAATCATGAATCAACTATATATCCATCAAATAAGAAATATCTACCAATGATATACAAATATACCTAATATGTGATCTGGTTGGTGGTTTTGCATAACAATCTTGAAAAATGATGGAGTTCGTCAATGGGAAGGATGACATCCCATCATATATTATGGAAAATAAAAAATGTTCCAAACCACCAACCAGAGATGATATGACGGAAATAATATGGACATGGTTCGCGCTAATACAATATGTGTGTAGATGTAGTATTAGATATGGTGCTGATATATATATATATACTTGTTGAGTTGCGCACACTAATATGATATAATATGTCCTTACCAAATAATACTACACGCCGTGTACAATACATAAACATACATAAACATACACAAACAATATGTATACGTACATACATTGATGGGCTTCACTGGTGATGTCATCTATAGGTAGAAAAGGGTGGAGCGAACCATTGCTAATTCTGTATCCATCTTGGCGCAAAAAAAGGTGAACAAATGTGAATCAACAACTTGGGATTTCAGGGGTACCCCAGTTTCAGACCCCTTTACCAGCATGAACCAATAAAGATTTTTTGTACACCAAATATTCAGGGGCAAACAGCATGGTCTTGGGAAAGTTGTCCTCTAAACCTTCCATTGGCATGCTGTACTGGATGTGAGACTGAATTTGTACAAATACCTGTCACTCACTGGCCTTTTCGAACACACTTCCGAAAGCCGATCAATAAAACTACAGGATTGTGCAGTGAAGGACGACTTTGCACCAACATGGTTAATTACACATATGCAAGCTGGGCTGCGACCGCCCAGCTGTCACCACCTTCAAGTGGGCAGCCCCAAGTCAACACTGACCCATCAGCCAGGATCGCAGCAAATGCCCTCTCAGGCTTGAAGCTGCCGGACACCTTTGAGCTGATCTTGGACTTCAGAGCTGTCACCACCTTCAAGTGGGCAGCCCCAAGTCAACACTGACCCATCAGCCAGGATCGCAGCAAATGCACCCAAAGTTGTTTGAACCTGTTGGACACCCTTCAGCTGGTCTTGGACTTCAGAGCTGTCACCACCCCAGTCTGCATCGCCCCAAGCAACAACTGACCCATCAGCCAGGATCGCAGCAAATGCATGGGGAGTTGCTTGAAGCTGCTGGACACCTTTCAGCTGATCTTGGACTTCAGAGCTGTCACCACCAAGGTATGGACTGCCCCATGTCACAACTGACCCATCTGCCAGGATCGCAGCAAAAGCATAGCTCGTTGCTTGAACCTGCTGGACACCTTTGAGCTGATCTTGGACTTCACACCACCAGAGCCTGGACTGCCCCAAGTCACGACTGACCCATCAGCCAGGATCGCAGCAAATGCCTCACTTGTAGCTTGAACCTGCTGGACACCCTTCAGCTGATCTTGGACTTCAGAGCTGTCACCACCAAATTCTGCTTCGCCCCAAGTCACAACTGACCCATCTGCCAGGATCGCAGCAAATGCCTCACTTGTAGCTTGAACCTGCTGGACACCCTTCGGCTGATCTTGGACTTCAGAGCTGTCACCGCCAGAGTCTGGTCTGCCCCAAGTCACAACTGACCCATCAGCCAGGATCGCAGCAAATGCACCCAAAGTTGTTTGAACCTGTTGGACACCCTTCAGCTGGTCTTGGACTTCAGAGCTGTCACCACTCCAGTCTGCATCGCCCCAAGCAACGACTGACCCATCAGCCAGGATCGCAGCAAATGCATAGCTCGTTGCTTGAACCTGCTGGACACCTTTGAGCTGATCTTGGACTTCAGAGCTGTCACCACCAGAGCCTGGACTGCCCCAAGTCACGACTGACCCATCAGCCAGGATCGCAGCAAATGCCTGGTAAGTTGCTTGAAGCTGCTGGACACCCTTCAGCTGATCTTGGACCTCAGAGCTGGCACCACCAGAGCTTTGTCTGCCCCATGTGACAACTCTGTCACCTCCAGAGCAATACAAGGCAAAAGCTGCGTCGGTTGCTGCTAGCTTTTTGCCTCGCGATGGCTGTCAAGTGGTCTCCATCTTCAAGTCCCGCAGCTTGCAGAGACACTGCAGGATCCAACGTGCGATGGTCTGCAGCCACAAGCCTCAAGAAGCCACGTTGCAAGGATTTCTGTGCCAGAACCCTCAAGTCCCCTACTTTGGAGGACTGCGGAATCGAAACCTTCTCACTGTAACCGCTTGGCAAAGCTACAGTGACTTGAAGCATGTGTCAAGAAACTCTAATGTCACGTACGGACCTACACTTGATTGATCTTGAGCTAAACTGCACCAGTTTTTGAGCATTGGAACAAACTCCTAAGACCAACTCGGCAATCCAAACCCCTTGCCGGAAAGATTGGGAACAGTCTGTCCAAAGGACATAACAAGCAAAATTTTACGATTTCATTCTCGGCCCTGCCTGCCTCATCCATGCAATAATATGACACAATAAATGATGCTACGCACAGAGTACATTATATGATGTTGTATACATATACGTATAATATATATATACATATATATATACATAAAAGTAAATCATTGTAATATGCAAGTGCGTACGCATGTGCTTCAATGGTGATGTCATCTGGGTATAAAAAGGCCTAACAACAAAGCATGACTCGTTAGTTCCGCCCATGTTTTGGTGGTGATTCTGGTTCCATCAGTTCTTTACCCATGTTTGAAGTGACGCATTGCTAGTACCTTCAACTGAGTAGTGTGTTCCCCATCTATTTTGGCACATTTTTTTTTGCCGAGAAGATGAGGAATACCCCCAAAACTATGCTTGAATGGTGACAAATCGACCAATTCGCAGATGCAGCCAGTTTCCGCCTGCTCACGTCCAGCGCCATAGGCATCGGATGCCAGGTAGACATTGTAACTGATGACACGTTCGATGTTCCTTGGGCATCGGTGGTCTTCTCAGATCAAAAGGTCAGATTTTACCACGGAAAGAAGGCAAGTGGCAGAGACAAACATGGTTTCACCTAGCAAAACCGGGCCAAAACACCATCAAAAATGATCAACGAAAATACAAAAGGAAAATCATAGGATAGATGATATCTAACAAGTGACACACGCACAAAAAAATGACTCATGGAGATACAATTTGGGAACCATCGACATCTATTGCTGTGCTCATGTGCTTTGTACAGTATTGCAATGTGCAGTCCATTTCCGCTACAAAGGCATCCTTGTCGAATTCTACGATAGGAAGGAACATCAAGGACAAGCGAAAGTTGGATTTTGCGAATCAGGCTGGCCATGATGTCAATGCCCAATTCGGGCAAAATCACCTTCCGTTCTATCCCAATTAATAAACATATCTCATGACGTATATTTCATGCCTGTCCGTTTCAGCTAACTTCAAACACCAAGTTGGTGGTTTTAACCCAAAGAATATCAACTGAGATGGTCATCAAATGTCATCGGTTGAACTGAAGGATCGCCAAGCAAAAACATACTCTACTATATTCTATATACTAGTACTTACCACCAAATTGTGCCAGTTTACCAACAAATTGTGCCAGCTTACCAGTGGGACCGTGTCTGTACTATGGACATCACCAAGTCTGGCACCAAGTTGTTGGTGAAGCATATGCCAAGCATTTTTGATGGCAAGACCACATGGCTTCATAGTAAATCATATTTTTTTCGGGGTAAACCCGCCATTCTTTGATGGCAAATCACCATTTGTCACGGCAAAACCACAACTTTTCAGGGTAAACCTACCATTTTTGCGAAGTAGCGTAAGACCACCATGTTTCACCAGTTGAAGTGCAAAAACCATCATTTTTCATGGTAAACAAAGCATATATCTGGGTAATACCACCATTTCTATCCATTTCTTGTTTTTTTCCCCATGGAAAATCCGCCAAGTCCCGGCCCTGCTGCTGGGCGTCCCCGGTTCGTTCCATGCGATGACGCCCCCGAGCTCCAGCGGGTCCAGGTCCAAATCCGTGAAGTGTAAGGAGCTGATGCTGGAGCTGAAATCCACCACCAGGACCTCACAAAAATGCTGGCTTTCACCAGGGTTTAACCATGGAAAAATGCCGGGTGAAACACCGTTAAAACCCATTGTTTACATGTGCATTTCACATGGGTTTTACCATGGAAAATGGATGAACATGAAGGTTTATGTATGAGTTTGACCGTGAAAAAATGGTTGTTTTGCCATGTTTTACTTTGAGGTCTAATGGAAATAGGTTTCACCAGCAAAACTCAGGGTCTAATGGGATTTTAATGGGATTGTAATGGGACTGAATACTGGGTTTAATGTTGTATGTTGACTAGGATGGTTGCGAATAAGGAAATATTTCCATCAACTATTCCAACCAACACTAATCAACATCCAACATTAGTGGGAATAGTATGGGATAACGGGATTATAATATAGAATTCAAACAGGATTGTAATGGCTAATATCCTACGAAAATCGGGGTTCACCATGAAAAATTAGGTGTGACCACGAAGAATCGGATGTTTGATGGAAATACAATGGCATTTAAGCATGAAAAACATGGTTTAACCATGGAAAACAGATGAGCCATTTAGATGATATCTGTGTTCGCGTCTCATGAAATACTAGTTGGTTCATAAGTTTCCCCACTATGGGCTATAATCCCCAATGACAATCAATAACCTAGGATGTATAGCTCCCGATAATAAGAAATCAATCGAGTTATTTTTAATGGCTCAATTGGGGTTTAACCATGGAAAATTGGCTTTCACCATCAACAATTGCTTTTTCATGTATGTCGTACCAAAAAAGGCGATACAGTATTCAAATTGATATTTATGGTCATGGTGGTTCACCCATAAACAAGGCGGGTTTTTCACCACCAAACATGGTGGTTTTATATTTGACCGTTGGAAAAAAAGCCTTTCATCATGGAAAATCAGGGATTCAAAGGATTCACCAATGACATTTTGCAAACACCGTTGAACGGGAGAAGCACCACAGAATCGAGTTCTCTAAACCAGGCATGAAAACCAAAAAAAAACAACTATTGGGGGGATCCAACTTGTATACTTAGAACACGAATCTGACCTAAAGTGGGGGGAATCTCATTTCTGAACATATCTTAACTATATCCGGGGACAAAGAGGATTAGGATGATGGCGAGGGATTGCTGCAAAATGTCAGAAGTTCCGCAACCAAACAGCAAGCTATTCGTTGGGAATATGAGGCTTCAAGCTGGAGGATTTTTGGTGTAACAGTGTCCTACTTTGCAGAGAAACCCAATAATTACATCAATGCAATACAGGATGGGCCCCCCCAGTTATAAGTTGCTTTATATACCATTATAACCCCCATTAACTATAGTTATATTTACCATAAACCATAGAAAACAACCACTTATAAGGCAACTGAACGCTATCGAACGGGGGCCCCATCCTGTACATCTATACATCTATAAATATATATATATAAATATATATATATACAGATATAAATATATATATATATATATATCTGGCTTCTACCATCTATTCAGATCCATTCAGATTGCATGGATTTTTAGCATAACGATGACATTGGCCCATAGCTACCAGGTCGCCAGCCGCCGTAGCCACCAAGGTACTGAGCTTGGAGTAGTGGACTCCACCAAGACTGACCTGCACAGGGTATCAGACCAGCCGATTGAAGAAATGGATATCATGAACTTTATGGAATGCATTGGTGCCTAAGAACCACTAATATTGACATATTGGAAAAATTGAAGATATTGAAAGAATGACCCATAGCTGATCATTCAATTCAAGGGCGAATGGTGATCCACCCAGCTGGGGACCTGGCTGCGACACATTTGTCGACGTGAAAAGATGTCAACCAAGACATCCAATGCAGTTGGTTCCTTCTTCCCACGTTGGTTATCTTTGCTGCTTTCATGAGTAAATCATGAGTAACTAGAGCGGGTACACGATACATAGTTCAATAATGATCACAGAAACAACCATAATCATTGATCATCGAAAACAATAAACACTAAAAACAATAATCACAATGATATCAATAATAACAATAACTAACAATAATAGCTAACAAAACTACTCAATAATCATCACCATCATCCTCATTCCTCATCCACTATCCTCGGATCGCCCATCCGCGCCTGGCAAAAACGCACAAGTGGCTGAAGGCCAGGAGCTGCGTATCCGCAGGCACTTTGAAGAGGTGCACACCCTGCGAGACGTTGCCCAGGAAGCTGCGATTGCGGCCGTAGCGATCCTGAGTGCGTCAGTGCGGGGAAAAAGTGGTGACTAGGCTGACTGGATCATTGATTTCAAATCAGGGATACGGATCAAATTTTCAAACATGTTCAAAGTACTTAAAACAGGCAGCCAGCTTCGGAAATTGATGTCTTGTATTCCTTCGGCCAGGACGGGGCTGCTGCCCGGCGAAGTGGATTTTAACTGCGCAGGGCGTGGGTGAAATGGCAACTTGGCTGACGAGACTTGTTTGAAAGACACAAAACCCTAAACTCTAAATCCTACACCCGAGAAACCAAAATCTGACATGAAACCTTGAAAGTAAAATCTGATTAAAACCGTGGAAAAACCCAAATGAAACCCTATAATACCCTATATATGTCAACCCTGAATAAACCCTAAACAGACCCTAAAAAGGTGGTTGCATGATAAACCTCTGGGTGGCACCTCCGGCCTGGGGGTATTTCTAGCTCTCAAATTAGCAAACCTCAAGGACTCACCCATCAACTGACAGATCGACATTGATCTGCTTGGTAGTTACAAGATCCATTTGGATGTTGATCAACTGGCATCATTCCGCAAGTATCAAACAACCACTCTTCTCATCTTGTCTGTTGTCTGGTGCCAGGGTTCCGCGGTGTCATTTCACTATTTTAGGAGTAGAATTCCAACCGAGTTTCACGCCACTTTTTACGTCTTTGCTGGACAAACCACTTCGCAGAATGTTCGGAATCTGCCCATTGGTCAGTGAGGCTATGGCAGTAAAAACCCATGGCTTTTTGGTTCCAAGACTCCTGGGCTAAGTAAACCAGGTAGTCCGTCACTTCGCTATCGTCTTCGGGCTGAAGCCACACCAAATCACCACCAATCCTGGCACAAGAAAGCGGGGATGGTTTCAAGAGTTGAACATAAAGTTGTTTGAAACTACCAATGAGGTGTTGATGTTTCTTGTTGAATGAGGATTGCTTATGTTACGGTTTCGGGCAATGTTCAGTTGCAAGGGCTGTAAGTCCATGAGGTACAGTAAACAGAACAGTGGCGACTTTGGAGCAGTTTGGACCACAGATGGAACCATTCTGCAGCATTCGAATGCACCTTAAAAGCTTCCCAAATGTGCATCTTCAGGGGGAGCACCAAAGAGTAGCAAACATGCTGGTTGCATGAAAACTAAAATTGGTATATCCTCAGCACGTCATTGCATTCATTGGATAAAGGACACTGGAATCCTCTTGGGAATCCTGAAATTGATAAGACCGACATCTCTAGTAATTATCCTCTGGTCAACAAACATGGCTGCCTGGAGAATCCATCACTTCTTAGATGAGTTCATTCTTCACTGCAACAAAACCAATGTTCAGTTTGAAACGATAGTATTGCCTGGTTTTACCGTGTCTCCATGTATGGCTAAAAAGTATGAGCCATTAAGCTATCCTTCAAACCTACTGTTCACTAAACGTTTTACTCATGAACTGATCTGCGGTTTCAATCATATCGCCAAAAAAAACATACAGTACATCCAATAAAATACGTGTTACATCAGCATCAAATCCCATTAAACAAAAACACTTTATACAATTAATTATATATATATCATATATCCAAACAAAATCCCATGACATCATTGATACCATTCCCGCAATATCCCGATAAATTCCCCATAAAATGTCCAAGCATTTCCCCATAAATTTCCCTTTTAATCAACATTACACCGTAAAAAAAAAAACACGAAATCCCATAAACTGGAATTCTTCATAACCCCCATAAGATCACTGTCAATCAACCGTATAATACATCAATATCCCCACTATTCCCCATGATACTCCCTATGATATTCCCAACCAAATCATCATAACATCCTACAAACATACAGTCCAATTTCTTTATTCTGTGCATATGCATCACTAAAAAGAAAAACATATCCCCAATCAATCAACATAAAATTTCCAACATCATCAGTATAAATGATATTTTCATTCCACAATCATAATATATAATGACATAATGACATAGTGTAATTGTTAATGGAGATATCATACAATAGATCATAACATATATATATATTCTGGGGTTAAACCTCCATAACAAAAACTCAATCATATAACTCTAACATCTTCAGTATATCTCCTTTTCCACCATTATAAAATCTCCATAACAAAAACCACACATGAGCAGTGTTTAAAACCCCTCTATTATTCCATTATACTGGTTGGTTAATAATGATTCCCCTATTGGATTATTACAATACCCAATATATTGGGTAGTATAAGTCCTTATAATCATCAACCAACAGAGGTTTTGAACCAATAATGTCCTTGTGGTAAAAATAGAGGGGCGGGTTTGGTATACCATCTATCATCATTTACCTGTTGTTAAAGGGGTTTCTTCAAACCCCTCTATTAATCAACCAACCGATGGGAAAAGGACATCCATGGTTTGAACACTGCTCACATCTTGACCCAGGAGACCTCCTTGCGCACCAGGGCACTCGTAGCGGTCCAAGTCGTCGTCCACGAAGGACACGTTGCCCGCCAGCGAGACTTCGTCCAGAAAGGACAGCGACGAAGGGGTCGTCCTTAGCGACGTGTCATGGGAGATGTGCCATGGGAGATCATTTTTTTTTGGTATACATATTAAATATAATATATATATACTATCATATATATATATACATAATATTAAAACCATTCGTAGTATATATTACACCATGGGACATATCATAGGTATAGTGTGGAATCTGTATAGAATTGGTATATGATACAGATAAAAACAATGGAATATAATTATCATGTTTATATATACTACTATGGGATAGAATAATTGGTATATATAGTACCACATATAAGGGATATGTAAACACAATTTTATAATATACAATGTATGTATATTTTTATTAATTTTTGACATACACACTATTATAAATATATATATACATACAATAATCGGCAAATATAATATTAAATTAAACCATGGGTAGTCTATATTGCACCATGGATATACAATGAACAGATGACATAGGATATATAATGGGATATGTAGTAATGATATTTTTGAGCAGTGGAAATATGATAGATACAAACTGTATATTGGATTGATATGGGGTTGGCACGGTGGGGTAATAAGAGCAAGTTATAGCTGATCATGGTGACAAAATCTAAAGCTTAGATATCCTGAAACCATCAAAATTCTGAAAATGGAGGCTTTTATGGGAACATCATCTATATATATATAATAATAAATAGCTATAAAGAGCTATGTTCCGTTATACCATGTTTGATTACCAAAGCTATTCATATAATTTCTGAGACGTACTAACAAAAATGATACTGAAACCTATCTTTCATACTCAGTTGTTTTTCAAACGTTGCTGTCCTTTTTCCGATGAGTATGAGATATGCTTCCACCCAAATGCTGGTATACAGAAGAACTACTTGCACCTAACCAATGTTGACCCAGTAACCATGGCGCGATCCCAGGGGCATCAAAGGGATCAGACTGAAGATGCTGGATCTGCAAAGCCTTTCCATTTCAAGCCATATCATATATCTTGGTAAATTATAATAATTCACTAACCTGAATTAAGGCCATTTGGGGATGATTTCCCTTATTAACCATGATTCCAGTGAGGGAGAACAGTGAGGTCGTTATTTGCTTTACCCAGATATGATATATGGAGATAGGATGAGGATATGGCGATGGTTTCAACATGAGACAAACAGCCGCATGTGGTCGATTGCAGAGGAGCCCAACCGTCATCGCCCGAGTCACTGTTCAGCCAGGGTGGACTTGGAGTAAACCACCTGGGTGCAGAAGTTTCACCATCAAACACCTGTTTCACGGTTTCCAAAGAATCAACCAGGTAACTGGTTTTATGCTGTGGTTCCACTCTTGCTTGTGAGTCTTGTCGAAACACGGTGATAGTGGGCATTGCCCAACTAAATGGAAGGAACGCTAAACCCTGAGTTTTGCTCAAGTCTTCACAATTCGCTTTGCAGCCTGGTCAACCAACCACGTGAACCATTGAAATCATCAACATATCTAAACCCACCAACCGGTCTTGAGTATTTCTCATACCCCCATTTTGTATTTTGAAGATTTATAATATTCCATAATTGTGTTGTAGTGTTCATTGGTAAACTCAAAATCCCCGGTTTTCACCATTCGACCATGTCCAGTCAACCAGGCGGCAAAGTGGGTGTAGGACTCTCTTCTTGTCTCTGCCGGAACCAGCAACTGATGCCGTCCAACAATCACCTGCGCCGAAATGAGGGTTGGGTATCGCAGGCTTTTGGAAACAAAGTAACAACATTGCTGGTTGGTGGTTTTAACCGTCTTGAAAAATATTAGTCAGTTGGGATAATTCTTCCCAATACATGGAAAAATAAAAAAAGGTTCCAAACCACCAGCCAGATTGTGTCTGTCTCATACTATGTGCATGATTTTGTATTACATACTTACTTTCTACCCGAAAAAACAAAAAGAAAAGGTTTCAGAAAGGACGGCACATACACATACGACATAAATACTCCCCATTTGTGCAAAACAGAAAACATAAGAAACACATGAAGTAGCAAACCGAGGATTATTCAAAATATGTCTTTATTGCTGCTGATGAAATCCCTATTTTTTTCGCAGCTAGATCAACATGTTTTGTTGGCATATCAACCTAAGTACCTTTCACTACAGTAGTGAGAAATCTTCAGTTGTATTGGTTAACCTCGCCATGAAATCATGATTCAATCCCCAGCCATGGCTGGACATTCAAAACCACGTCCAGTGAATCCACCTCCAAAAAATTTCTACATATATCTACACAACAAGCCCGTATGTGCTAGTCTAGAACTATTTCAGAAACCCCCAAGTTATCCATCAACAGGAAATGGTGGTTTAATGGTGGTTTAATGGTGGCTTAATGGCATTTAATGGTGGTTTAATAGGATCTAATGGGAACATCCCATTGTTCACCTGACATGTCGTCCTACGGAACACCATGATTCACCCGCCCAGGTCACCCCTCGGTCACACCTCGTTCCCCACTTGCGACCGCTGGTCCCCCATGGCGGACTCGGCCAGGTAGACCACGTAGCTGTAGACGCGCTGCGGCAACGCCTGGTGATGGGGATTTCACCGAAAGCACGAGATGTTGTCGTGGTGAAATCCAAGGAATGGGTTTAATGGGCTTAATAGATAGAGTTCAATGGTGAATATAGATTTGAACAATGAAAACCATGTTTTGTTATTGGGTTAATCATGATTTCCATGGTAAACATGATTGATGTTAATGGAATTTACCAGAGATAATGGGATTTCATAGGGTTTAATGGGTTTAATGGCAGTGTGATGATTAATGTTAAAAATGTTGATATATACCGACATGATAAATATATATATATACACGTATATATACAGATATATCAACATGGTTTGATTCATTCATGTTGATTACAACTTGTGACTCAAAAACTTTTTCTTTGCTAACCCCATGGAAATACGTTTGAGAAGTCATAGCGGTTTAAGTTTATATGATGCATATTTTCCACCAACATGGATCAAACATCACCCAAAAATACGCGGTCATTCACCAGTGGCTTCCCCCTAAACCGTGAGATTTGACCTGGTTGGTGGCTTCAACCCCTCTGAAAAATATGAAAGTCAGTTGGGATTATTCTTCCCAATATATGAAAAAAAATGCTCCGAACCACCAACCAGTGACTGTGGCTATGAATGATTCTTGTTTGAGTTTGAAACTTGGGTACCTCAAAGACCAATGGTTAATCAATCACCATAGTCCCCTGAATGGTTGCTTTAAATTGGGCTAGTCCCCATTGTCAATTCTGAAGGCTACACAGCTGGGGAACTCGGGCACCAATTCTATTGGTGTGCTCCCCTCAGTCTGAATGATGATTGGTGGGATGTATCATGGTAAATAACATGGTGTTAATTTGAAACATAGATCAACATAGTGTTCATGAATCAAAATCAATGTTTGGGATGAACATTTGTTTACAGTTAAAACCATGTTATCATTTACCATGTTTATCTATGTTTTGGGATGAGTGTTTCGGAAAAACTGTAGATATAAAATATAGAAATTATAGAATATAATACAGAAAATGTGACTATGAAGATGGAGGTAGGATAATCGTTTGCTACTATCTGGTTGGTGGTATACCTACCCCTCTGAAAAATATGAGTTCGTCAGTTGGGATGATGAAATTCCAAAATGAATGGGAAAAAACATAAATTTCATGTTCCAAACCACCAACCAGAACATGTTTTAATTAGTGAAATGGATGATTAGTGTGTTTTAATGGGGTAAATGGATGATTAATGGACGATAATTGTTTGCTACTATGATAATGTTTGGGATCCACAGTATATCATGATAATCCTTAGTGAGATACCTATACCTATCTTATCCTATATTATTCATAGTAGCCCCTATCATACCTAGGAATGAGAGGGGCTACTATTGATCCATCGGGGCCCCGCCCTTCTCTCAGCGAATCTCTTCGCCATGCGGCAGGCTCTAGCCACTGCAGGTGACCCCCCAAATGCGCCAAGTCTAAGTCCAGACCTGCGACGGACATTCCGTGGTTTCTTTAAGGCTTCCATAAATGGCGCATATATGGTGAATGTATTGCTATTATATGGTTATGGCTATCAGAAATGGTTAATATATTCCATAAATGGTTATTCTTTGGTTAATGTATGGCTAATATGTTGCTAATATATGGTTATCATATGGTTAAAGATCGTCAATATATGGCGCATAGTGGGTTTCCATAAATGGGGGTACCTCAAAATGTCTGGTTTATTTCATGGAAAATCCATCTATCAATGGATGATTTGGGGATACCCCCATTTTAGGAAACCTCCATATATAGAATGAAGGCACTAAAATTGGATCAGCCAACTATATGCCGCCCAAAACAGCACAGATCATCTGCTCAACCAGGATGTCTCGAAGGGAGTTTCTTTGTTCGTAATAATCAACCTATCAATAATTCCTGGTGGTCATGATCTTATGCTTGCTTGGGTATAGAAATAGAATATAATGGGATCGTTTGAAGTTTGAAGATGTTTGAAATGATTTGGTATAGGGGGATGACAACCACCCGTGAATATTTGATACTGGGGCTCTTCTCGCCGTTACAAGGGCGTCATGTGGAGTCGCACATTCACATTATACCACAACCCATGAGGCCAAAAACATATTATGATGATAATGTCTATACAGGCTCAATTTTAAGCAGGAGAACGGCCAAACTTGGCAAGTATATAAGCAACATCAGGTGGATATCTACTGGTGAAGGGAACACTGAATAAGGTTGAAAACCCTGTATTCGGAGCAAAGACCATGGATTTGTGAAAGTCTTCCTCTAAAAACCTTCCATTGGGATGGATTGGGCCGATCAACAAACGCAGCAGGACTATCTGCAGCAAATGGCAACTTTTTCAGCAATATGGTTACACATATGCAAACTGCCCTGCGACCACCGAGCTGTCACCACCAAAATCTGGATTGCCCCAAGTCACGACTGACCCATCAGCCAGGATCGCAGCAAAAGCAAAGTTCGTTCCTTGAACCCGCTGGACACCTTTCAGCTGATCTTGGACTTTGGAGCTGTCACCACCAAAATCTGGATTGCCCCAAGTCACGACTGACCCATTAGCCAGGATCGCAGCAAAGGCATATTTCGCTGCTTGGACATGCTGGACACCTTTGAGTTGATCTTGGACTTCAGAGCTGTCACCACCAGATTCTGGTTTGCCCCAAGTCACGACTGACCCATCAGCCAGGATCGCAGCAAATGCAAACCACGTTGCTTGAACCTGCTGGACACCCTTCAGCTGACCTTGGACCTCAGAGCTGTCACCTCCACGATTTGGATCGCCCCAAGTCACGACTGACCCATCAGCCAGGATCGCAGCAAAGGCAAATTCCGCTGCTTGAACCTGCTGGACACCTTTGGGTTGTTCTTGGACTTCAGAGCTGTCACCACCAAATTCTGGTCTGCCCCAAGTCAGAACTGACCCATCAGCCAGGATCGCAGCAAATGCCTCACTTGTAGCTTGAAGCTGCTGGACGCCCTTCAGCTGATCTTGGACTTCAGAGCTGTCACCACCATAGTGTGGATCGCCCCAAGCCACTACTGACCCATCAGCCAGGATCGCAGCAAATGCATCATTTGTACCTTGAAGCTGCTGGACACCCTTCAGCTGGTCTTGGACCTTAGAGCTGTCACCACCATTGTCTGGTCTGCCCCAGGTGACAACTCGGTCACCTCCAGAGCAATACAAGGCAAAAGCTGCGTCGGTTGCTGCTAGCTTTGCCTCTACGGCGATGGCTGTCAAGTGGTCTCCATCTTCAAGTCCCGCAGCTTGCAGAGACACTGCAGGATCCAACGCGCGATGGTCTGCAGCCACAAGCCTCAAGAAGCCACGTTGAAAGGATTTCTGGGCCAGAACCCTCAAGTCCCCTACTTCGGAGGACTGCGAAATAGAAAACTTCTCACTGCAACCGCTTGGCAAAGCTACAGTAACTTGAAGCATATCTCAATAAACTCTAATGTAACGCACCAGTTTTTCCAATTGAGCCAAACTGCTTCTCTGTTTGAGCATTGGAACAAACTCCCAAGACCAACTCGGCATTCAAAATTCGTTGCTGGGAATGATTTCGACCACCTAAACCTTGATCATCCAAGACAAGGTATCAAGTATGGCTCCACGTAGTCAAAACAAATGACTTGCAACACCCAAAGAGTAAACTTTACTGGTTGGTGGTTTCAACACCTCCAACAAAAATATGAGTTCGTCAGTTGGGATTCTTATTCCCAGTATATGGAAAGTCATAAAAATCATGTTCCAAAGCACCAACTAGTTTAGAATTGAAACCACAAAAGTGTTGATAAGTTTCTTCTCTCTTGGAGTCCATCTTATATCTATTGATACACGGACAACGCCAATCAACTTCTAAACCCGGCGGACCAACACGTACGTCAAAGCTGTACGTGTAAACAAACACGTGTTTTGTTGGATGCGCAGGTCTCTCTCTCTCTCTCACAATGTAAATAAAGAGTAATATGAGTATATTGAGAAACATGTAATCATTCGGGAGGGAGTATGCCCCAGGCTTGCTTAGTTTGCAGTGTTCAAGCATCTATAGTTGTCTAGGTCAACCATTAGAACCGATTCCTACCTCCACAGGGCAAGACATACCACTATCATCCACGATCCGAAAACCACATCTTTGTTCAGATCAGCAGACTGCAGAGTGAGTCTGAAAATGTGGTTCTATCAGTTCTATCCCCAGTTCATGTCTACATGACCAACAATGATTTCTCCACTGGATTTTGGCGTTTTTCTCGCAGATACCAATTCCCCGGAGACAAGAAACAACACGAACCATCTCTCGGATATCTGAAGCCATCAGCAAATCAATCTAGGCAATGGAAAATCCCACCATTTTCCAGGAAAAAAATATTATTGGATGTTCGAATAGAAACATTGGACAGTTCAGTCAAAAACCTTGTTAAATTTTCCCAGTAACACCATGGGATTTTCCAGTGAAGACAGTCAATTTTTCCAGTAAAACATAGTAAAACAGTAAAACCATAAGATCCCATCAAAACCATGGGATTTTCTAGTGAAAACATACCATTTTCCCATGAAAACCATGGGATTTTCATCACCTTCGGTCCCTTCAGTCCCTTTGCTCCGCGCGGAAGGCGCGCCTTGGAATGTGATGTTCGACACATTCGCCACGTAGTCCTGGACCGGGATAGAATCGGGTCTTGGGCACTGATTGGATGTAATGTTTTTTTGAGTTCCTAGTTTTTTTCATGTATTCACCAATATATATTTGAAAAACAACTTGGATCCAGGATATAACATGATATAGTTATCAAATCATACTTTGATGTACTACAGAATCTGTTTCATTTGGGTTTTGAAGCCTTCTTGAGCACCAGTAAACAGCACTCACAAGAAATGTGATCTCGTCTGATGGTAACGGAAAGGTGGCCATAATTGCAGGACATTCCATGCCATGACATCACTGAGGCATGGTCATTTCCTGCATGTGGGTCAGTGGTCGGCGCAAACTCCGTCGTATATCCTCCCTGAATGAAACAAATCTATCAAACGTGGGGGTAGTTTCAAATGATGGACCAATGGAACCTGCATAATTTTATAAACATCATAAATCATTAACATCTTATCAATCAACTGGGTATCTGTGGCACAACCTGTACTTTCCACCAGGCTCCACATCTTCCAAGCGGCATAGATCAGCAGGGACGCTGGTGTCGATTGTTCCACCAGAGAGGACTTGGTATAGACTGCCCAGTGGGTGTAGGGCGACAAAGTGAGGTTCTGTGGTACGTCGATCATCTCAGTTCCCACCTCGGTGTTTTCAACGAATGGGATGATGGGAAGCCACGTCAACCTTTCTGGTAATATCCAAAACGTGCCTGCAGCGGCCTACCACAAATATCCAACAAGCAGCTATCAGTATAGACAGTGGAAGAAGACTCCTTGGAACATCAAACTCGGTCAGCTGTTCTATCAGTAGAAAACAACCTCGGCAATCAAAATCAATTCAATGTAACATGTGAAGTTTGCTCCCCCGGACCATTTTGGCGGCATGTATCTTAGACATCTTTGCCCTGAGTGTTTTCTACCTTACTTCTCCGTGTGTGACCATCCTTGCAATTCTGGACCTGCAAACAGTTCAACACAACTCTAAACACATCAAAACTGCCTGTGATTGCGTATCATGTATGAAAGTAGAATATGTAGGGTTGTCACGGTGGCTGTATAGGCAACAAACATGTGAGTGGCGACATGTTTCGATTCATCATCCCAACCAGCCGGCCGATGCATCCCACATACGAAATCAGGGTTTCTACAGGGCAGGAGTTCGTAATATATATCGCGGCGATTGGATTCACCATTTCTTTAGTTTACTTTTTCAAAACTCCTGCGCCCGCTCATAATTTAACATAGCTATGACCCAGTCATCGATGAGTAAAATATGATTTACCTACTGAAGATGGTGATCTTACCTCGCTATATAACAAATTACCAGAGGGCAATGCACCCAGTCAAACCCATGTGCAGAGGAAGAGGCTGGAACCATGGTGTAGAAAGACCTGGCCGGCAACACAGCATATTCAGTGCTACAAGGCCACTTCGGCGTGGCAATACACTGATACAATATGATCAATACAATTGAATTGCCAATCATGACAATGAAAGACATAGTCATATCTCACCAGCTTTAAATAAGGTCCCGTTATACTTGGTGTTGTTTCATCCTGTGCTAAGTTAGTTAAGCTTTCAGTCTTATACAGTTGTGTGGTAAATGCATCTAACCCCCAAAAAAACAGAATATGGCTATAATCTATCCTGCTTATATGTGTTTTTTCTCCCTTATACTTCCCATCTTTGTTGATGTCTAGTTCTCTCAGCTCCCAACTCCCAGCTCCCCCAGCCGCGCACCTGTTACAGATCGTCGAGATGTTTTGGGTGTAGGCGCCCACCACAGAGAAGCCCGGTAGGGACCAGTTATACTAGGCGCGCCATGCAGGGTCAACATGTTCTTCGCTGGAAAAGAACTTTTTTTGGGGGGATGGAGAATCACATCAATATGATTTGAATGTTGAGATGGACCACTACTGTGTAGGGCTAGCTTGGATGATTCATGCCTCTCTGTGTGGATTCTGGATATACCCTCTGCTCATCTAGCATCACTCGGTGGAGAATCATCGTGTTCACTAGGCACATAGTTTATGAATGAACATCTTTTTCTTAGGCAAAACCCCATGGTTGGATATCCATGTGCATGGATACCCTGATACACAAACCTATTCGTATAAAAAAAGATTTCGTATATATATATATATATATATACACAGGAAATCGAGTGTGTGTGTATATATATGTATATGTATTATGTATAAATGTGTGTATATATATAATATGTAAATATAGATACAGTTAGATCATCCATGGTAATCTCATAATGTAAGATCATCTCTCTTGTTGGATTGCCATCAGATGGTACCCAGTTTTTTCCGCATCTATAGATTTGACCTCAACTGACATAGCCACGGACAATGGCACATTTGTAGTTGATTTACCTTTCAAAATGGTGATTTGCTCATAGTTTTTTGTCTGTTTACCAGAAGGTATGGTGATTTTTGCCAATTATTTCTGTGTTTATTTCAGAAAGGCCAGCTGCTGGGCTGAAGAAAAAAATTACCGAAATGCTTCGCTGGGGTGGTTTCAAGCAACTTAGCAATCGGGGATCCCCCATCTCGTGTGGAATCCCATTACCATATTATAGTTGCTTGTACTAGTATCCCATTCTCTTATATCCATCATATCTAATTACTTCAACAATGAACCCCCATGAATTCCCATTGGGTGAAGGAACTGTCTACCACAAAGTATCTGGCTATAGCTGGTGGCCTATCCTCTGTCAGCTCCCTCCTCAAACCCGACGTCAAGAAGCGAAGACCTCTGATTCTTCGGTGATCATGGCCTGTCACGGAGACCAGCTTGAAGAATGGCCAAATAAAATGTTCGCTCTGTATGTAGACATTACATATCTATTTGTAAAAAAAAACATATAGTTTATGTTGTTTAGAACACAAATAAGCTGCATAATGTGATATTTTGGTATAAGTTGAGTGTGCACATGATGCTGTGTGAGTATGTTGTATTACTGTGCATTGTATATTGTATATACGCTAGAATATTTAATATATTAAGACCACATGATGCAGACATTAATTTCAAGGTATTCAACCGCTGAGATGACAGTTCGCTGTCCGGAACAAGATTTGTTGGGTTCTGGTTGGTCCATGGTTCAATCTGATTTCAAGTCTTTTGAGATCTCAACTCGTACATACCGCCATACAAGTAAAAAAACAACAGTAAACTGGACCAGGGACCTTACCAGAATTTTCATCAACTCATGTAAATCACCACAAAGCCCCCAAATCATCAAAAAATATGCATGGTATGAACATGCACGCTGCAATCCGTACGTTGCTCCACCTCTGACTTCAGGTGGCTATTAAGATAAAGTTGATGTTGTTACCCCAGTCAACATATTGTTCATAAAGGGTGGCGAATTTTGATCCCTTATGAAGATAAAGATGATGTTATTACCCCAGTTAACATATTGTTCATAGGTGGCGACAGATTTTGATCCCTGATGAAGATAAAGTTGATGTTATTACCCCAATCAACATATTGTTCATAAACGGTGGCGAATTTTGATCCTTTATGAAGATAAAGATGATGTTCTTACCCCAGTTACCATATTGTTCATGGAGGGTGACAAATTTTGATCCCTCATGAAGATAAAGATGATGTTATTACCCCAGTTAACATATTGTTCATGGGGGGTGACAAATTGTGATCCCTCATGAAGATAAAGTTGATGTTATTGCTAGTTGATGTTATTACTCCAACCAACATATTGTTCATAGGAGTGGCAAATGTTGATCCCTCATGGAGACGTAGTTTGTGTTTTTACCCCAATCAAAATATTGCACAGAGGGGGTGGCAAATGTCGACCCTTCACGAAGATACAAATGATGATTATGATGATGATGATGATAATGATGATGATGATCATGACGATTGTAAGTGTGGAGCAACGTCCGGGTTGGGGCGAACATGTATAAACCATTCCCAAATGGGTGGTTTATTATTGTTTTACCCACAGTGTTACCTTTTGAGCCATCTCCATCTCCAATCGCCTCGCAATCGCTGACCAAGTTCAAGTCTTCAGGGGCTGAAGGGACCGCCACCATGTAGATCACATAGTGGGTGACCTGTCGAGCCAACTCGATCCTGCTGTATCATGTTGTATCAAATATCTGTAGCTAATAAATATCTATAGTAAAATATCTATAGTTAATAAATATTCTATAGTTAAATAGCTATAGTGAGCAATATACAGTTAAGTTAAATATCTATAGTTTAATATCTGTTCGATCATGTTCATACAAAGTATGTAATGGGGTGCTTTAAGAGAACCCCCGCAGAAAACCATGTACTTCCAAACTGCTTGCGGCTTCCTGCAAATGTTCCCACCAAAGCCGGGGAAAAAAAGTCCCACCCCTGAAGTCGTGGACATCAATTTGCTACTTGTTGGTCTCAAAGCCCAGATGAAGTCGCTGATATGGAAAGCTGGGATGATGAAATTCCCAAGATATGGAAAGTCAAAAAATTCCATGGTTCCAAACCACCAATCAGCTATAAACCATTGATCATCCCATTTTCTATGGTATATATCCCATGTATATATCCTGTAATATACCATCCATTACCATCTTATAAAATCCAAATATTATTGGTTATATACCAAACCACCATCAATTATTGGTTAAATGATGACCTCATCACTTGGACGCACCTGGGAGGTCTCTTGCGGTGCATCCCACTGTAGCGTGCCGCCCACATCGTCGTAGTCCAGGTCGAAGTCCGGGAAGCTGAGATTCGTCGCCACAGATTCGCCTTGGACAACACGATTCGTGGTCCCAGTGTTATACCTGGAAAATGATCATATTTATCTGTGTAAAAAAATACAATAAATATAAAGAACAACCACATAATATGTATATATATATAATTGTATGTAGGAAAACACAAGTTGCACCTGATTTCCTTGTTGACCACATTTGTGATTTCATTGTTGTGAGGTACCCATATTTTGCACAGCTCGGGGGCGCGAGGTCACCAGCTGATAACTCGTTGGGATCCACTGGTTCGAGGAACACGACCCCGAACAAAACAAACAAAACATAGTGAATTAGCCGAATTAGCTGGCAAAATATGTGATTCACTATGTTCTTCCAAGGTTGAAAGCTGTACATATAGAGTTTTATAAGTTTTATATACATACTTGTGGGTAAACACCATGGTGTTGCATAAGTTCTCCTAAAAGCCCTTCCATTGGATGAACCACTGCATGGCGAGATATCTCCAGTTGTTGTCTTGGCTGCAACACTGCATTTGCTACAGGACAGTCCTGGGGCTTTTCAATCACACCTCGGAAAGCCAATCAACAAACAACAGTGAAGGGCGGCTTTGCGCCAACACAGTTACACATATGCAAACTGGGCTGCGACCACTGAGCTGTCACCACCAAAGTCTGGGTGGCCCCAAGTCACGACTGACCCATCAGCCAGGATCGCAGCAAATGCCTGCTTAGTTGCTTGAACCTGCTGGACACCTTTGAGCTGATCTTGGACTTCAGAGCTGTCACCACCAAAGTCTGGGTGGCCCCAAGTCACGACTGACCCATCAGCCAGGATCGCAGCAAATGCCTGCTCAGTTGCTTGAACCTGCTGGACACCTTTGAGCTGATCTTGGACTTCAGAGCTGTCACCACCAAAGTCTGGGTGGCCCCAAGTCACGACTGACCCATCGGCCAGGATCGCAGCAAATGCAAGGCCTGCTGCTTGAACCTGCTGGACACCTTTGAGCTGATCTTGGACTTCAGAGCTGTCACCACCAAAGCGTTTTCTGCCCCAAGTCACGACTGACCCAGTAGCCAGGATCGCAGCAAATGCATCGCCTGTAGCTTGAACCTGCTGGACACCTTTCAGCTGATCTTGGACTTCAGAGCTGTCACCACCTTGGTCTTCGTCGCCCCAAGTCACTACTGAACCATCAGCCAGGATCGCAGCAAATGCAGTTTCAGTTGCTTGGACCTGCTGGACACCTTTGAGCTGATCTTGGACTTCAGAGCTGTCACCACCAAAGTCTGGGTGGCCCCAAGTCACGACTGACCCATCGGCCAGGATCGCAGTAAATGCATGGGGAGTTGCTGGAAGCTGCCGGACACCTTTCAGCTGATCTTGGACCTCAGAGCTGTCACCGCCAAAGTCTGGGTCGCCCCAAGTCACGACCGACCCATCGGCCAGGATCCAGCAAATGCATACTTCGTTGCTTGAAGCTGCTGGACACCTTTCAGCTGATCTTGGACCTCACAGCTGTCACCGCCAAAGTCTGGGTCGCCCCAAGTCACGACTGACCCATCGGCCAGGATCGCAGCAAATGCAGAGCAAGTTGCTTGAAGCTGCTGCACACCCTTCAGCTGATCTTGGACTTCAGAGCTGTCACCACCAGAGTCTGGTTTGCCCCATGTGACAACTCGGTCACCTCCAGAGCAAAACAAGGCAAAAGCTCTTGCTGTTGCTGTCACCTTTGCCTCCAGGACAACAGCCGTCAAATGGTCTCCGTCCTCAAGTCCTGCAGCTTGCAGAGACACTGTAGGATCCAACGCGCGATGGTCTGCAGCCACAAGCCTCAAGAAGCCACGTTGCAAGGATTTCTGTGCCAGAACCCTCAAGTCCCCTACTTTGGAGGACTGCGGAATCGAAAACTTCTCACAGCAACCGCTTGGCAAAGCTACAGTAACTTGAAGCATATCTCAATAAACTCTAATGTAACGCACCAGTTTTTCCAATTGAGCCAAACTGCTTCTCTGTTTGAGCAGTGGAACAAACTCCCAAGACCAACTCGGCAATCAAAACCCTTTACGAGGGCCATGATTGGCAACTGTCTGTCCAAGGGCCATGACGAGCAAAGCTTATGATTCCATTTTTGATATTCTTGACTATTGCCGGTTATACTCCCAGCCTTGAATGTTGTAAGACCACCCCTTACTTGGATGTGCATCAAAGGGATCGCATTTGGCAAAAGCAAAAACAATCTTTGTTCGATCAGTGATAGAACTTATATGCACATTGGCATCTCATTACATACCTGGGAACTGTACGTTGCCATGTTTGGGTCATGCTATTTTTATTAAGGCTAACGTCACGTCCAAAATGGCAATTCCAACGGCTAAAACAATCAACATTTTGGATCCTAAGAGATGCCAATATCACCTCATTAACCTACCATCCACCAGGGGGAAACCCCTCACTGACATGTTTTCCAGCACCGGTGCGCCGAAAAAAATGAAGATCATTCCTATAGCCTTTGTGGATGGCCGGCCTTTAATGATCAACTCTGTGGGCCTCCCACATTTCTGAGGTAGGTCGCTGTGGGGTACCCATACTTTGCACAGCTATAAATCGTTGGGATCCACTGGTTCGAGGAACACGAGCCCGAACACAACAAACAAAACATAGTGAATTAGCTGGCAAAATATATGAGTCTTGGCCCGGCACTATGTTCTTCCAAGGTTGAAAGCTGTACATATATAGTTTTTATAAGTTTTATATACATACTTGTGGGTAAACACCATGGTGTTGCATAAGTTCTCCTAAAAGCCCTTCCATTGGATCAACCACTGCATGGCAAGATATCTCCAGATGTTGTCTTGGCTGCAACACTGCATTTGCTACGTCGGACAGTCCTGGGCCTTTTCAATCACACCTGTCCTGGGCCTTTTCAATCACACCTTCGAAAGCCAATCAACAAACAACTCTATAGGATTCTGGGGTGAAGGGCGGCTTTGCGCCAACACGGTTACACATATGCAAACTGGGCTGCGATCACTGAGCTGTCACCACCATAGTTTGGGTGGCCCCAAGTCACGACTGACCCATCAGCCAGGATCACACCAAATGCCCGCTTAGTTGCTTGAACCTGCTGGACACCTTTGAGCTGATCTTGGACTTCAGAGCTGTCACCACCAAAGTCTGGGTGGCCCCAAGTCACGACTGACCCATCAGCCAGGATCACAGCAAATGCCTGCTTAGTTGCTTGAACCTGCTGGACACCTTTGAGCTGATCTTGGACTTCAGAGCTGTCACCACCAAAGAATGATCTGCCCCAAGTCACGACTGACCCATCAGCCAGGATCGCAGCAAATGCCTGCTCAGTTGCTTGAACCTGCTGGACACCTTTGAGCTGATCTTGGACTTGAGAGCTGTTAGCACCATGGGATGGAGAGCCCCAAGTCACAACTGACCCATCAGCCAGGATCGCAGCAAATGCCTGCTCAGTTGCTTGAACCTGTTGGACACCTTTGAGCTGATCTTGGACTTGAGAGCTGTCAGCACCATGGGATGGAGAGCCCCAAGTCACAACTGACCCATCAGCCAGGATCGCAGCAAATGCACGGCCTGCTGCTTGAACCTGCTGGACACCTTTGAGCTGATCTTGGACTTCAGAGCTGTCACCACCAAAGAATGATCTGCCCCAAGTCACGACTGACCCATCTGCCAGGATCGCAGCAAATGCCTCACTTGTAGCTTGAACCTGCTGGACACCTTTCAGCTGATCTTGGACTTGAGAGCTGTCAGCACCATGGGATGGAGAGCCCCAAGTCACAACTGACCCATCAGCCAGGATCGCAGCAAATGCCTGCTCAGTTGCTTGGACCTGCTGGACACCCTTGAGCTGATATTGGACTTCAGAACACCAGCCCCAAGTCACGACTGACCCATCGGCCAGGATCGCAGCAAATGCATGGGGAGTTGCTTGAAGCTGCTGGACACCTTTCAGAAAATCTTGGATTTGAGAGCTGTCACCGCCAAAGTCTGGAGCGCCCCAAGTCACAACTGACTCATCGGCCAGGATCGCAGCAAATGCCTGCTCAGTTGCTTGAAGCTGCTGTACATCTTTGAGCTGATCTTGGACTTCAGAGCTGTCACCACCTTCGTCTGGTCTGCCCCATGTGACAACTCGGTCACCTCCAGAGCAAAACAATGCAAAAGCTGCGTCGGTTGCTGCTAGCTTTGCCTCTACGGCGATGGCTGTCAGGTGGTCTCCATCTTCAAGTCGCGCGGCTTGCAGAGACACTGCAGGATCCAACGCGCGATGGTCTGCAGTCACAAGCCTCAAGAAACCACGCTGAAAGGACTTCTGTGCCAGAACCCTCAAGTCCCCTACTTTGGAGGACTGCGGAATCGAAAACTTCTCACAGCAACCGCTTGGCAAAGCTACAGTAACTTGAAGCATATCTCAATAAACTCTAATGTAACGCACCAGTTTTTCCAATTGAGCCAAACTGCTTCTCTGTTTGAGCAGTGGAACAAACTCCCAAGACCAACTCGGCAATCAAAACCCTTTACGAGGGCCATGATTGGCAACTGTCTGTCCAAGGGCCATGACGAGCAAAGCCCTATGATTCCATTTTTGATATTCTTGACTATTGCCGGTTATACTCCCAGCCTTGAATGTTGTAAGACCACCCCTTACTTGGATGTGCATCAAAGGGATCGCATTTGGCAAAAGCAAAAGCAATCTTTGTTCGATCAGTGATAAAACTTATATGCACATTGGCATGTCATTACATACCTGGGAACTTTACGTTGCCATGTTTGGGTCATGCTATTTATTAAGGCTAACGTCACGTCCAAAATGGCAATTCCAACGGCTAAAACAACCAACATTTTGGATCCTAAGAGGTGCCAATATCACCTCATTAACCTACCATCCACCAAGGGGAAACCCCTCACTGACATGTTTTCCAGCACCGGCAACCACCGAAAAAAATGAGTTGATCATCCCATTTCGATAGCCTTATAGCCTTTGTATATTTTGCATTATTCGGCCGGTTTCAAACTACCCACTGTGGATGGCCGGCCTTTAATGATCAACTCTGTGGGCCTCCTCTGGCCACCGAGTGACGATCCTGAAATTGCAGGGCCACAGGTGTGGTTTGCTCCACAAGCTTCGACTCAGTGTAGACCTGCGAAATCTGGTCCAACGGGACCGCTGTTTGAACCCCGCGAAGCGGCCAAAACCATAAAGACCAGCCCATTTCTGTTGATTTGGCTTCCAAGTACTGGGATAAAATCTCTCCTTTTTGCACACTTCAACGTTCAGTGGATGAATATCCTTTCATCCCCTTTGTTTCTTGATGGTTGGACCTCTATTTTTGCGGCTAGAAATCCAACTTTGGGATGTTTCACTCCTAGCTTTAGTTGCCAGATCAACCTTCTCAACTATAGAGTTGACCACTTCCCTGACTCGCTGCTTAGGTCATCCAATCATCAACGGAGACCTTCTATCCATGATTGTGTCCTCTGGAATTTGCACCAAACAAATATAGGCTTCAGTCTCACTCTGGATGACTCGACAAATCAGCATGTTTCTTCATAGAACCAAAGAATGAGTGGCAATATATTAAATCATGTTTTATCTTGTTAAAGTCCCAACATCCTCAACCACTTAGTTCATACAAGTCCCTTCTACCCCCAATGTGGTTGACAAGATTATAAACCCACCAATTATTTTTGTGTGTCAAATAATTTGATAAATATGTGATGTTGTTTTTCCTGCTGAAACACACATGCGTTCAAACAAAGAAAAGTCTTCGAAGCATTTCATACCCTGCTACAGTATCCCTGATGTGTGTCGTTGCAGTCCAAGTTCTCCCTGGTTAAAAATCATTGAACATCCAAAACTGTTGGTGGAAATTAAAGAAGCAACGCATGTTTTTCCAGATGTTGGCCTCTGGTACTCAAAAACCTTGCAATGGCAAATCCCAAGGAGAATGACCGAGTTGAAGACAATGTACAAAGGGTAACATCCCAGGTTTATTTTTGTTTCCTTTCTTATAGTATATATCAAAATACACTTCAAACATGTTAAACCCCAATGTTCAAGCAAACATCACTCGAATTTCCTCGTGAATTCACACAATCTTTCCATTCCATCTCATTCCATCTGGACAAATTATAACAATTCACTAAGCTGAAAAAGAATACTGGAAGGCTTCTTCCAGGATAGCTATCCAAAACAACCATCGTTCCAGTGAGCTTGCAGTGAGGTCGTTATAATTTATCCAGATGGTAAAACACCCACATATTATATATATTTGGATATCCATAATCAATCATAATTCCTATGAATATTCCTATACGCTAACCATCATTCACGCTTTGTGATTATTAGCAGTACTGTAACAGCCACTATGAATATCCCTAATGTTATACATCATTAATCATTACTATAACTACACTCCGAATTTCATCATGACAACCTCATGTTATAATTTGAACAACCATTATTAACCATAGATTAACCATAGATTCACCATAGATTCACCATAGATTCACCATAGATTAACCATAGACTCACCTTAGATTCACCATAGATTCACCATAGATTAACCACAGATTCACCATAGATTAACCATAGATTCACCATGGTCACCATAGATTAACCATAGATTCACCATAGATTCACCATAGATTAACCATAGATTCACCATAGATTCACCATAGATTCACCATAGATTAACCATAGATTCACCATAGATTCACCATAGATTCACCATAGATTCACCATAGATTCACCATAGATTAACCATAGATTCACCATAGATTCACCATAGATTCACCATAGATTCACCATAGATTAACCATAGATTCACCATAGATTAACCATAGATTCACCATGGTCACCATAGATTAACCATAGATTCACCATAGATTCACCATAGATTAACCATAGATTCACCATAGATTCACCATAGATTCACCATAGATTCACCATAGATTAACCATAGATTCACCATAGATTCACCATAGATTCACCATAGATTCACCATAGATTAACCATAGATTCACCATAGATTAACCATAGATTCACCATAGATTCACCAGGAAAACATGTTCGTTCACCATCCCAAGCCCCCGTTGTTGCCGACCGTCATGAACTCGAAGCCCGCGCTGGGCAGCTCCGGCCCCACGTCCAAGGTCAGCGTCGGCACCAGAGCCGTGGACAGCTGCTGGCGCCCGAGGCCTGGCCATGGTTCAGAGTGGTTTAAGGGAAAATCTTAACCGGAAACCCATGGGTTTTTACCATCAAAATAGGGCTTTCCGGTTAAAATTTTCCCATCATCCAATTCTATGAGTTTAGAATCTTAGAAATAGGGATAATATGGGATAATAATGGCAAAATACTCTTTTTCTTTCCATATATTCCAAATAAAATGGTTCTAATTCTGAAGCATAGTTGTGATTATTGGGGTTTATAAAAGGTCAACAATCTATTATGGTCTAATAATGATAGCTATTAAAATTCCATCATTATAGATCGTGTTTTCTATGGCTGAATTGTTGGGTTGATAGTCATTATGATGGTTAATATATGGTGATCACTAGTTGTTACTGATCATTCATGGTTAAAAAGTTAAAAAGTTATAAATAAATGTGATTCATTCATGATTATATATATATATAAATACATGGTGATGAATGGATATCAATGGTTCATGATGGCTAATGATGGTTCATAATGGGTATAACTACGGTAAGCTTATGGGATAACTATTGGAATCTCATCCCTATGAGATGGGATAATCCTGAGAACTGTGGTGAAATGGAACCACTTATTAGTGATTTGGGGAAATCCATTTGTTTGTTTTTTGTTTTCCGCACACAATTGGGATGGACATGCAAATGATGTTTGAGCCAATAGGGAACTTTGGAGATTTTTGTTGGGGTAACTTCGAGGAAATTAACGTTTGGAAAATGTGGGTTCATCCCAAACTGTGGGAAACTGAATGATTTTGGGGAGAACATTTCAGAATTCAAACACCCAAAGCTATATTCTATGATATTCTGAAGATTTCTGAACTTGGAGGTATAAGGTGTTGTAATGATTCAAAGAATCACTCTAAAAGAAGCTAGCTGCAAAATCTAAGGTGGATACAGTGAGAATCACAAGTTGAAGTGCGCCTGCTGGATCCACTGAGAGGTATAGGTTGTACTTTGATACGCGTTCAGCATAGGCAGGCTCCGTCCATGACACTGTGCCTCAACGGCTGCAAAGGGACATGGTTCTGTTGGGGAACATAGATGATCTAATTCTAAATGGATAGATATTTGCCTACATGATAGATATCTAATATCTCATTCTAATATCTATATCTGCATTGGGGATCCTATTTTGTGATCTCCATTTACCATCATTTATCCATATGATCTATGGAATTTGGTGGATCCATAGCGTCCAGGCAACCACCAAGCTCCAGGATGTCCAGGTCTTTGTCTGTGAATTGGATTCCTGCGGTGCTGTGCTCTTAGACCTGTGCTTCCGCCCCACCTCCACACGTGACGTGGTTGCGAAAAATGAAGCCATCTGACTGTAGATATGTCTATCATAAATAGCCATATAAACACCATATAGTATATATAGTTAGCTTGGCTGTAATATGTCAAACATACCCATATGCTCCATGTATGGAATATTCACCAACATTTGAAACATTTGTCCTAAAAATCACCCAGTCATGTAGGTAAATATAGCATACATGGAGCATATGGGATATAAGGACCAATGGCCAAGCTCACAAAATCTGTCCCACTTTGTATACCATGAGATGTTCGTCTCCGTCCTGAGACGCTGGAGGCGGCGTCGAAGATTCGATGCGGCGTCGGCGTGCTTTGTTCCACCAGGCTGGAATGGGTGAAGATCAACCTGGGCGACGCAGAGAAAATTTCGCGCTGCAGAAAATTGGATGGGAAGACTCTTGGAGGTGTCCCAGGATTTTTGTCGAAAACATGGGAAGATCATAGGAAAAGTGGAAATGGACGAAGGACAGCGGAAATCCAGCACTATGTATGATACGAAAAGATGATTTGTTGTTGGATTGTTGTTTTCCCAGGATTTTTTCTGGGAGAATGATGGGAAAAGTGCTATGCAAAGTCAGTTTCTTCCAATTCTGGAGCGTTGATGGATTCCATGGTCAACTGCTTGAGCCTCTGGGAAGCACACGCATCATCAAAAAAACACAAGAAAATGCTGGGCATGACCAACATGACTGATGAGGATGATGAGGATGAGGATGAGGATGAGGATGAGGATGATGATGATGATGATGATGATGTGGATTTGGATGTGGATGAGGAGGAGAATGACGATGACGATGACGATGACGGCGATGGTGACGATGGTGATCACGGTGATCACGGTGATCAGGATCGTCAAAATAATCAGGATGATGGTAATGCAATTATGATGGCACATCCACGAAATATATAGATTATCATGGTACCGGTCACAGTTGTTCAGGATCTGTAAAATTGGATGGTGTAATCTATGACCGGCAATCTATGGCCTTTTTGGAGGGACTTCAACTCCTCCTTTTGTTGCAAAGGCTTTGGCACCATGAAATCTATGGTGTGTATACATTCCAAAATTAGTTGTCTGTGGTTCTTGGGATCTCTAGAATGAAACCATCGCACATCGAATGTCAATCTAAATAGTACAGTATGGTTGAACCTTAGATTTGGGGCCTATAGTTTAAAATTACTTCAAAGATGCTTCATGGCTTTGTCACATAAGAATAAGGTAATGGGGTAATGTTGGTCAAACATGTCCAATTTCACCATCATTCACCATAGGTGGTATAAACATTTGTTTTTTCCCACATGATACACATCAGCCCCTTCTCGGTTTCCCGAGCAGCCAATGGGTGAAATTCTCCAAGCTGGTCTCGGGAGGAACGGTGACATTCTCAGAGACGGCCTCTGCGAAGTAGGAACGCAGACCTCACCGCGGCGACCGCGGTGATGGTTCCATGTTGGGAAACATGGATTGTTTTCGCTGGCAAAATCTTGAATATGTGATATATATATATATAATGATATATATATATATACATATGTATGTATGATTATGTATGTATGTATAAGTGTCATGTTTTGGGTTTTGGAAGTGGCATCAGGCTCCAAGCTACATCATCCAGGTAACAAGTAATAGATTATGTAAATTGAAACGAAAAAATGCCAAAGATAGGTTTGAAATGTCTTTCTCCAACAATAGCCACCCTGCCGCGAGAAAAAGGACACTGGTTTAGCATCGGATCCGTTCATTTTTGGGTTCCATGCAGGGGATGTCATTATCGATCGATGGAATGATGTCTACAATACACTTTCTGGTTGGTGGTTGACCTACCCCTCTGAAAAATATGAAAGTCAGTTGGGATTATTATTCCCAATATCGGGAAAAATAAAAACGTTCCAAACCGCCAACCAGCACTTTAATTGTACGGATACAAAACCAAACATAGTTCCGGCATTTTTTGTCAAATCAAAGATTCATCAAATCCTGAATCATCAGCTCACCCCAAAACTATGTGACCTCATTGATGTTGAACACCTCATGTCGTCACTTCCGACCAGGTCAGAGCAGCCAAGCAAAGTCCCGAGAAAGCTTTTTCCGAGACAAGCTGACTATCATTCGGCCAGTCATCATGCTCAAATCTCCTCTTGAATTATCTAAAATATGCATTTTTTGGTGGTGCACACCTTTTTCCAGATAAAACATCGCATGACAAATCAATACCATTTACAAATCCAGATGTTACTGATCGACCTACCAAGAATGATCCACGTTGATCCAGCGCCCCCCGGGTCTCTGCTGCCAGGACACACCACTCTGCCACCACATTCTCACAATTAGGATCCCCTGGCATCGTCGCCAAATAGACCTGTGGCAGCAAGGACCCGCCAGGCAAAGAGGTCTTCGTTATCTGGAAAAGCAGCATGTAACCGCAAACGTGGGCTGGGGGAAGTAGTGATTTTCCGGATCTGGACATGTGTTTTTTTTTCTGGCTCCATCTTTCTTTTCAGGGGTGCAAATAGTCCAATAATAAATCTTAGAGAATTTCGCTAACCGAAAGGAGGATGGAATGAGATGGTCACCTTGAAATTCTACGCCCACTTGCCGAAGAGCTGCACACTGACAAGCATTACCCTCCAGATCCCTCCAGCATCTTAAGCTGGCAATGGACAACCATCCATTTGTATCTGATTATCCTAATTATCCGATATTCTCCCACAAAAAAAAAAGATTTTCCAGCCAAGGGTAGGATCGTTCTGATGCTTTGACATGCTTTGACCACTGTGATGCCTGAACCTCGCTGGCCGGCCCAAACAACACGAGATGATCCCGGAGGGAAGTTGGATGATCAGCCGCGCAAAGGGATTGACCTTGACGGTTAACAGCCAACAGCACTTCTGTCGTGTCGTGGCGGTAGTTTCCGCTGAGAAGACTCCCGGCTCGAGGGCTGAAGTTGGCCGCGTCAGTCCAGAAATCTCAATGTCGGGCCACCCCATGGAGACTATCTCTGCGGCAGTCAAAGGCAAAGGCCCAGAAAAGGATTCATCTAAAGGACAAGTCTCTCCAAAGCGCTATCAAGCAAGTGGTGAGCACTGATCACTGAGGACGTTTTTGAAAATTCATTAGAAAAATCATTCTTCAGGCAGCAACTGGGATGCTCTATATATAATTTAATATCATTCAATCAACTGCTTTGCTATATCCAATTTGCTATATCTGCTAGGGTCAAAACATAGTATTTGGATTATGGTCATCCATCTCTGAATGGGAATCTTTATAGCGGGGAGTATAAAACCATACAGTTATATGAATATATAACCGTATTCATGTGTTGATGACTATCCCCAATATGGGTACACAATCAAGCTGTTGATTGCATGGTAATTTACTAATATTCCAATCAATATATATATATATATGGTCACCCCCCTCCAGGACCATATATGCTCGCCCCACCTTCGAGGACCTACATTTTCATCTGTGATCTGCTAAACATGCTTATACATTATACACAAATAAGGCAAACTGTACATATAGATGTTTGAAACATGTGTGCAAATGTATACTTGACAATAAAGTCAAATACACATACTGCAAAAAGATCAATATTCTGAGACTCCTTGGGGAGGGCCCCATGGAGAAATGTAAGAAACTTCGAAAAAAAACAAAAAAAACAATAAAACCAATATTCTGAGACTCTTGGCTGACCCCCCTCCGCCCCAAGACCTCTGGAAAATGTGTTTTTTTTTCTCGAGTTTTTTTTGGTTTTCTCGAGGTTTTTTTTGTTTTGCATTTTCCCATCCCCAAGACCTCTGGAAAATTGGTTCAAGAATAATTAGCAATGCTAAAAGAATTAATAGTTCAACTTATGATTGCATGCAGGAGATAGCCATATTTGGTGCTCAAGTATTAGATATGAGAGCTGCAATATCAAGTTCCTCTTTTAATAGCTCATGCTCATACAAAAAATCTTCAGGCACTCACGTTTTTAACACAGATAAAATAAATACTGATATGGAAGAACATAGAACTATTTCTGTAAATATGAAGAATGATTTAGCAAAAAAATGTTTTAATATGGTATCTGATATAAAACATGTATTCAGTATAGTTCAAACTTTAAAACTACATGGATTTGTATGTTATTGTCCTTCTATACAATCTAATTCTTGCAAAAATAGTCTTTTTCTGCCTGTATTTCAGGATGCTAAGTTTGAAAACTTTATAAAACAAAATTGGCAAAATGAGCAAGTAACTATAGAAAATGAAGTTGCAAATGTTAGTTTAGTAGGATATCACTTAGATGATGAAGCAATTTTATGACAAATTAAATACAAATTAAAGATATAATTGGGAACATGAAAATAAAAATATGTGGTATTGAGGTATTGCAAAGCAGAATTACCATATGCGTTAAGTCTTTAAATGCTAATCATTTGGCCGCAGCTTTGCATAATAAATTTATTAAGTAGTATTCAAAAATGAATATTAAAAGCTTTGCTCAGGAACTAATTACACAATTATGTCTTTTAGTGCTTTAAGGCTTTAAGTAATGAATTTGACAACATAGATTGTAGAACTGTTGCATGTACAGGTAATATAAGAAGATAGCAAGTTGCTTGCATTGTTATCTGAGAAAAACAAATATGTTTTTGCCTAGGTTTGCTTGCGCCAAAACAGACACAACACATCCAATGCTTTCTGCTTCATCATTCAACTACAAGAAATGAAGAACAATGTAATGTTCATTTCGTGCTTCATCTTCACAAATATCATAAACACAAGTTTCATATACTTTTATAATATACTGTGTATTGTATAATGCTAAGCATATGATATTAAAGATTAACAATAAAAATGTACATGGCCATCCACTTTGATCCAGGACCTTAAATTTTATGAAAATATTGGACGCAAAAAATAAGCATTTTATACTGTAAAAACCAGTAGACAATTGAAAATCTAGGTCCTGGAGGGGGAGTGACCACATATATATATATCCCCATGAATAGTTAAATCCTTTAAATCCTACACTTTTGACCATGGCACCAGTCAAAAATTAAGTAGCCATCCCCAAGGCAGATTTCTGGCGACCCATTCCCACGCCAAGGTGCCACGTACTTTGCCACTTCTTGACCTAAGAAACTGCTGCATCAGGGGGGTTCGAGAAATTGGATAAACAAACAACAAGCCTGGAGATATCATGGCAACTATCATGGGAATACATGATATAACTCACCAACAATATGAATATGGCTTGGGTGGTTGAAATCCATCCGACTTTTTTAGGGTGTCCTGTAAATGTTCCCAATGGGGGAGACCCCAACATCATCCAAATGCTGTCATCGTCCTTAGGGAAACCAATGGGTTGGGGGTCCCCAGTCTCCTTTGAAGACCCTGGTTGCAGATTCCGCAACCAATTACTCACCTCTGATGGCGCCTAGTTGCCGAACTCCGGCGTAAATGGAGACTTCAGTTCTCTAGCTAGGAAAATTCATCCCCTACAAATGGTGCTACAACTCAGTTTCAATCTCAACTTAACAATACTATTTTCCATGTGTTCACAGTTAGTTTTCCCATCTTTCATTGCAAAAAAATGCAATTTCCTCAAGTGAGTGATGTATTCCTCTATCACAATTGCAAATCTAAAAATGACTGTACACCAGTTGGTTCACCCAAACATACAGTACACATTGTTGTTTGTTCCGTCACCGTGCGTTGGCTAATCTTTCCATGATGTATCTCCCCGTGTTGCTTGGTTTTCAAACACCATTGTATAGTTCAAGTCAAAGAGGGTTAACTAATATAGCTATTGGACATCATTGTTTTTCAACATGTTTAATAAAATCAACTACAAATGGCCATTCTCAATAGCTATGTGAAATTACCAAAGGGTAAACACCAGGTCCCTAGGTCCCCTTTGTTGCACTTCCTATTGACCACACAACGTGGTTCCTTCCTTAAGCGAGGCGCTTCCAACGGTCCTCGCCGGAGACCACAGCAGATCACCCCCCAGGTCCGACTCGTCCAAGTCGAAGTCATCGAAGGTGACATTGGAGACCTCCAGCGAAGCGAAGTCATGGGCGTGGTGGTCATCCATGGCCAGGGCATACTAAGAATAACAGCAACAGTAATAGTGATAGTGATAATACTATATAAGAATATTTATAAGAATGCTAAGAACATGTTTTGGAAATAATAAGAGGCCATGTCATGGAATAACATTAGTAATAATAGTGATAAAATAGCAATTATTACTAATATTCCATTACCATATATAATATTAGTGGCAAGAATAATAGTATTGCAACATATAGCAACAGTAATAGTGATAGTAATAGTATAATAATGATAAGACTGTATTAATGAACGTTCATGGATTGCTAGCCATCCTCCAGTATGGGCAATTTGCCCCCTGTTTTGCCCGTGGCACAAATTCGTCCATTTAAATGTTGGATTAACCACAAAATTATCGCCACTAAGATATGATGATCATCAGGTAGTCTTGAGCCACTCTTCAGACAAAGGGCACCATGTGTGAACCATTTAAGCAAAACATGCCCAAAATCTAGAGGTGCATACCATAAAACACATGTCAAAACATAAGATTTGGAAAAAAACAAAAAATGAAGCTGGAGACTTGAGAAATATGAAAGAAACAAACTAATTATAAATAAAGTCAGTTTTGGATATATGCAGGTCATTTCCCATATGTCAAGCATCATGTGTGCTGAGGCCCATGTTCTCGTGTTGGAAACTCCCAAAATTACCATCAAGGGCAAATGACCCTGGATATTCCGTTGGTTTCCTGAGCAAAATGATCTGCAAGACGTTGGGCTTTCCATATCTATGCTAGCTTACTGGATCCCGAAGAAAGTTGCATTTCAACCAAACTAAAGGGTGATATGACGCTGAACATATATCCTTAGCAGACATTTTCAGTGGTAACTGTTTGTTTTACTTACCGTAGATCCTCAATTCAATCAGATCATCTCAGTTTGATTGGTTACATCCCTATCTTGGAGATTGGTTGCACGAGTTCGAATTAAACCATGGAAATTTATGTTTATTCAAGTCTAAATTGGTCATTAGACCAGTAGAAAACTTCTCTGATCTTCCAGGTTGCATCAATGATCCTCCAATCATTTCCAGACTAAACTGGTGAACCCCATTTTGCCTAGTTTTTGATGGCGATAGTTGGAAAAAAACATCTTATTCAATTACAGTAAATCATGTGATATATCCCCGTCTATATCCGCATACTCGGTTTTATACCATCCTTGCTGGTGAATTACCATATGTTTAGACACAGCCAACTATCCTTTACTGCTGGTTACATTTAGGTGTGTGGATAAACATAAACATGTACTGTGTATATAATAGCCTCATCAGAAGTTGGATATATATATATATACATACATATAACATAAAATAATGCATATATATATATATACAATGAAAAAAAAACAGTCTCACCATAAGCTGGTCTTATGGCGCCTCTTTCTCCCCATGATATCATCCGTTTGTGAAGGCTAAAGCACCATGATTCATGGCTACCAGCTACCAGCCGATCAACCTATCAAGCTACCCCCTGGAAATTTTAACATAGCCCCAGAAAAGGGCCCGCCGATCATTTTACCATGATTTACCTATTATAACATCTATTAACCATGATCATGTTCCATAGCTATGTTCAATAACCAGAGGGTATATCTTCACATCCCATTAAAATCCAGTACATCCCCATCATTTCTTGAAAGTTAACCATCCAGCTATCCAACTATATCCCATTAGATCCATGTTTTTTCCATCAAAAACCCAGTTCTCCAGCTCACCAACGTGGCGAAACGTCGTCATGTCACCGAAGCGATCGAGTCCACCAGCTCCAGAGCCACGGGAGTCCTTTTAAAGGACCGGTGATCGATTTTTGGGGGAATATCATCAAGTAGAAATTAACTATTTCCACTGATACTTGGGGAATATTCCACTGATCGTTGTATATATTCCCAACAATCAGTGGAATAGTGTAAAAATATATATATATACTATATTATTTCCCCAACTACTGAGTGGAATATATTCCTTGCTGGTAAGGAACTGAAATACGAATATATCAAGTCTGGTTGGTGGTTGACCTACCCCTCTGAAAAAATATTAATTAGTCAGTTGGGATGATGACATTCCCAATATATGGAAAAAACAATGTTTCAAACCACCAAACAGAAGTAGAGTAGAACTGGAGTTCCACTTCGTATCTGTGTAAGTTGGTTTGTAGGTATTGTGGGATTTGCCATAATTAGTGGGGTTTGGGAGACTCCACGAAAAATAGCTGTGGAAGGAACCCCATTCAAATATCAGGGTTGCTCCGGGGAAAGGATGAAACTGGGTAGATAAAGAGCTAAAACCCTCGCGTGGCTTTCATTTATGTAGTACCTACAATGGGTTGGAGCAACCCTGAAAAAAGGTGGATGGAAAACTGTAAAATGGTGGGGTTCAAGGATTGAAGCATGAAACATGCTCGGATTTGATGTTGAAATCCACCAATTGGGATGTTAACCATCAAACATCTGTTGTTTTCAACCATGAAACATATGGCTTTAACTTTAGCTACGAAACACGTGGATGCTGCAAAAAAAAGGGGTTATCCAAAAATGACATGAGTTCCCAAAAACTTGGATTTTAGGCTACGAGTACCGCCCTGGGACACGTCCATGGTGGCTCAAGTGCCCATGGTTGGATGACTTGTTTCATCAAAACGTGGACTTCAGCGACGGAAAGCATGGGAACCAACATGTTAACAAAGGGGAGTTCAGCAGCTGAAATGCAAAGGATGCAACCAAAAAGAGCACATAGGGTTATGTAAACGAAACAATTCATACAACAACTGACCATCGCAGAAAAACAAATAATGGCCACAAGAATGGTGATGTGTGACAGGCTAGACCTCTCTTCACCACCCACATGCAAAGTGGGATGACCATTCATTGCGTTTTGTCTCAAAATAGGCTACCTTGGAATTCCTGGAACTCAGCGATGAAGCATCATTTTCCGTATCAAAACCTGCCACAATGAATTTCTGCAGTGGTTCCCCAGCTACCCTCTGCGACGAGCTACGTCTGCTCGACCAGGATGGATCGTGTGTAGACCTGAAGTCAACACCCCTTCAACCTAGTGTACTTGGGACTCTTTCTCAAAGGAATCGGATGGAAATTAATACCCGCTGGAAATCAAGCATGGCATGGCAATGACAAATCCCTGACTTATACAGGAGTATCCCATTGAAACTTCCAATTGATACCGGATTTTCCATTGCCATGGAGCCTCGGGGCATCAACTTGGCTGGAGTCACACTGGACCCTGAGATACTCCTATGGATGAAGGAAAATGGTACCTAGCTTGGGCTACCTACCATATGTAAAACCACATAAGGCTTATCTCAAAAAATTACTTTACTTCGTGTGATCCCCACCATGACATTTATACATTTTCTTACTGGCAAATCTTCGGGCATTCTATCTGACATATCTTCTGACATTCTATTTGACATTCTATCTGGCATATCTTCTGGCATATGATCTGGCATATCTTCTGGCATTCTATCTGGCAAATCTTCTGGCATTCTATCTGGCATATCTTCTGGCACTCTTTCTGACATATCTTCTGGCATTCTATCTGACATATCTTCTGGCATATATTCTGACATATCTTCTGGCATATCTTCTGGCATATCTTCTGGCATATCTTCTGGCATATCTAGCTGGCATATCTTCTGGCATATTTTCTGGCATTCTATCTGGCAAATCTTCTGGCATTCTATCTGGCATTCTATCTGGCATATCTTCTGGCATATTATCTGGCATTCTATCTGGCATTCTATTTGGCATTCTATCTGGCATATCTTCTGACACATTCTTTCTGACATTCTTTCTAACTTTCTTCTGCACATTCTTTGTCCCATATCTTCCTACATGAGGTCCGGCAGGGACCACTGGGCGTGGATGGCCGTGGTTGAGGTCCGGCAGGGAACACTGGGCGTGGATGGTCGTGGTTGAGGTCCGGCAGGGACCACTGGGCGTGGATGGCCGTGGTTGAGGTCCGGCAGGGAACACTGGGCGTGGATGGTCGTGGTTGAGGTCCGGCAGGGAACACTGGGCGTGGATGGTCGTGGTTGAGGTCCGGCAGAGAACACTGTGGATCGCGGGTCGCAGTTGAGCAAGGACGACGAGGACGACGAGAAAGACGAGGAGGAGGAGGAGAGGAGGACGAGGCAGGAGGAGGCGGAGGACGAGGAGGAGAAGGAGGAGGAGGAGAAGGAGGAGGAGGACGAGGAGGCAACTGACATAAAATCTAACAACCCTCACCTGGCAGGTGGGGAACAACATTTTCCTGGCCGAGTACCTCCGGTTCAGGTACATGAATGGGCCATTCTGTTTTGTTTTTTTCACCTGGGTACCACTCAAGACCCTTAGACCCCAAAACAATAATGAAGGGACGCCACTGAGATGCAAATCCCAGGAAAAGTCAGAGTACGCAGTTACTAGGTCACTAAGTCGTTCCTGGGAATATCCCATGTGTATCTTGTTGAAAAAATCACCCCCATCATGATTGGTGATATCTAAAACTGTTTGCAGTTTGACCCCCAAGAAGGTGCGTGTAGTTCCAAGATGTCCATTGTCCATTGTAGAATTATAGATGGCTTAAATCTGCTTAAACCATCTAAAAGTCGCTACATGTGATTGGCTAAACACATCTTAAACCACCTTAAACCAGCTATGATGACTCACTCATAAATCTCATAATACTCCAATCATTTGCGACAAATAACTCCAATGGCACCAAGACACCAGGATGTAGTCCACCAAAGAGGTTTCCTCAGTCGGCTCCCATTCGGGGGTCTTCCCCGCATGGCTACTCCTATCCAGCAACAAAACATCTGCGTTGAATGATGTCAACCTGGTGGAACCTGGATTCCGGATACCCCCCGGGGATTTCCACACCACGAATCCGAGGAATACAAACCACCAACCCAAATTCCTAGACTTCATGGTCCATCCCCATGTGTCACATGTGTATGTTAATATATACCCGGCCTGGTAAACATACCAAAAACAATGGAACATCATCATGCTACTAATGGGAAAATCCACTATAAATGGCCATGTTCAATAGCTATGTTAAATTACCAGAGGGTATCATCATGTCCAATATTATATGTAATATGATGATGTACATGTCTATGCCCGCCCGGCCCCCGTTACCTTAGGTGGTTTCTAGTGCAAATGCATCATCCAGATGCCAATTCATGGTTGGCTCCCGGGATGGTCTCTAAGCATGTTTGGTACTAATGTGTATACCAATGTTCAACTAGGATTCAAACACATTAATCACCATTAATAACCAATGTATGTACTATAATTTTGGATGACTTTGGGTTCCCCCATTTTAGGATAATACATGTGCGCAAAAAAAAACTGACGTTGCGCCGCATCTGACTTCAGGTGGAGAAGATATAGTTGATGTTATTACCCCGATCAACATATTGTTCAGAGGGTGGCAAATTTTGACTCCTCATAAAGATAAAGTTGGTGTTATTGCCCCAGTCAAAATATTGTTCAGAGGGGGTGGCAAATTTTAATGTGATGATGATCATGATGATCATGATGTGATGATGAGATGATGTGATGATGATTATGATCCTTATGATGATGACCATGACGATTGTAAGTGTGGAGCAACGTCCGGGTTGGGGCGTACACGTGTATTGCATATTATATTTTCGTATATATATATATATTATATATATATATATAAATCAAGTATATACATATACAAGTATATACATATACAAGCTCTGGATATTTAACATAGCTATGGAACATAGCCCATTTGCGGCTAATTCAGGATGATGTAGCCAACAAAAGTTGTAATACTGGGAGGATCACCCCACGGATCGCAACGGGTTAGTTACCATACTTTAAAACCAAGCATTTACCCTCTGGTAATTTAAGAATATTTAAGATAGCTATTGAACATGGCCATTTATAGTGAATTGTCCCAGTAAAACATGTTAGTGTACCAGAGGCTATAAATGGAATAACCGCACTCAGGGGACTTTCTAACCAGGCTTGTTAACCACTAAATCATATCCCTATTATCACAAGTATACCATATCACAACATGGGACTCATGTACCCAGTTATAGGAACCATTACACTCCAGTAAATTAACATAGACCCTGCCAAATAGGCTTTGGAAGATTAGTTTCCACTTAAAATTGCTTCTTTTCAGGGTCTATATCAATTTTTCAGAGGATAGTAATATCCACTAACCATCATTAACCACCATTAATTAAGCATCATTAACCACCATGAACCATCATTAACCAACATTTATTTACCAAAGGGTAACCATTTAAATCATTTATCACTGGGTAAATCTCATTACAGTATTAGTAAAATTCACCATCAAAATCCGATTAGAAACCCATTAAAATCCCATTGGAAACCCATTAGAATAACCAGGGCTACTAACCACCAATATAGAAGACATCCAAGAATCTGCCGCCAGGTCCAACACTTCGTTTGGCGTCACGCCAAGGTTGTAGCGAAGTGTCGTGCCCAAGGGATCCGGGGAGAGACTCACCACGTAGTCCTCACCATGGAGATGTATATGCTATGTTTCTGATATATTATATTGCTTTTGGATACGATCGTCATCATTGGTTTTGTTATCATATTAAACATCACTACTCATGGTTTCCTAATACCGTTGGGTTTGTTATCATCATTGTTGTCAGGTCTATCCTTCGATTTATCATGGGAAACCATCAGAATGGACCAGATTCCAGGCCGGCAACCAACAACATAAACAACGATCAAATCAAACAAAAAATATATGGAAAAAGCACATGGGTCTTCCCGGGAAATGATTTCTACATGGAACTGCTCATATCTATGACTGTGCTACTGTAGGGTAAAAGAAGCAGCAAAAAAGAAGAACCCATATAACCTTCCTTCTCAGTGAGGACGTGCACAACAAATACGGAAGAGTTTCCACCAGCACAAATGGATGGTTTCATCCACAAAAGGGAAAATGGTATCAGTGTGGGGTGTGCAATCAAGGGGCGTAGCGATGATGTGGCACGCGTGGTAGTTTTTTTCCGCAAAACGCGTGTTGTGTGGACAGCGTCTGTTCCACCGTAGTGTAATGAACAATCTGTATATGGAGGTTTCCCAAAATGTGGTTACCCCCAAATCATCAAGAATTGACACTGAAACCCATGGTGTTGGTCATCCCTCATTTTATGAAAGCCTCACATTGGAATAGAAGCAATCTACAGTGAATGGAACATGGTCAAGGCAACAAAGCCAAAGCCCTGAACGCTGACGTTTGTACAATAGCTGATGTGAGGAAGGATCAAAAACCGATAACATTACTAACACTCAAAAGTAGGCTGAAAACATCAACATCACCTTCATCAAGCAAACTTATCAGGGAAGGGAACAACTACAAAGAAACCTGACTAGAATAGTTCCGAATGGAATACACCATCCACTAAAAAACGAAACTAAATAAACTCTAGCTTCATAGTTCTGCCACTCACGACCTCTCACTTCATCCAGCGCACGGGTTGCACTGCACAATGCCTCACCTTGATGTCCACTCCACTGCTGGCCTTCTGCTTCATCAGTCTACTGATCGCTTGACTCATCTTGACTCCATCTCTCTGCAGAGGGGCTGCTGCCGAGTGTTATGTGCAGCAGCAAGCCATCTACGACGTCCATGAGCAGTGCAGCACTGTGTGCCTCTTCACACATAGCCAAGTTGCAGTTTAACGTCAGGATCCACCCTGCTGGCAGCGTTCGCAGCCGATATCACTGCTGAGTTCCAGTGGCATCGCGATGTGAGGTGGTTGTTTTAATTTATCCAGAGTCCAGATTATCCCAATTCTATTACCGTTTTACCACCATTGTTCGGTCAAGTCAGATTGTTCATGGTTAAATCACCGATAGAGCCTCCCATCCTTTGACCGACCCCCTCCTGCAGTCGACTCTGATCTGCTGGGGCTTGCCATGTGATCTGACCACCCAACTGCAACCTCAGCGGTCTGAGGTTCACACATCCAATGCTCAGGTGGTAATTCCTGTCAAAATTGCAACATTTAAACTGATCTCATGATAGAAATGGATGGACACACAAATAGTGTGCGTGTGTGTTTGTTGTCTATATGTACCTGTGCATGTTTACATCAAAGATAATCAACGTATCTCTTTGCTAACTTGCATATATACTTATACTGTACCTATACTTGTATGTAAAATCGTCGCAAGGAATGTCTTCCATGCAAAATGTTTGCTCCTACCAAGTCCCAACCATCAACAGGTCCAAGAACAGACAGCTTCTGACAAGGAACTAGAAAACACAAATAGCTCGGCCATTCAAACATGTCACGCACATACACACACACACCCTGATTGTCAGAATCATTTCTTGGGACGAACCAAACAAGCCATGTATCTGGCTAACTGATAGTCGATAGTTCCCAAACAAGAAGGCTACGATTTGAGTTTGTCAGAATAGGCTACGGCTATTATAACCCCATCACATCTGTGCTTAATCATCATACCCTATTAAATCGCCAGATGTGTTTTCTGCTGCACTCCCATTGTTAATTGTAAAACCATCATTGTTCACCAAAACATATTTGAAAAATCAGTCTTTGTAATGACTGCCCCAACATTACTTGTTGTGAGGGGCCCTTCGAACATACCGGGCAGATCGAATTTTTGGGTTTGTCCCCAAGGATTATCATGAGTGTTCCCATCTATAATTTACGTTTGTGTATTTTAGATATGTAGACACCAAACATGTACACACAAGTCATCAACTGAATCTATATGAAGGGGCACCATTCATACCGGAATGCGGGGACCCCCCAACTAGTCGCTTGACTTTGCCATTGATTTTGGACTAGCTCATTTATAGTACCCAAACAATATATATAGAAGAGTAATCTTCATTTATCACTATAGTACTTGACAATGTAATATAGTGAACTATAGTACTATAGTGATATATAAATGAACAATATTTATTTTTATCACTATAGTACTTGACATGAAATTTACTTCGCCTTTTGACATGGCGGTTGCGAACATGGCCACACCCAGCAATACCAAGCCACTCATCCAGATCTTTGTCAACGAAAACAATCAATGAGACGCTGGCGCTCATGTCCTGGAAATGTCAAGAAAATCGGAGACATTCAGTGATATCAAACAACAACAAAGGTCCATCTGCAAAACTAATATTAGTATAACAAAACATGTGTTAAGTGAACAACGAACTGGTCATATCACCATGTCTATCTATTACAAGCATACAGACATTCATCCTGTTGACTACATCCTCATTGTTGCTGGTCAAAGATGACCACAATTGTCAATTCTTGTGATTTGAACTCTTCACTCTGGCAATTTAACAGTTTGCTCTGGAAAATCATCATTAAACAAATACCAGGCAAATTTACACTTCTCAAGTTCCATCTTCACCCATCTGTTTATTTTTTTATCAGACTATCTACTCTAAAATCTTTTGTGCTAAGTGCTAACCCCCTAGTCACTGCATTTCTTGTTGATCTCAATATCAACATCGCAGCCTCTGGGTGTTCCATTTCTGCCAAGGTGCAAAGATCTCATGAACCGTGGGGATGGTCTGCTCGGCTAAGGAACTGTTCGCATAGATCAGCAGGTGAGTGAAGTTGTCTCGGCCCAGAAACAGGGGCCAACAACCAGCAAGATCTGGGGCCAACGACCTGGAAACCTGGAAAACATCAGGGGTTTTAACCAGAAAACATGGATGTTGAATGCTGGAAACCTGCTATATTCGAAAGGATCAGCCATGGATCTAGCACAGATTCAACGGAAAACACAGGATGTTGTGAACCAAAAAAACGTTGCATTTTCAGGCACCCAACTCCACTCTCCATCGGTTGCATCCAAGTGACCCAAGGGCGTCTCGGGTGGAATGATGCTATCACTGACGCCTGCACATTTGGAATGGGTGATTTGCCATGGTGAAGATGGAGCCAAATTGTTTAAATATGAGTGAGATGATATGACTCAGTGAACTATGACTACGACTAGTATGAAAGATTGGGGTAGTATCAATTTGATTCATTGGATGGAATATATGTCATTAATGTATATATATATACATACATATACATATATATATATATATACATACATATACATATACATTCTCATATTCATATACAAATACATATACACATACATATACATATACATTATCATATTCATATACATACACATATACATATACAGATACATATACATTTCCAGATACATATACACATACATATACATTCTCATAATCATATACATACACATATACATACACATATACATATACAAATACATATACAAATACATATGCACATACATATACATTATCATATTCATATTCATATCGTATATTATACATATACAGATACGTATGCACATATATATATACCTGTACATACATGTGTGCACCATCCGCGAGCAGATGACATGTTTTGTCTACATCAATCAATCGTTTTTGTGACATGTGATGCTGTGAATTTGCAACGTGGGCTAATCTTTTAAGAGGTTCGCCCGAACAACTGGATTAGCTCCAAGAACCCACAAACGAATGGAGGAACCTGAAACCCCCAAAAAAACAGGGCTAAATGAAAAGCCACTCAAAAACCAGATGAATCATGCTCAGAATTTCTTCCTAAATTGTTTTTTCCCTACCTGAGGGAGAGATCTACCTAGAATTCTGTGCTGCCCACGATGCCTAGAGGCGTTGTGCCGAAGAAACTGCGGTCACAGTATGGCACCTCAGAAACGTCCCGGGGCATCCCCTGGGAATGTGGTGCCCCCCAGTTATGCGTGGGTTGGTTTTAGAAACAACATATATAATATATATATGTATATACAGTATACGTATATATTAATGGATAGCAAACCCAGAAGAGATAGAACTATAATGTATCATTTTTTCTTTTCAATATATAGAAGTTAAGTTTTTATCTTTTTGGTGGTTACTATACAATAGAACAATGTATAGATACATCCATCAACCCCAACCACGAATTATACTAGTTATAAACCAACGTAGCTAAGTACGGCGGCACTTCCTTACAGAAAACATCACCTACAGAATCCACTTTTGAATTCAGTATCTAACCAGGAGAAACCATATCAGGAAACATCTTCTGTGGAAGATGAAATCGGAATATAATGCATCAAGGTGAAAAAACAACCTAGAAACATGGGGGTATAAATACAACAGTATACTCCCTGGTAAATCAACATAGCTATAGAAAATCACGATTTCATAGATAAATCATCTATGACTTGGGACTTCCATAGCGATGTTAGTTGAATCTGGAGAGTAACTAGAAGAAACAACACAAACGCCAGTTGTAACATCAGTTGAATGATATCCGTGATATCAGTGGGTGTGCGTCTTATCGCCAGATGATATGCTGTAAGTTGCAAACTAACAGTAGAAGAATCGAACATGAACATGTTGAGAGCCAGGCAGGAGTAAAGTTTTGGGCAAACAAATTTTCTGTAATCACCGCTTTTTGCCCAACCATAAAAATAACCCGGCTTCCAAAAACAATCCAGAGCTGATAGCCATTGAAGGCATCCAAACGATGCTTCAATCACCAACCATCGCAGAGAATTTTCTTCCAGCAAGCCCCTAATTGCTGTCTCACATTTTTCCCAGATAAAATCCATATTGTTGCATGGTAAAACATGGCAACAAAAAACACCAAGGCGCATCAGTGCGAAGAGACCTCGGAGGCAAGGACCCTTCGCAAAAAAGGATAAGACCTGGGTATGCTTCGCCTATCATAAATCAGCTGTGCCATGATAAACCTATCACGTGTGCTATGGGCAAAGCATCGTGAACGCCATAATGTGTGCTTCCGTTGACTTGTTAAAGCCCTTGTGATGGGAAGTGATTTGTGTTGTGCCCCTGCCATGTTGAGCCGATGACGCATCCGAGACGTCCGACACATCGCCATCTGATGAGTCACACCTGACATCGAGAACCACAGGGTCTCGAAGCACCAAGAAATTGAAAGTTTTGTGGCAAAGGAAATCATTAATGTCCCTGCTTTTGGAACAAATGTGTTCTCTTCAACAATCTGAGCTCCCCAAAAAAACGCAACACACAAATAATAGTGCACTATGTGTGTGGCAAACCACCTCCAATGTCAAGGTCTAAATGGCCAGACAAACCCCTGGAGATCAGCAGTCCGGCAGGATCCTTTCCCAGCCTGGTCGCGAAGTAGATGTTGTAATGTTCCACCTCCAGAAGCAACAACACGTGTGGAGACAGGGGCCAAAATTGCGGCTAACATCTCATTTATACACCACTGATGTTGTTTGTATCCCAATTTTCGGTGTATCTTGTGTTTTCTTTTCAAAAAAAGGTCTCACTGCCAGCTTGCACCACACTGAAAAAAAGTCCGTACCCTGAAATCAACTTATCATATATCAATGCTCCCAGCCATTCCATATCATCAAGAACAGTGTCCAGGACGATAAAGAGCTACCTATGGAAGCCATACGACCAGGATGAGGGGTGCTTGGCCTGGTACCCTTCTGTTCACACCAAAATAGCTGGTTCTGGATCTTAACCCCTGCTCAGACGGGCCCGGCACTAACACGTCTTAGCCCATCCACCATCCAAAATGGGTTTGTCTGAAAATGGACTGCTCCAACCCCAGAGATTTAGACATGTTTTTCAGCATTAAACGTTACCAGTCCTGAATGAAGCCATTATAATGTGATGTGGTAAACCCTGGCTGTCGTTTGCTGCACCATCCCCAAGTCATCAGCATTTGGGTCCCATTGAAACTATCCCAAAAATCTCTAGTTGTTGATCATTTTATCATTGGATTTACCACATTGTATAGTTTCACTTGTATAGTTTTTGGAAATTGGAAATTTACCACATTAACTGGCAAGGTTTATCATTCTTCTGTTACCCCATCTTTTTTTTTACGGCCATCTCACATGGTCGTTCAAGCCACCTGCGACAGATCGCTGGGTTCGATCCAGGAGAGATTTCCGCCCAGGTCCTGCTGGTCCAAATCGAAGTCGTCAAAGCTGATGTTGCCAATGACCTGGGGAGAATTTTCAGGTTGATCCCCAAATAAAGCTGGGAGATGTCCCACATAAATGTCAAAATGTCGACAAATAAAGCTGGGATATTTGACTGCAAAGCCTGCCATCCCATCATACCCGTTGGGTGATTGATAGGGACCTCCGAGTGGATCACAACCGGCCCCCATTAGTTGATCAACCGTGAAGGGTGTTTTGGCCATTGCCCTGGATCATTTGGATCATTTGGGGATTGTGATGGTGCATTAAAGATCATGATAACATGATGCTTGGAAACGTGTACATCAAAAGATGAGTACATTGCAATATGTTGCACTGCAATCAATGGAAACCCAGATATTATATGTATATATGCACATATCTAAATTATAGTAACAACAAAAACAATAACAATAATAATAGTAATAATCATCATCATCACAATAATAACAATAATAATCAATAACTAATATAATATAGTATACTACTAATAATGATTAACCATATACTTTAAAATTTACCCAACATATTCTAGCATATTTTACGTCTTGAATGGATTAGATCATATCCCAACACAAATAGCCATGGCTTTCACCGGCTTTCACCCCTCAGACTCCATGGCTATTCCGCGTTGCGGGCCACCGAAATGGCGTCAGAGATTTCGAAGGCAACGGGTGTCGTTTGCTCCACCTCGGGTCATCGTGAGATGAAAATCCAGCCGTTGGACGATGAAACGGCAGGCAAATCGTTGCCAGTCTTAGGTACTGTGCAAAGTAAATGGCATGTAGGTTAGTATGTATATATTAATATGTATATACACATGTATATATAATTATATATATATATATTATTATTCATAGATACACATTTGTAGCGCAATATGGATATATTTAACATATTTTTACATTATCAAACTATATTATATATCATATTAACTTCCAGGTTGTCCCTCTCACAACCGCTTCCGCGCTGCCAGAATCGAGCGCGTGTAGATGGTGAGAAAGCCATCACCATGTGTCGCTGTCTCCGGTGGAATCAGCCTCTGATGAGTTATCGGGTGTAGCTGGTGGGGAAATCCGCCATCAAGGGTTTTCTTGCTGGAAGAATCTTCGACAAACATGGTGGGGCTTTGAGCAAAGCATGTTTCAGCAAACCGGAGGCTAGTAGCTGAGGAGTTATATACTATTTATACCAGAAATGGAGGTGTAGAGGGGAACTCAACCAGCCAAAAGAGTGATTCAACCAGGAAGGAATGGTGTTTAATGGTGTATCAAACAATGGGATTTAGGGGGTACAACATCTTCCATGTCACAATTCATGGCAGTGTCTTTGCTAGTGGGGGGATGCCAAATACCCAAACATTCCAAACATATCCTACACATTAGTGGCCTCACCAGCAGCCTCTCAAATCCTCAGAGGCACTGTTTTCACTGGCCAAAAAAAACTGGCCTAAACATGTGGGATGCTGTTTGCTAGCCGCATGAAATTAACAAAGACTATGTATATAATATATTGTAATATTATCTGATATTCCCACTGCGAAATTCTTGTTATTGCCGTAACTCAATTGTTAATAACTCAATTGATGTCGATTCACACATCGTCGCCTGGATCGCCACGTTTCTCTCCATTGGTCAGTGGGGATCATCAAATGCGTTGGGGAATGTTAGGTGAAGGGAAAAAAACGTCAGATTGAAACCCCAATATTTGGGGGCAAACAAACACCATGAATTTATGAAAGGCGTCCTTTAAAACATCAATTGGGATCAACTATTGGAGAGACATGTGCATATGAGCGTTGTAATTACTGGATGCAACACTGCATTTGCATGCATTTGCTACATGTACTCGCAACTCCCTGGCCGCGGCCTTTTCAAACACACATCCCAAAGCCGATCAATGAAACTGTAGGAATCTGAAGTGAAGGCAAACATGGTTACACATATGCAAACTGCGCTGCCACCGCTGAGCTGTCGCCACCCTTACAAGGACTGCCCCAAGTCACGACTGACCCACCAGCCAGGATCGCAGCAAATGCATAGCTCGTTGCTTGAACCTGCTGGACACCCTTCAGCTGATCTTGGACTTCAGAGCTGTCACCACCAGAGTCTGGTTCGCCCCAAGTCACGACTGACCCATCAGCCAGGATCGCAGCGAATGCAGACAGTGTTGCTTGAACCTGCTGGACACCCTTCAGCTGATCTTGGACTTCAGAGCTGTCACCGCCAGAGCCTGGTTCGCCCCAAGTCACGACTGACCCATCAGCCAGGATCGCAGCGAATGCAGACAGTGTTGCTTGAACCTGCTGGACACCTTTGAGCTGCTCTTGGACTTGAGAGCTGTCACCACCATAATGTGGAGACCCCCAAGTCACGACTGACCCATCAGCCAGGATTGCAGCAAATGCAAACTCTGTTGCTTGAACCTGCTGGACACCCTTCAGCTGATCTTGGACTTCAGAGCTGTCACCGCCAGAGCCTGGATCGCCCCGGGTCACGATAGAGTCTGGATCGCCCCAAGTCACGACTGACCCTTCAGCCAGGATCGCAGCGAATGCAGACAGTGTTGCTTGAACCTGCTGGACACCCTTCAGCTGATCTTGGACTTCAGAGCTGTCACCGCCAGAGTCTGGTTCGCCCCAAGTCACGACTGACCCATCAGCCAGGATCGCAGCGAATGCAGACAGTGTTGCTTGAACCTGCTGGACACCCTTCAGCTGATCTTGGACTTGAGAGCTGTCACCACCATAACCTGGAGACCCCCAAGTCACGACTGACCCATCAGCCAGGATTGCAGCAAATGCATAGATCGTTGCTTGAACCTGCTGGACACCCCTCAGCTGATTTTGGACTTTAGAGCTGTCTCCACCACAACACGGTTTGCCCGGAGTCACGACTGAGCCATCTGCCAGGATCGCAGCAAATGCCTGGTCAGTCGCTTGAAGCTGCTGGACACCTTTGAGCTGATCGTTGACTTTAGAGTTGTCACCACCAAAGTCTGGGTTGCCCCAAGTCACGACTGACCCATCTGCCAAAATCGCAGCGAATGCCCGCTCAGTTGCTTGAAGCTGCTGGACACCCTTCAGCTGATTTTTGACTTGGGAGTTATCACCACCATAGTCTTGTTTGCCCCAAGTCACAACTCGGTCACCTCCAGAGCAAAACAATGCAAAAGCTGCGTCGGTTGCTGCTAGCTTTGCCTCTACGGCGATGGCTGTCAGGTGGTCTCCATCTTCAAGTCCCGCAGCTTGCAGAGACACTTGAGGATCCAACGCGTGATGGTCTGCAGCCACAAGCCTCAAGAAGCCACGTTGAAAGGACTTCTGTGCCAGAACCCTTAAGTCCCCTACTTTGGAGGACTGTGCAATCGAAAACTTCTCACTGCAACCGCTTGGCAAGGCTACAGTGACTTGAAGCATGTATCAAGAAGCTCCAATCAAACTTACGGACCAGTTTCTACGATTGATCTTGGGCCAAACCGCACCACTTTTTGAGCATTGGAACAAACTCACAAGACCAACTGGGCATTCAACACCCCTGTTGGAATGTTGGAATGATGGGATTCCTTAGCTATCCCACACATATTTGTGAAAACAACACAAGCAAAACAACTTGAAACAACCAACCAGCTACATTACTTGATATCTAACCATTACTTCATTCGTATGCATTTTACCCTACATGTTTGGTGAAGTCTGTTGCAGAACTTCAAACTTCAAATAACCACTATCCATGCCATTTTGGGTGTCCCCGAATCCCATGGGAGCAACCATGCTCCCTATGGACATTTGATGTCCATTTGAGCACTCATTTGGGGTTATACCGTTATACCATATCAGACAACCCCAAGTTGATCACAATATCAAGTTGGTTAAAAACAAATCCCATCATAGTCCATTCTATCCCATGATAGCGGTTGAATCCCTACATATCCCATCCCCATCGGAACTCCATGAAATTCCAATCGTTGATGCTTAAATCCATGTTTAAATCCATGTTCAAGCCATGGTATATCCCAGTCATATCCCAATGTATCCAATCATATTCCAGGTCCACATCCCCAATACCCAGCTGTGGCACCTGCTGGTGGCTGGAACCTCCACATCTGCCACGCTGGAACGCTGTTCTCCGGTGGCAGATCTACCTGGGGCAATGGAGGGGATTTGTGGCAAAGGGCCGGTAGTTGGACACCGACCACTGCACGGCCGTGGCACGAAGTGGTTTTTTTTTGCGTTTTGAACGTTTTTGAAGGGTTGGGGTGGGGTGGGGCATGTTAACGTTCCTTGTAAGTGGCACACATGTTGGATGCTACGTTACTGAAGGGTTGTGGTGGGGTGGGGCATGTTAACGTTCCTTGTAAGTGGCACACATGTTGGATGCTACGTTACTGAAGAGTTGGGGTGGGGTGGGGCATGTTAAAGTCCTTGTAAGTGGCACACATGTTGGATGCTACGTTACTGAAGGGTTGGGGGGGGGTGGGGCATGTTAACGTTCCTTGGTACGTTGCACACATGTTGGATGCTACGTTACTTAAGGGTTGGGGTGGGGGTGGGGCTGGTTAACCGTTCCTTGTCAGTGGACACAGGTTGGATGCTACCGTTACTGAAGGTTGGGTTGGGGTGGGGAATGTTAACGTTCCTTGTACTTTGCACAAACATGTTGGATGCTACGGTTACTACTGAAGGGTTGGGGTGGGGTGGGGCATGTTAACGTTGCTTGTACGTTGCACACATGTTGGATGCTACGTTACTGAAGGGTTGGGGTGGGGTGGGGCATGTTAACGTTCCTTGTAAGTGGCACACATGTTGGATGCTACGTTACTGAAGGGTTGGGGTGGGGTGGGGCATGTTAACGTTGCTTGTAAGTGGCACACATGTTGGATGCTACGTTACTGAAGGGTTGGGGTGGGGTGGGGCATGTTAACGTTCCTTGTAAGTGGCACACATGTTGGATGCTACGCAGCTGAAGGGTTGTGGTGGGGTGGGGCATGTTAACGTTCCTTGTACGTTGCACACATGTTGGATGCTACGCAACTGAAGGATTGGGGTGGGGTGGGGCATGTTAACGTTCCTTGTAAGTGGCACACATGTTGGATGCTATGCAGCTGAAGGGTTGTGGTGGGGTGGGGCATGTTAACGTTCCTTGTACGTTGCACACATGTTGGATGCTACGCAACTGAAGGGTTGGGGTGGGGTGGGGCAGGTTACGTTCCTCTGTACGTTGCACACATGGTGGATGCTACGTACTGAAGGGTTGGGGTGGGGGTGGTGCATGTTTAACGGTGCTTTGTACGTTGCACACATTCTGGAATGCTAACCGTTACTGAAGGTTGGGGTGGGTGGGGCATTTTAACGTTCCGTGTAACTTGCCACACAATGGGGGATGCTACGTGTACGGAGGGTTGGGGGTGGGGTTGGGGCATGTTAACGTGCTTGTACGTTGGCACCCCATTTGTGGATGCATACGTTTACTGAAGGGTTTGGGGTGGGGTGGGGCATGTGAACGTTCCTTGTACGTTGCACACATGTTGGATGCTACGTTACTGAAGGGTTGGGGTGGGGTGGGGCATGTGAACGTTCCTTGTACGTTGCACACATGTTGGATGCTACGTTACTGAAGGGTTGGGGTGGGGTGGGGCATGTTAACGTTCCTTGTACGTTGCACACATGTTGGATGCTACGTTACTGAAGGGTTGGGGGGGGGTGGGGCATGTTAACGTTCCTTGTACGTTGCACACATGTTTGGATAGATCTACGTACTGAAGGGTTGGGGTGGGGTGGGGCATGTTAACGTTTGCTTTGTACGTGCACACATGTTGGATGCTACGGTCTGGAAAGGGTTGGGTGGGGTGGGGCATGTTAACGTTGTTTGACGTTGCACACATGTTGGATGCTACGTTACTGAAGGGTTGGGGTGGGGTGGGGCATGTTAACGTTCCTTGTAAGTGGCACACATGTTGGATGCTACGTTACTGAAGGGTTGGGGTGGGGTGGGGCATGTTAACGTTCCTTGTAAGTGGCACACATGCTGGATGCTACGTTACTGAAGGGTTGGGGTGGGGTGGGGCATGTTAACGTTCCTTGTACGTTGCACACATGTTGGATGCTACGTTACTGAAGGGTTGGGGTGGGGTGGGGCATGTTAACGTTCCTTGTACGTTGCACACATGCTGGATGCTACGTTACTGAAGGGTTGGGGTGGGGTGGGGCATGTTAACGTTCCTTGTACGTTGCACACATGTTGGATGCTACGTTACTGAAGGGTTGGGGTGACGATGTGATGATGATGATGGTGATGATGATGATGATGATGAAGATGAAGATGATGATGATGAAGATGGTGATGAAAATGAAGATGATGATGATGATGATGATGAAGATGAAGATGAAGATGATGATGATGATGATGATGATGATCATTATCATGATGATGTTCATTATCATGATGAAAAAACAAGTAGTTTTCTGAAACGACGATGATGCATTTTCACATGCCAGATGTGCAAAATCATTGTTTCGCTAAAGCGGCGTGCTTATTTTCTATTCACATCATGAGCATTTTTACCACGGCCGCGAAATGGTCGTTAACCCGGTAGTTATGCTATGTTCTGCATGTACTTATATTATGATAGTGATAGTATAGTAAGTTATATACACATATTATATTTATGTATATGTATATATACCTGGAAAGCCGTTTGAACAATTTTTTTTGTTCATTATGGGAAAATCTGGTCGAATACACCTTTTAATGATCAATGAACAATTTTACCCGTAATGACCAGATAATTTGGTCAATTCACGATATTGCTATTGGAGGTGCGCCCGATCCTTGCATCCAAGGCTCACAGTATGGATGTGAATGATGTGAAATAAAAAAGGGGAAGATGCATGTGACCATGCACCCCAAATCGAGAATGGAAGAAATATATGATGGGTGCCATAGAATATATTATGTGGCATAGACTATATATTATAGATTCCCAACAGGGTCTCTTGAAATATGTGCATAGAAACCATGCGTCCTGATTGGGATGATTGCATCGCTGCTGAGCACGTTGAGGCCCGCTCTGATTACGTGGGGGGGGCATCGAAAAACGAAATAAGTTTGATTTGATTTCTTGCCATGAATTCTATCTTGCAAGTACAGTTGGCTTTTGCTGGAAGCTTTTGGGCGTTCCCTTCAGAGCAAACCGGCTCAAAAAAAAAAAACGTTTTGCTGCCTTGCTATGGCGAACCTTTATGGTGTTGCTAAGCATTGGTGGATGGAGCCTTCCATCCAAGAGAGGGTGAAAGAGGGCGGCATTGGTGCCATTGTTGTAACCAACAATACCCAGCCCCTTGCATCCAAAGATGTACGTCATGCCTTGTGGAACAGAGAAGTCTTGATCCCAATCATGGAGAATATGCGATACCACCACCTGATCAAGACACCTGATATGGGGACGATTCAAGACCAAGTTTGGATTCTCCAGCTGCTGTCTACCAAGCAGGGATTTGATGCCCACAACCTTCCTCCAATCCCTGAAGAGTTGGAAGTGCCGGTTCATTTGTCGGTGATTAGCATTAAGAAGCTGGTGTCATATGTGCGAGCCAAGTACATTCGTCCTCACATGCCACGGGACAAGGGTTCCTTTCTTCATGCATGTTTCCATTTTTTTATGTGATTATCAATCATGCAGTTCAAATCAGATCATAATTTCCAGGTCTTTCCCGGAACCACAGTATGTATTTTCTTCCATTCCAATTTGCATATGATGGATGGAAGAAATCCTGCACCTGCACCGCTTCGTGCCCATGTATAGTGGTAACACTTATAACTATAACTGCAATGGGACTATATTGGATAAACCATCTATCATCCGGTGCAAGATTTCTTCCATCCACAATATGGTTCAGATCCCTTGGATCATATATGCCCCATAGCTACCCCTGGAGGACGCAGACTTCAGAGAGCTCTTGACCCACTTTGGCGAGTTGGAGCCTTTTTTGCACCCGGCACATTGTCCATGGTTCATCGGGCCAGCACACTTTCAAATGGTAAAGGTGAAACCGGTGAAACCAATGAATTTGACTGCAGGCTGAGGTTGATATATAGATTTTATGGGAATCATTTCAATATATTTGGAACCCTACATTACATGCATGTATACAGTTGTTGCAATATGTTGGAGTGTTTGCTATCAATTCCCACCGGCCTTGGCCGCGCAACTCCGCCTCTCAGGAACTCTATTTAGACCTCCCCGCGGACAAGTCAGCTCCTGACGACAGCGAGGATGAGAAGGGCGAATCTAAGGAGTGTGATCTACGTGATCGGGTTCGTCAGGTGCCAATGCCTTCACCTACTACAACCCCGGTTGTGCCAGCTCTGGCTGAATCTGTGGGTGGGAACTCGGGTTTGCTTGAGAATGATATGTGGGTTCCAGAAGCCCTTCCTGTTGATGAGCAGGAATGTGTGTTTGGATTGCACAAAAAAATCATGGAGGCCAAGGCCAGGATTGCTGAACTCAAAGGTCAGAATTCCAACAGTACTGGTACTCCCATGGTTTCTCCGAGTGATCCAGTTCCAGAGATAGCGTCACCAGTGGATTCGACTTCATCAAGGGTTGCTGAAATTAGATCCCGGATGGAAAAGTTGCAGTCAGATTTGAAGTTTCTTGTCAGTACCATCGACCAGTTTCCGTCTTTATGAAAACATTGTTCATATGGTCATCCAAGTTGATCAACAGCAATCTTAAGAGGTATAGATGTATTCCCCTGGAACCTTAGGATAGATGTATTCCCCTGGAACCTTTAAAAATTAATATCAAACCTGTGAACCCATCTCTTTCCCAGGTTGGAAGCCAGCACTTCTGTGCCAGCAATGGACTTTGATGAGACTCTCCCGATGGTGCCGGATGAAACTCAGTACTACGCTCCCGATGCTGTGCCCGATGCTGTGCCCGATGCTGGGGTGGATGAAGCTTGGTGCCCCCCCGAAGCCACTCAGGGTGAGGATGAAGGCCCCAAAATCAATGATCCTACTACTGGCAATGGTGATGAAGGTGAGCGCATTCCTGTTCCTTGAACCGGATATAGGTTGATGTCTCTACCACTTCAACCGAACTTCAAGTGTTTCTGTTTTAGATGTTTTTTTTTCAGGGGA